TTGAATTTACAGGGAAATCCAAAGTGTTATGTGGGGAGGACGGAGGGAGCATTCTCATGAGTCAGGATAAGTATAAAATATCAATTTTACTCAGAAAATTACATATTTTTCCTTATCCTGACTCATGCTTATTTGCTTGTAGAATCCGACGGCTATGGAGGTGGGAATATATAATACTTTGGATTTGGATAATTAGTGATTTGAATTGTAATGACTGTAATAACCCTATGGGAACTTCATAAAGGCACTGAACTGATGAATTCCTGCTGCTAACTTATCAGCTGCCATATATGGGTTATTACAATATAACTATTACAATATACTTATTATGATAAAGTATATACAACATTAATACAAAGCTTAAGACTAGTAGACTTAAGTTGTTAATGTGATAGCATAAACTCCTTGAGTTTATAGTTAATATACTTTTATGAAGTAACTAGAAAGTACTAAGCTTAAGATATGCATAAACTTAAGCTATATGAGTATAGTACTGTGCTTAAGATATAATTTAACTTAAGCTATATAATAGCAAAAACTCCGTAGAGTTTGTTAGCTAATATATATATAAAATGTGACCATATTACTGAGCTTAAGATATGATGAAACTTAAGCTAAATATAATAGCAAAACTTCTAGAGTTGTTAGCTAATATATTGTATGATATAATAACCATAGTACTGAGCTTAAGATAATAGATTGAACTTAAGCAAAATATATATATAGCATGTAGCTATTTAGTACTGATATCAGATAAGTATAAATCTGTAAGATTGACTTATCTTCTCCGAGGAACTGTCAACTGTTGAGCGAGGACCATGGGACCGAAATGGTGGATACCTGAGACGTCCTTGGTGGTGATATCTCTCAGATAGTGGTTGGCAAACACCATATCGGATCTCCAGAAACAACCCTCCATTATGGTATTCAAAGAGCAGTTGCCGTAGTAGAGCAAGTGTTGATGCTAGCTTCTAATTTCATGAGGATTAGATGCTCTTGGAGGGTCGAGTCCTGCAGCCTTGTAGGCACGTAGTATGACAGTTCTGATCCAAATTGAGATAGTAGTACGGAGACTTCCGCTCATGAGCTGTAGATAGAGGGATAAATAATCTCTTGAATTTTCCTCTCCTCTGTTTGGATCGGTGGAGATATATTTTCAGTGCTCTTACTGGGCATAGTGATAGATCCATCGTATCATGAGGTCCAAGAATGGATGAGAGAGCTGGGACGGGAATAATCTGTCTGGTTGACCTGGCAATTGGTTCTTAGCTATAAAATCCCAGCGTAGTCCCAGATGTACGATGTTATGAATATCATCAAAGCTGTTCTCTCAGAATCCAAAGCTGAATCTCTGACATCCTGGCAGCCGTGAGCTAGCTAACAGGAACAAAGTTTTCTGGGTCAGTGATTCAAACGATGTAGATTCTAACGGTTCATAAGCCTCACTTGTGAGGTGTTGGAGCACTATATTTAGATCCCAAGCTGGAGCTGAAACTTCCGCTTTGTGATCCTCCAATCGAATGCTCAGTGAAGCAAAGCCGAAGTAACTCTGGGGTCTTTGTTAACTTGACGCCCGCTCTCATAGTTATGACAGAGCTTAATGCTGCAAGATAAGTGGACAAAGTTGAGCCTTTTAGATTCTTAGTTTGTCGTAGATAACATAAGTAGTCCGCCACTTGAGGATGAGTAGCATATCTGGCTGTAAATCCTTTCTTTGCAGCATAATTGACAAAACTGTGCCATTTGTCATCGTGATAAGTTGCGAAGTTGAGTTACGCGAGTGCAAGCGCTGACTGCTTTTGCCGCCTGGCTGAATAACCTCTCTTATTCAGACATGCCTTGATACAATCCATACGCGAAGTTGGAATACTTCTGGTTTTCCGCACACTTGTTTGGTGTGCGGGATGTATCAATAGATTCGAAATGCTCTGGAAGTTGTAGAATTGGTTGTCCGATTTCTTGAATAAGATTTGAAACCACGCTCGCTGGCCAGTAGGGCTGACCAAAATCAGATGGAGGCTCTGGCGCTTGACTGATTTTCCGTAAGACTTGTGGGATTAACGCTGGTGGCGGAAAGCGACGCTGCTGAGTCCCTCCCACGATATGCTTAGTGCAACCGCTGCCCATGCTAGTGGGTCTGGAACTGGCGATATGAAAGGTTGTCAGTTGTTTGTTGAATCGAAAGTGGCTTAATAGGTCTACTAGTGGAGATCCTATTTCCATGATTATTTGAGTGAATATCTCTGTGTGGAGCATCCATTCTGTCGGCGACGGTAGGTGTGGCCGAGAGAGCCGCCTGCTAATACATTCTTTGCTCCTGGAATGTGGCAAGCTCTGACATGTATGTTTAGATTGTCGCGATTAGATCGAATAATCGGAAACATAGAGACAGTAGGTTCGGTGACCTTGTTGAGCCTTGTTTGTTCACATAAAACGCCACTGTCGAATTGTCTGTGTGAATCATCAACTGAGCCGCTCTGTAGTAGGTTGCTCCAGTGACTTATGGCGCTTATGACTGCTTGCATCTCTAGCAGATTTATGTGACATTTGCTCTCTTGATTGCTCCATAGGCCTGACGCTGTCTTGTAGGCGCAGGTGGGCTCCTCAACCTTGTAGTGACGCTGCCTACGAGAGATGTGTTTCCGATTCGCTCTATTAAGGAGACGCTTCACGCAAACATTCAATCTCTTGGTCCACCAGAGTAGATGAGGTTTGACGGATCTGGTAGACTGAACGGTAGAGGGTCCTCGAGATGCGCATTGATGAGGACTTGTAACGGACGAATTGAAGCCTGCCTCTGACTGTCAAGTCTTGGGCTGATGTGAGTAGTCCCAATAGGATCTGCCACTGTCGTAGTGGTAGCGGAGAGAGTAAGGCTTGTGGGATTAACTGTTGATCTTGATCCATCTGTCCTCCGGGACTACTATACGATTCTGGGCTGTTAGAAATCGTGATACCTAGAAATTGCAGATCTTGGCGCTGGTTCTAGGTCCGACTTGAGTAGATTTACTAACCATCCTAGTTGAGTTAGTAACTTGATTATAAAGTTCAGCTGTAGTCTGAGACGCTGTGGATCTGGATCCACTTGTATCCCGTCGCCTAGGTAAAATGCGCCATGTAAGACCTTGACGATGTAGGTATGACACAATAGGCTTCGGCCACTCTTGTGAATACCCAAGGGGCCGATGAGATTCCCAAGGGAAGTACTTTCCATTGGTAATGTTTCCGCCTAGGATAAATCTTAGATATTTCCTTGAATTGGGATGAATCGAATGTGTAGATATGCCTTGCAAATCTATGCTGGCCATGTAATCTTTGGGACTAATTAAGTGCCGGTTTATGTAAGTGTATCATGCTAAACGCTGGCGGTTTGCTTAGATAGTCTTTGTTGAAGATGCTCATGTTGTATATGAGACGAAACTTTTCCTTGGAATTTTTCTTGGGCACTAGGAAAACTGGGGAGTAGAAACCTGGTACGATGTTTCGCTGATCCAGAACTTCTAAGGCCTGTTTGTTTAGCAGAGTAGCTACTGTTTCTCTTAACATAGGTAGTTGTGCCGGTTGAAAGTCGAACCTTGGAGGGATGACTGTTAACGGAGGTATGGCCTTGAGTTGTATTTGATATCCGTGCTGTAGGATGTTGGATACATAAGGATCTTGTAGTAATCCCCAGTTTTCCCAGTGCAGCTGAAGGCGTCCACCCACTTGAGAAGGTTGTACTGGAACGGCTGGGGGTGGAAGACTCCAGTCGCTCCGAACCTGTATTTCATCGCCTAAACTGCTGGAACCTCTGGATGATCTGCCTCTTGCTGATCCTCCTCTGAAATTGCTGTATGGGCTTACTTTAAAAGATTCCTGGGACCTTTGCTGTAGCCAATTTCTTGTCCCGCTTTTCTGTAGTCCAGAGAATTTAGACTTGCCAGAGTATCTCAAGGATGATTGCTTAATGACGCTCGCTAACGTATCCATGGACTTGATCATAAGCACCTCTCTAGAGTCCTTAGACACCTCTTTGGAGACCTTGTCTATGTTACCACCAAAGAGTAAGGGCTGATGACCATGGGGCAGCGTAGAGTGATTCCGTGAAATTGATTATCCCAATTGCAGGAGGCTAGTAGACCCTGACGACGAGCCATGGTAGTAGCTTCAGTAAGCTGACAAGTGATCTGTAAGGAACTGATGGTCTCTTTTCTGCATGAGTAGAGCCGAGTAGATCATTCTATCTTCCTCCTCTGTAGAATCTTTGAACTTGGTGATGAGAGTTTCATTGACAGTTCTAGATCTATTCAATCCAAAAACATTCTCCTAGAAATGGTATCCAACTGGGCTAGTTTGGCGATCGCCTATTCTGTAATTTCTGGACTTGGCATCACTGATTAACTTAAAGTTGTCATCAATCTCTTGAGCCTTGAAAAAGGAGTCCATATTGTGACCTGCAAATTTCTTGGCGCTGAAAAACCGGAAATGTGTTGATTGGAATTTCAGATTTGGTAAAGGCTGTATCCAGATTAGCTGGAACCGCTGCTATCGGGTCAATAGGAGGTAAGGAGATAGTGTCCGCATCATCTTCCTTCATCAAATAAGTATGAGCTGAGTTCTCGCTCTTAGACGGGAAGCAAGTTCCAATCCATTCACCATCCAGTATCTAATTTCTGCATCTGAGAATACGATACCTTCTTCCTCTTCTGACGAGGATCACATATAATAGAGTGAGGTGGAGTCCTAGATCTGTAAGAAGATCGACGAAGATTGTGGTGAACGGACTGACGAAAGTGGCTAGTATAGGGAGACCTTGGAGGAGACTTCCTCGGCTAACGCTGGTGGCTTCGCGGAAGCTCTCGATGAATCCCTTCTAGATCTTCTGGGTGAAGATGACTTGGAGCCACTTAACCTTCGTGATGGCCTTCGGAAGGTATCGAGTCAGAGTCCTAATCATTATATGGGAGCCTGCTTCGCGAATCGACCTCTGTGTTCTACAGGGTCTGAGCTCGGTGAAGCACTCCTCCTCCGCGAAGCCCTTCGCAACTGGTGAGGATCTGATCCTTCGTGGAGGCTGCCTGGGACGCTTCTTCGCGAAGGCTTCGATACGGGCTGGGTTGCCCTTCGTGGAGGCGCTGCTTTGTGGGCTCTAGGGTCTCTACGCTGAAGTCAAGCGGGCTCTGGGGCCCTGTATGACTTATTATGGGTTGGGCTCTGGGGCCCGCGGCTCTGAGGCCTCTGTAAACCGTATCGGTCTTCCATCAACATCATGATTTGGTTAACCAGGTCGTCTGGGACGGTCTGCGCTGGCGTTGAGGGTGTCCTCTCTGTGATAGTGACGGGACCCTCAGTTATAATCTCAGGCGTCAGCGTAGGCATCTCTGGTTGCGTGTTGATCTGCGCTGAAGTGACGGTAGCCGATACTGGTCGCTTCTTATGCCGTACATCTGGAATGATAATCGGAATGTCATCATCATATAAACACAATTCTGAAACAGGTAGAATGTCAGAAGCAAAGTTTTTAGTAGCCTTCGTGGATTTCCCTTTGACGGCTGTAGACCTGGGGGTTCGAGCGCACGCTGAGACGACGCGGAAGCTCTTCTAGTCTTAGACTGTGATGATGGAATGTCCTGGGATGCAGGTCGCTTCTTGATATAGCGGATCATGCCCCACGCTTATCCCCGAAGGTAACTCAGGCGAACACCAGACGGTAGAGGGTCAGTCCGCCAACAGTTGACAGGGTATATCTGACTCTGATCTATTAGCCATGACTGAAGATTGTTTCCGAGATCTATCTGTCACCTGCCCAAGACGGAATATAAATATTTATCAAAGGCAGAATTAGACAAATTAATACATAATTTGCAGCGTGAAACAATAGAGCATGGAGTTATGCAACTAGGGCATATTAAATGCGGATCGGCAGCAGAGTAACGTAATTTACAAACAGTGCAGATTTTCATTAACGAAACTGTTGAGCAAACACGGCTAACCGTGAATAAAGCAGCAGAAACACGAATAATTATCAATGCATGTTGAATAAGGATACTAGTTACACCTCTATAGATGAATATAAGAGGTACCAAACTAAATATAAATAAAGGATATAGTGTGTAGGAGACACAGGCGCTCTCACGCCCAGCTCACTGGGCTAAGAAGGAGAGAGTGAGGCACATGGTGGGAGGTGGCTTCGCTCCTCTGCCATAAGGGAAAGATAACTCGTGGTGAGTACTAATTAGTGATTTTACATTGAAGGAACTTCAATTGGGAGATACAAGTGTTCCACTGTGTTCAAGAAGAAGAAGAAGACAAGCAAATAAGCATGAGTCAGGATAAGGAAAAACCGATTCTCATCCTACTGCATACAGATCAACATCCTACTGCATACTGATTCTCATCCTACTGCATACCGATTCTCATCCTACTGCATACCGATTCACATCCTACTGCATACTGATTCTCACCCTACTGCATACCGATTCACATCCTACTGCATACTGATTCTCATCCTATTGCATACCGATTCACATCCTACTGCATACCGATTTTCATCCTACTGCATACTGATTCTCATCCTACTGCATACCGATTCACATCCTACTGCATACAGATCAACATCCTACTGCATACTGATTCACATCCTACTGCATACCAATTCTCATCCTACTGCATACCGATTCACATCCTACTGCATACTGATTCTCATCCTACTGCATACCGATTAACATCCTACTGCATACTGATCAACATCCTACTGCATACCGATTCTCATCCTACTGCATACCGATTCTCATCCTACTGCATACAGATCAACATCCAACTGCATACTGATTCACATCCTACTGCATACTGATTCTCATCCTACTGCATACCGATTCTCATCCTACTGCATACCGATTCTCATCCTACTGCATACTGATTCTCATCCTACTGCATACCGATTCACATCCTACTGCATACTGATTAACATCCTAATCCTACTGCATACTGATTCTCATCCTACTGCATACCGATTCACATCCTACTGCATACTGATTAACATCCTACTGCATACCGATTCTCATCCTACTGCATACCGATTCACATCCTACTGCATACAGATTCTCATCCTACTGCATACCGATTCACATCCTACTGCATACAGATGCATACTGCGATTCTCATCCTACTGCATACCGATTCTCATCCTACTGCATACCGATTCTCATCCTACTGCATACTGATTCTCATCCTACTGCATACAGATCAACATCCTACTGCATACTGATTCTCATCCTACTGCATACAGATCAACATCCTACTGCATACTGATTCACATCCTACTGCATACTGATTCTCATCCTACTGCATACCGATTCTCATCCTACTGCATACTGATTCTCATCCTACTGCATACAGATCAACATCCTACTGCATACTGATTCACATCCTACTGCATACCGATTCTCATCCTACTGCATACCAATTCTCATCCTACTGCATACAGATTAACATCCTACTGCATACAGATTCACATCCTACTGCATACAGATTCACATCCTACTGCATACTGATCAACATCCTACTGCATACCGATTCACATCCTACTGCATACCGATTCTCATCCTACTGCATACCGATTCTCATCCTACTGCATACAGATTAACATCCTACTGCATACCGATTCTCATCCTACTGCATACAGATTAACATCCTACTGCATACTGATTCACATCCTAATGTATACCGATTAACATCCTACTGCATACTGATCACATCCTACTGCGTACCGAACCGATTCACTTCCAGCTGAGGCTTATTTCAAGCAGTCACTTGAGAGGAAGTGCTACATGCTTCAGAATGGAGCAGGACCAATGCCCTAGAAACTGAGAAGCTAACAAGCAGGAATTTGTCAGCCATCCATGGACTCTCTGTGAAATACTCTTAAATTTGACTGATTTGAGTGCTGAGCAGAGGTCAACCTGACATCACCTCTAGACGACCACAGAGACTTGAAGTTGATGTCCAAAGACAAAAATATCGGAAAGTCAGTTTCAATATGTGCAGAAAGAGGACACTTACTTTGAATGGTCTGTGTCCATCTCATCGAACACGGACTCCGCAGTGACTTGCTCAGTGACGCCCATCATGTAGTAGAAGTAGGAGAAGGCGTACTGCATGTCTTTGGAGTGTCGCACCTTGTGGGAGGAGGTCACGTCCCACTCATTTGGAAACCTGCAATGATCATGTTTCTGTTACACAGGGAGCCACAGGAAGATTGTCATACACTTCTCTTACAACTCCAACTATATGTGACAATGATCATGTTTCTGTTACACAGGGAGCCACTGGAAGATTGTCATACGCTTCTCTTACAACTCCAACTATATGTGACAATGATCATGTTTCTGTTACACAGGGAGCCATTGGAAGATTGTCATACGCTTCTCTTACAACTCCAACTATATGTGACAATGATTATGTTTCTGTTACACAGGGAGCCACTGGAAGATTGTCATACGCTTCTCTTACAACTCCAACTGTATGTGACAATGACCATGTTTCTGTTACACAGGGAGCCGCTGGAAGATTGTCATATGCTTCTCTTACAACTCCAACTATATGTGTCTGTGAATAGTTTAACTCTACGGATTTCTAGACAGACAATTATGTGCCTGTAGATCAAGTGATTCTGTTGTTATTCAGACTGTATATCGGTCACATTGTGTTTGTCAGTCATGTGATTTGTACTTACTGGGCCTGTAGATCGTCCATATTGTGTTGTCAGTCATGTGATTTGTACTTACTGGGCCTGTAGATCGGCCATATTGTGTTTTTCAGTCATGTGATTTGTACTTACTGGGCCTGTAGATCGGCCATATTGTGTTTTTCAGTCATGTGATTTGTACATACTGGGCCTGTAGATCCACAATACTGTGTTTGTTAGTCATGTGATTTGTACTTACTGGGCCTGTAGATCGGCCATATTGTATTTGTCAATCATGTGATTTGTACTTACTGGGCCTGTAGATCGGCCATATTGTGTTTGTAAGTCATGTGATTTGTACACACTGGGCCTGTAGATCCACAATACTGTGTTTGTTAGTCATGTGATTTGTACTTACTGGGCCTGTAGATCGGCCATATTGTATTTGTCAATCATGTGATTTGTACACACTGGGCCTGTAGATCGGCCATATTGTATTTGTCAGTCATGTCATTTGTACTTACGGGGCCTGTAGATCGGCCATACTGTGTTTGTCAGTCATGTGATTTGTACACACTGGGCCTGTAGATCGTCCATGCTGTGTTTGTCAGTCATGTGATTTGTTATTACTGGGCCTGTAGATCGGCCATACTGTTTGTCAGTCATGTGATTTGTACTTACTGGGCCTGTAGATCGGCCATATTGTGTTTGTCAGTCATGTGATTTGTACACACTGGGCCTGTAGATCGGCCATATTGTGTTTGTCAATCATGTGATTTGTACACACTGGGCCTGTAGATCGGCCATATTGTATTTGTCAATCATGTGATTTGTACACACTGGGCCTGTAGATCGCCCATACTGTGTTTGTCAGTCATGTGATTTGTACACACTGGGCCTGTAGATCGGCCATATTGTATTTGTCAATCATGTGATTTGTACACACTGGGCCTGTAGATCGCCATACTGTGTTTGTCAGTCATGTGATTTGTACTTACTGGGCCTGTAGATCGGTCATATTGTATTTGTCAATCATGTGATTTGTACTTACTAGGCCTGTAGATCGGCCATATTGTGTTTGTCAATCATGTGATTTGTACACACTGGGCCTGTAGATCGGCCATATTGTGTTTGTCAGTCATGTCATTTGTACACACTGGGCCTGTAGATCGGTCATATTGTATTTGTCAATCATGTGATTTGTACTTACTAGGCCTGTAGATCGGCCATATTGTGTTTGTCAGTCATGTGATTTGTACTTACTGGGCCTGTAGATCGGCCATATTGTGTTTGTCAATCATGTGATTTGTACACACTGGGCCTGTATATCGGCCATATTGTATTTGTCAATCATGTGATTTGTACACACTGGGCCTGTAGATCGCCCATACTGTGTTTGTCAGTCATGTGATTTGTACTTACTGGGCCTGTAGATTGGCCATATTGTGTTTGTCAGTCATGTGATTTGTACACACTGGGCCTGTAGATCGGCCATATTGTGTTTGTCAGTCATGTGATTTGTACTTACTGGGCCTGTAGATCGGCCATATTGTGTTTGTCAATCATGTGATTTGTACACACTGGGCCTGTAGATCGGCCATATTGTGTTTGTCAGTCATGTGATTTGTACACACTGGGCCTGTATATCGGCCATATTGTATTTGTCAATCATGTGATTTGTACAGACTGGGCCTGTAGATCGCCCATACTGTGTTTGTCAGTCATGTGATTTGTACACACTGGGCCTGTAGATCGGCCATATTGTATTTGTCAATCATGTGATTTGTACACACTGGGCCAGTAGATCGGCCATATTGTATTTGTCAGTCATGTCATTTGTACACACTGGGCCTGTAGATCGGCCATGTTGTATTTGTCAATCATGTGATTTGTACACACTGGGCCTGTAGATCGGCCATACTGTATTTGTCAATCATGTGATTTGTACACACTGGGCCTGTAGATCGGCCATATTGTATTTGTCAGTCATGTCATTTGTACTTACGGGGCCTGTAGATCGGCCATACTGTGTTTGTCAGTCATGTGATTTGTACACACTGGGCCTGTAGATCGTCCATGCTGTGTTTGTCAGTCATGTGATTTGTTATTACTGGGCCTGTAGATCGGCCATACTGTGTTTGTCAGTCATGTGATTTGTACTTACTGGGCCTGTAGATCGCCATATTGTGTTTGTCAGTCATGTGATTTGTACACACTGGGCCTGTAGATCGCCATATTGTGTTTGTCAATCATGTGATTTGTACACACTGGGCCTGTAGATCGGCCATATTGTATTTGTCAATCATGTGATTTGTACACACTGGGCCTGTAGATCGCCCATACTGTGTTTGTCAGTCATGTGATTTGTACACACTGGGCCTGTAGATCGGCCATATTGTATTTGTCAATCATGTGATTTGTACACACTGGGCCTGTAGATCGGCCATACTGTGTTTGTCAGTCATGTAATTTGTACTTACTGGGCCTGTAGATCGGTCATATTGTATTTGTCAATCATGTGATTTGTACTTACTAGGCCTGTAGATCGGCCATATTGTGTTTGTCAGTCATGTGATTTGTACACACTGGGCCTGTAGATCGGCCATACTGTGTTTGTCAGTCATGTGATTTGTACTTACTGGGCCTGTAGATTGGCCATATTGTGTTTGTCAGTCATGTGATTTGTACACACTGGGCCTGTAGATCGGCCATATTGTGTTTGTCAGTCATGTGATTTGTACTTACTGGGCCTGTAGATCGGCCATATTGTGTTTGTCAATCATGTGATTTGTACACACTGGGCCTGTAGATCGGCCATATTGTGTTTGTCAGTCATGTGATTTGTACACACTGGGCCTGTATATCGGCCATATTGTATTTGTCAATCATGTGATTTGTACAGACTGGGCCTGTAGATCGCCCATACTGTGTTTGTCAGTCATGTGATTTGTACACACTGGGCCTGTAGATCGGCCATATTGTATTTGTCAGTCATGTGATTTGTACACACTGGGCCTGTAGATCGCCCATACTGTGTTTGTCAGTCATGTGATTTGTACTTACTAGGCCTGTAGATCGGCCATATTGTGTTTGTCAGTCATGTGATTTGTACTTACTGGGCCTGTAGATCGGTCATATTGTATTTGTCAATCATGTGATTTGTACTTACTAGGCCTGTAGATCGGCCATATTGTGTTTGTCAGTCATGTGATTTGTACTTACTGGGCCTGTAGATTGGCCATGATGTGCTTGTCAATCATATGTGGCATGTGAGCGGGCACCTTCCTTGCCACAAATCCAAAGGCCTTGTTGTAGATCTTGTTAACATGACGAAGAGAGTCTCCAAAGGTGTCAAGCAGACGACGACCATTATGATGAGGTATCTCAAATGCTTTGGCTCTCAATACATTCTCTTTCATCTGAAACAGCAGCATAGAACTGTTGATGCTTAATACTGAATTAGTGAGTGAAAGGAACAGAGTCTTGACCAGACAACCCAGAATATGATGACATACTCAATAACCACATGAATATGGTACATGGGCCTTGTCTGCCCTGATATCATAGCAGGGGAAAAAGCATGCAGTACTGGGGACTAGTCTCTCTTGACATCCCTACATGGGGACAAGCATACAGTAATGGAACCTGGTATCACGATCTACAGGCCCAGTGTGTACAACCCAGAATATGATGACATACTCAATAACCACATGAATATGGTACATGGGCCTTGTCTGCCCTGATATCATAGCAGGGGAAAAAGCATGCAGTACTGGGGACTAGTCTCTCTTGACATCCCTACATGGGGACAAGCATACAGTAATGGAACCTGGTATCACAGGACCTTGTGTCTTTGCGAGAATTAAAGATGAAAAAATATTTTTGAGATGACCCCCGACTCAAAAAGCTTCACAGTACAATACATCAGGACAAGGCCGGACAATTTGGTGCACCCTACCTGCCTGCTTTGCTGATCGCTGCGCTACCAATGCATGCAATTGTTTAAAACTTAATGTAAACATAATCATGGATTTCTTTGATGGGCATTTTAGAAGTTGAGTTGATGAAGAATAATGACAATTATTATCGATATACAACTTCTTTTATTTTGTGGAGGCGACGTTTCGACATAGGTTCTAATGTCATTGTCAAGCAAGTGATACATGAGTAACAAATTGAGAGAATATATACAGGAGTTGTTGTTACAGTAGATAGGAATGAGTTGTTTATACAATAGATGAGGTTGATGTACAACATTTGTATGAGAGATCTACTGTGCTTTTCAAGCACCATTCATGACACCTACCAGTTCTTTATTGTTATTTCTGCAAGTTGATAGAAACCAGATGTTTGCTCTCAACTAAACTATCTTGACACAAATGGATGACGATATGTTGTCCGCAAACAACGGGGTGTGGTCGAAGCAAGCCCTGTGATTGGTCAACGGTTGTAAATCTTCACATTCTTTATAAATTCGCAGGAATTTATACTTTCATCGACTGCTTGACATGGAAATGTAAAAATGTTTTTATCCAGCAATGGCTTCTCAAAGAATGCATCAGTTGTAAATGTCTCCTTAACAAGCATCAACCAACCAGAGCGTTGCTTCGACCACATCCCCATTTTGTGTGGATATATCGTCATCCATTTGTGTAAAGATCGTTTAGTTAAGAGTCAAAATCAGATTTCAATCGACTTGCAGAAAAACAATAAAGAATCGGTAGGTGTCATGAGTGGTGCTTGATAGGCCAATCATCCATGATTATGTTTACATTAAGTTTTAAACAATTGCATGCGGTGGTAGCATAGTGATCGGCAAAGCAGGCGGGTAGGGTGCACCAAAGTGTCTGGCCTTGTCATTATGTATTGTACATAGTACATCATATTAGCAAAAAGTGTTTAGAGTTATCTGCCCTATGTGTGTTCTGAAACACAAAATACACCGAAACACTGAAGTAAAGCAGGTTCAGACAAAAGAGCTCAGATTACTCACACAATGATGCAGTTTTGTACCACAATGGTCCAAATGAACAAAGCAGGCTAGTGTTATAACAATGACTGACTAAATGACTGATGAGTTGGCTTTAATGCAATTTGTAGCAACATTCAATTAATATCACAGCGGGGAACAGCAGAAATGGGCTTCACACATTGCACCCACATGGGGAATTGAACCCAGGCCTTCGGTGTGACGAGTGAATGCTTCAACCACCAGGCTACCCCACTGCCCTTATAGCAATGATTAAAGGATGTATCGGTGTGAGTCAACCATAGCTACCTTCTGTAGTTCAGCAAACAGATTCTTCCTCTCCCATGGGAGAGCACCAGTCTCCTTGCCAACCTTCACCTTGTCCAGAAACTCAGCCTCAGTCTCATCTTCCGCAAACCTCATTGTCATGTCCACCATAACTCCCATCCAATATGGCTGCCTCATCCTGGGAATATGCTACCACCTTCACCCCCTTCTTCCTCTCTCTTGTGTCATGGTCATGTCTTCCTGGCGCCAGTCTGATGGAATCCCTAGAAGCTTCCTTGAAGCATGGTGTGCCCCTCCATCCAACCCTTGACCTTTCACATTAGAACCTTGCCCTGTGTTATTTAAAACCTGACCTTTCACATTAGAACCTTGCCCTGTGTTATTTAACCCTTGACCTTTCACAATAGACCCTTGCCCTGTGTTATTCAACCCTTGACCTTTCACAATAGACCCTTGTCTTGTGTTATTTAACCTCTGACTATTATTTGCACTGTCCTGCGTGCCATTAAGTAACTTCGTTGATTTTGTTTCCAGTGGATAGTTAGGATCATCTTTTATTTTCATGTACTTGGCATATAGAAGCTTCCAATTAATTTCATATCCTTTTTGTGTGAGGTCACCTGAAAACAATACAGAGCATTATTTTTCAACAGACTCAAATACTGGAGACAGATAAAACATTTAACATCTGTTCCTTCAATATAGTTTGAAACATTACCAAAATCTATTCAAAATCATTCAACATATATAAATCATTCGGTATTCAAAATGAATCAGCATACAAAGACAATAATACATAATGCACCCAGCAATATTCCCAACCAATGATTGATATCATGAGCAACAAGCCACTCCATCAAAGACACTGTGTCTGTGTGTATGTCTCTGTGATTGTCTACCCATTTTTCTTTTTACTGCCTTCATGTTTTGAGGAAATCAAAAGTTTTTTTAAACCTACAGTCATGAATTTTAGGTTTAACAAATCTGTGAACTGATCAGATTCTTGGTTGTGTTTACCTTCTTGCAAGGCCTTGTTCAGTGTCACTAATTCTTCCCTGATTACAGCTGGCAGAATCACATTGGTCAGGTTCCGGTCAACACCAGCAGGGATGGAGGGTACACCTGCCCCGCCCACTTTCATCTCTCCCTGCATCGGTCTGGGGTGCCTGGAGGAAGAGAATTATTATGGAGATCAGTCAGGGCAATAACTGACTGTCAGATAGAAAGATAGTCTAAAGATTTGGAGGACATGTCTCACAACTTTAGCATCACAAACAATAACTGGGGCAATAGGGTAGCTTAGTGGTTACAGTGTTTGCCCATCATGACAAAGACCCGGGTTCAATTCCCCACATGGGTTCAATGTGTCCCCCACCATAATATTGCTGGAATATTGCTGAAAGCGGCATAAAACCCAACCGATTCACTCACTCACTCACTCCTCAATCAACAATCAATTTCCAAGGACCTCAGGTAATTAATTCATCAAATAATGTTAATTGTTCACAGATTTATAACAGAATTATAATTAGCATACAAAGGTGGGTTTTGAATGTTTCTTTATCAAAGTTCCTTGGACATTCAATTGTCCCCTTGAAACGACACATTGCAACTCACTGCTCTTCCTCTGGAACTTCCTGTATGAGGACAACATCATCTTCCTCATCCCCAGCCCCATCAACAGCATGAGTGAGGTTCATGACCTTATTCCTTGCCTGCTTCTCATACACCTCCATCAGGGTCTTGTTGGTGTTCACAGTCATTGTGAAGTTGAACTGAAGTCAGACACAGCCTCTATCAGCTTGTCACATTAGTTTAAAGCCACACTTAGCAATATTCTAGCTATACAAGTGTGTCATCAGACACAGACTCTATCAGCTTGTCACATTTGCTTAAAGCCACACTGGCAATTGATTTGAACCCTGAACAGTATTACAACTTATTACAAGAAAAGGAGCATCATCAAGATATTTCATGCCACAGAAGAGACACTGTTCTACTGAGTGATCTTAGCACCAATTCACATAAACTTACAATGTATCCACACAGCAACTGTCATAATGAACATACTTTAACATAGACAAGTTTATGATAGCTATTTTTAATATATTTAAGTGAATGGGTGAATATTGTTTTAAAACAGTCATTCCCGATATATATCATCTGATTATAAATATTTACGTCAGCACCACCCGGGACCTAGTGCCAATGACACAATGACACAGAGTCAGACAACCCTCCAAAGCTGGGAGGGGGAAAATCAATATTGTACATAAAAATATGTTAAAAATTATGCTTAGAAATTATGGGGAGGGGAGGGGGATAACTGATTCTGTACATGACATGCAGGGGGGTCACTTATTTTGTACATAAATTTTAGGGGGGGGTCATTCACATTGTACATGCTTCTCCATAAAAATCAGCATCACCACCCCCCTAGCCATAAATTATGGATGGTCCCTAACTCGGTAACAATGAAATCATGCTTACTCTGAATGCTTTATTCAACCCTTGGTGACCCTTCAGTTGGAATTGCAAGGTTGTTTCATTGTGGTTATGTTGCAGAACGATGGTCATGACCTTATACTTGTTGCCCACGGCAACCTGTCTGATGATGCTGCTGTCATTGTAAGATGCCTCTGTTATCATCCCATCTGCCAGGACGACATCCGTCAGGTTGAAGAAGCCCACAAACTCTCCTGTCAAAGTGAAACATATAATCTGTTCAAACTCCTTACCAATTTACACGAGCAGAAAGACCTACTATATCCTAAAACAAATCACATTTATCTCATGATAGCCCATAACTAATTGATGATGGACCAGACAATCTAGTGATGGACACTGTGAGCAACCATCCATGCTGTCTGGGTAGAGTGTCATGCTGTCTGGGTAGAGTTTCATGCTGTCTGGGTACAGTGCATGCTGTCTGGGTACAGTGGCATGCTGTCTGGGTACAGTCTCATGCTGTCTGGGTGCAGTGGCATGCTGTCTGGGTACAGTGTCTGCTGTCTGGGTACAGTGTCATGCTGTCTGGGTACAGTGTCTGCTGTCTGGGTACAGTGTCATGCTGTCTGGGTAGAGTGTCATGCTGTCTGGGTAGAGTGTCATGCTGTCTGGGTACAGTGTCATGCTGTCTGGGTACAGTGGCATGCTGTCTGGGTACAGTGGCATGCTGTCTGGGTACAGTGTCATGCTGTCTGGATACAGTGGCATGCTGTCAACCACTTTGGCCACATTATCCACTTGGTCACCTCTTGTCACCAGCAGAGGTTGCTGGGGACCAATTCTAACCCAGAACCCCCATGGCATCAACACTGAAGTATGTTTAGACTTTTACACTAATATCTGTAAAATAATGTAATTTTCTGAATAAAAGTGATATTTTATACTTATCCTGACTCATGTATTATTGCTTGTCTCCATTCCTCTTGCGAACGTTAGTGGAACACTTGTATCTCCTATTGAAGCTCCCTTCAATAAAAAACAGACGTAAAATCACTACTCACCAAGAGTTATCTGTCTGGCCGTTTTGGCGGGAAAGCGGCCCCACCATACTCCCATGCTTCACTCTCTCCGAATTATGAGCCCGACCCTTTAATTTACAGGGAAATCCAAAGTGTCTAGTGGGGAGGTTGGGAGGGCTTACCTCATGAGTCAGGATAAGTATAAAATATCAATTTTATTCAGAAAATTACATATTTTTCCTTATCCTGACTCATGTATTATTGCTTGTAGAATCCGACGGATTTGGTGGTGGGTCAAGCCACTTCTGGATTCCATGTAGTGATTTACGTCTTGCATACCCCCCTATGGGAACTTCCTGGTAGCACTTCTTTTACTGCTAGGCTCTGCTGCTGCTGTAACCCTTCACTTCCAGCTTTCTCTGATGGGGGGACCACAATTGTTAACTTTTGGTCATTGCTTCTGTTAACATTTTATGTGGATTTTGCAACTGCATCTCTTGATGCGAGCATCAAGTGGAGAAGCGACCCTTTCCTGTACGAGTATGTCCTTACAAGTACTGGGTCATATAACTTATGCTAGTCTGTCCGAGATGTGCATATAGACTCTAAAGCTGAACTCTCCTGAGTGTAAGCTTTTGCAAGTCATGTGATAAAAAGGCTACATGTGCTACAACAATTGGGCCGAAATGGTGAATGCCAGAGACGTCCTCAGTGGCGATGTCCCTCAGGTAGTGGTTGGCAAACACCATGTCCCATTTCCAGAAGCAGCCCTCCATTATCGTCCTGATACAGCAATTCCCATGTAGAGCGAGTGTTGACGCCAGAGCTCTAACTTCATGTGGGTTGGAGGCTCTTGGAGGATCAAGTCCTGCTGCGTTGTAGGCCCGTAGTATGACAGTTCTGATCCAGATTGATATCTTAGTGCGGAAGACCTCCGTCTGTGTCGCTGTCAATATCGGGACGAAAAGACGCTTGAATTTCCGTCTCCTGGACCTGGATCTTTGTAGGTAGACTTTCAATGCTCTCACTGGGCACAAGGATAGGACCTGCGTATCCTGTGGGCCAAGGACTGATGATAGTGTTGGGACGTGGAACTGTCTGTCTGGATGACCTGGCAGTTGATTCTTTGCTATGAAGTCCCATCTCAGTCCCATATGCACGATGTTTTAATTTTCATCAAATCGTGTTCTCTCGAAGTCCAGAGCATGTATTTCCGACATCCTTGCTGCTGTTGCTAAGGCGATCAGGAACAGCGTCTTCTATGTCAAGAACTTCGAAGGATGTCCTCTCTAATGGTTCGTAGATGTCACTGGTGAGATGTCAGTAGAATTACGTTGAGGTCCCACCGGAGCTTTAAATCTCTGTTGTTGGTCCTCCAATTTAAAAGGGCGTAGTAAGGCCAGTAACTCTGGTACTTTCGCCAGTTGCACTCGTCCTCATGGTGATGACTGAGCTCAATGCAGGTATGTTGAGAGTGTTGACTTTTAGGTATGTTGAGAGTGTTGACCCTTTTAACGGCTTCGCTTGTCTAGGTGACAAAGGTAGTCCGCCACTTGAGGGTGTGTCGCTTTTGCCGTATGGCTGTGAAGCCGGTCCTCGGTAGTTATGTCTTGAAGCTTTCGCCACTTTCGTTGGAGGTCCTTAACCGTCATTTTTCTGCAACATCCTCGTGCGGTGGTGGAGGTTTATTAGTGGTGCTCCCATCTCTTGTATGATCTGCTTGAAGATCTCTGGATGTAGCATCCATTCTGTTGAGGATGGCTGCGTTGGACGGGATAGTGCATCTGCTCCTGGAATGTGGCATGCTCTTATGTGGATGTTCAGGTTGTCTGTTATGCTGGCCAGTTGAAAGCAGAGGTCCAGAAGGTTCGGGACCTTGTTGATCCTTCTGTGTATGTAGAACGCCACTGTGGAGTTGTCTGTATGTACCGTCAGATGAGCATTCTTCAAAATGCTGGTCCAGTGGAGTATGGCGTTTATCACTGCTTTCATTTCTAGCATGTTGATGTGCAGATCTTTCCCTGCTATGGTCCATATCCCAGCTGACACTTCGTTGTCGAGGTGTGCTCCCCAACCTTGGAGAGATGCGTCCACATAGAGATGCGCCTTGCACTCCGGCTCTGCTAAATAGGTGCTTCTGCGACCATCCGATTTCTGAGTCCACCATATTAGATATGGTTTTAGTCTGTTCGGGAGTCCGAAGGTGTCCGGATCGTCCAGTTGTACATTCACAAAGACCTGTAGTGGGCGTAGTTGTAGACTCCGTCTTCGTGTCATGTCCTGTGCTGATGTGAGAAGATCCAACAGACTCTGCCACTTCGTAGTAATAACGGAGAGAGTAGTGCTTGTCCGACTCTGTGACTGCCATCGTTGTGAAGTCGATATAAAGTAGTCTGGCTCAATTCGTCTGATGAATCGTCTTCAATGTTGACAGGGAAGGTCTCTAACCCCGTGAAGGCAGCCAAATCACGTAGGTCCCTTCTAACTGGACTGTAATTGAGGCCTTCCTCTCTCGTTGACAGGTTGTTGTCACTTGTAACCCATTTCCTGACATGTGAACTCCGCCGACCTCTGCGCAGGGCGTTGTCTCTCATGGTCCAATTAAAATAAAGCATTTTGATTCCTTTGGCTTCCCGCGATGTGACGTCACCATGGTAGCAGGAAAAAGGTCCTTGTAAAATCTAGTGCCGCCGTTGATATCTTATCACCACTCGGTCTGTCCGTAGCCTTCCGGAGTTACACGAGTGACCACGTGTATTGAGGGTTGAATGGTAAACGCGCGAAATATTTCGCCGCGTAATACCGATGTAGGTAGGCTGTTTTCCTGGCTGCTGTGACTGTTTCTTCAGTCCTGAAGATAATGCCGTCGCCCTTTTATACAGATGATCAGCTGAAATCTTCACGTCCTCAGTGCTGCTATTGTAGACTGCATACATCGATCTCCATGAAGCGTCGTAATTGTAGAGTTGATGCTGAACTTTGTTGTAAATTCTACCCAGGGTGTCATTGATGATTTTGTAGTTTCCTAGCCTTAGCAAGGCTGCTGCTGAACCACGCCAGTGTGAATATCTGCCGATCTGTACGGAAGTGAAGATCTCTATATGGCCATGAGTCTTCTGATGTAGATATATCAATCTATGTGAATCCCGTCCTGGATTCAGTCTGAAGATCCGTGCCGGTGATGAATTCGGACAAGAGTACCCCTCTTGAACTGCATTACATGTCCCTCAGTCTTTGTGCCGGCGAAGATCTTTCCCTGCTAGGGTGACGCTAGGTCCAGTCCGCCATCATGTCCTGGTTGAATATCCTTGAAGATCTGCGTAGCAATCTGCGTGGCGGTCTGCGTGGTGCGTAGGTATGGTGCCCTATGTGTCCGGGATTGCCTTCCTGGCAATGTATTCCTAAGTGGGGATTCCCGTGATGATCTGCGAGGCGTTGTTGATGTCCTTGATGTAGGTAGTCGGCGTGAAGGTCCTTTATTGGGCTCATCATCTGTTGACGGTCTCTGAAGATTGCTGACGCCATGTAGCGTTCTGTTGAGAGTCTGAGTACTGCGACGTCTCTGCGTTGTAGATGGCCTGCGCGAATGCCTTCGCGCAGGCTCGTTGACGTCCTGTAGAGTTGAGTGCTGCATTCTCTTCCTTAGAGGGTGATGTCTATGTCAGGTCCACTGTTATGAGATCGTTGATCGTCCTTCGCTGGGGATCTGCGTGGAGACCTGCGTGAAGACCTGCGTGGAGATCTGCGTGGAGACCTGCGTGGAGATCTGTGTGAAGACCTGCGTGAAGACCTGCGTGGAGACCTGCGTGGAGATCTGCGTGGAGATCTGCCTGTTGAGCTGCGTCTGTAGGGCGATCTGCGTGGAGACCTGCGTGGAGGTGAGCGTCTCTTGGTTCGTGAATGCCTCGGTGAAGCCCTTGGCGATCTGCGAGATGTTGATGACGTCCTTGAGGCTGTGTCCGAAGGCCTTCGCGGAGGCTGTTCATCTGAGTCGTCATCTGAAGATGAGCGTGCCGTCCTGCGCAGATTTGCTCCTGGTTCTGGGTGTCGCTTCGCTGGAGGGCCTCTCCGAAGTAACGGCAGTGTTGGGTCCTTCGTGCAGGTCCAGGTCGTTTCTGCGGGTGATGACTTGAGCATGAGAGCCCTGTGGCTGTCCATCATGCGATGCTCTTCTTTCGGGAAGCGCTTCTCCATCATCTCCATATCTGCTGAGAGAACTGCTGCATGAAGGCCCCGGGTTGAACATCTGTGATGATTGTAGAGCTGCCCTCTCTGCGCTGGTAGCTATTTGGTCCAGGGATCGCTCATCTGCCGCCAGCATAGATGGTAACTCGCTGCTGCATGAAGACCCTGGGTTGAACGTCTGCGATGATTGTAGAGCTGCCCTCTCTGCGTTGATAGCGATATGGTCCAGGGATCGCTCATCTGCCGCCCTCGGACTGCGTGCTGTATCTCTGGGATGATCAGCAGCGGCTCATCATGAAGTCATCTCTCTTCCATCGGGACGATGTCGGCCGAAAGGTCCCTGTAGTCTGCGCAGACGTCCCCGTAGAGCTGCTAGACGTCTTAGGGGTGTGAGGCTTCATTCCGCGTAGAGGATGGCTTCTTCTTCTTCGTCTGCGTGGAGGGGTTGTCTGATGTAGAAGACCCCTTCTTCGAAGTAATGGCAGACAACATCCCACGCCCATTCTCTGAGGACACCTCCGGCAGGTCACTTGATGGAAGTAAGTCGTCTGACAGCAGTAGACAGCTCGTGAAGAACTCAGCCGGTTTATCCATGACTTGTAAAGTCGCCTGGATTGTCACCAGTACGCCTAAGTACAGAGAAATTTTATTTATTAATTTGGTTTCTGTTAAATGCTGATAAAGATTACATCGATAGCTGGAAGTACATGTTGTTGTGCAGCTAGGGCACAGTCAATGCGGGTCTGCAGCAGCGAACCTAAACCTACAATGAAAACAGGTTTTCATGAAATGTAAACAACTGAACAATCACGTACAAAAAACTGTGAATAAACCGTGAAAATACGAATAAATTTCAAACCATATTGTTGAAGGATACTCCCATAACCCCTATAAAGGTAATTTATAGGGTAATAACTAAATAATCAAAGGATATAGTGCCGTATAGGTGAAACAGGTGTTCTCCCAACCATCCACTAGGGCGAAGAAGGAGAGAGTGAAGCATGGGAGTACGGTGGGGCCGCTTTCCAGCCAAAACGGCCAGACAGATAACTCTTGGTGAGTAGTGATTTTACGTCTGTTTTTTATTGAAGGGAGCTTCAATAGGAGATACAAGTGTTCCACTAACGTTCGCAAGAGGAAGGAGACAAGCAATAATACATGAGTCAGGATAATGAAAAATTACATGATTCACAGAAGAAAAGTTCTTACATTATCTTACTCGTGAAGATTAGAATTGGTCTTCAGTAACCCATGAAAGAGGCGACTAACGGGATTGGGTGGTCAGACTCACTGACTTGATTGACACATGTCATCGTATCCCATTTGCATAGATCGATGCTCATGCTGTTGATCACTGGATTGTCTGGTCCAGACTCGATTATTCACAGACCACTGCCATATAGCTGGAATATTGCTGAGTGCGGCATAAAACTAACCTCACTTTTTACATTATCTTTACAAAATACAATAAAACGGGGCTGAGATTGTCTTCATTTTCAAACTGAAGTAATACAGACTTGCCAACAGATATAGACTTGCATGGTTGTACTGGATAGATTTGTTTCAGGGTCTGTATAACAGACTAACGACATGTTTTGATCTTCAAGATAAGTACTCTCAGGGAGGCCTGCCTATTCTCTATGACAGAAACTGTGATGCATTATCCCATTCTCACTCCCAAACCTATTCTCTAAAGAAAATGTCCTAGGAATTTTGAGGGAATTATATTCCACATGTCATATACATCCTTGTACCTGGTGGAAATGTATAGTTGATCTTATCAAATGACAGATGGATCTGGTACAGCTCATCGTAACTTTTGGTTCCGCAATCCCCAGCATCAAAGCCACACTTCTTGATGTTGCAGGCCTAAAAAACAGCAACACAGACAAATTGTATGTTACAACAAGACACACCAACAAATATATGTGGTTGAATAATAGTTGAGATATTCCTGGGCAAAGCCTTAAGATCATTCAGTACTGACTAAGTTATGATAGGTCACAGCAGTGAGTGAGTGATTTTAGTTTTACGCCGCACTCAGCAATATTCCAGCTATATGGCTGCGGTCTGTAAATAATCTTGTCTGGACCAGACAATCCAGTAATCAATGCCATTAGCATCGATCTATGCATTGGAATACAATGACATGTGTCTACCAAGTCAGCGAGCCTGACCACCCGATCCCGTTAGTCGTCTATTACAACAAGCAAGGGTTGCTGAAGATCAATTCTAACCCATATTTTCACGGGTCATAGGTCACAATCCATTGACAATAGTTGAGAAATTCCTCACCAAAGCCTCAAGGTCATTCATTGTTGAGTGAGATATGATAAATTTGTCATCAAATGGCAAAAGAATTAAATGTATTAATACTCACAGTATCACAGTACTTGTCAGCTATCCAGTTGTTCGCACATCCAGTATTACAGTACGCTAAAATATAAATACAATCACATGTTTATGACAAACTACAGTAATGCATTTATATTCACTTTTTCTTCAATACAGTCATCCCTCGCAATAACGCCCTTCGGGATACTGCAGTAATTGGTTAAACTGCAGGGTAATCTGTCAGAAATTATTCTGATAATGGAATAGAATTTTCGGATTGTTTTTTTAACTGAATCAACGGTAGCTTGGAGCAAAACAGCTGATTGCTATTTCCGGCTTAGTTGAATAACAGGTATTATAACAGGAATGACAATCGAATTACCATGTCTAGTTATATTTGATTGCTAGTTTCCTATCTTCATTTACACAGTTTGTTTGTTCACCTTCGATGATATGATATGGTTTTGACTGGGCACAATATACAAAGTGACAGTTATGCTATGCACATGGAAAATACGATTTTATTTTTCCATGGACCCCAAGACCCACATTATGGCGGTGAAAGACTGTACTTAAATTTCTGCACCATTTTTTGGATGTGTTCCATAGGGTCGTTAGACTCATCTCTCACCTTTGCTTTATGTATTTCATAATGCTTCTACAAATATGTGGTGTATATATAATCAGATATATCTTAGCTGGATCACTTACCTCCTGCTTGGATACACAGAGCTCAGTGATGATAAACTGAGGTTAATTGGGGTATGTGATGGTTGAGCTTGGGTGTAAGAGGGGAGTGTGAGAGTGGAAATTCAGATAGTCATCACCTTGATGGTATCTAATATGCAAAAATACGGGCTATACCTGATAGCCCCTGGATACCAAGTATCCATTGATAGGCCAGACACTGGGGTCCACATATCCTCCCCCGTTACACACCAGAGACACAGTCTCCATATACTCTCTGGTACTCATTTATAGCATGTAGATTTAGGTCTCCAAATCCTACCTCTTGCCATCTATACCCTGTAGACTCAGGTCATCGTATTCTCCCAAGAACCCATCTATAGCCTATAGAATAAGATCCAAACACATACTCCCTTGTACTCAACACTATCTTGGATACATGGCCCTCAATATTCTCCCTGGTACCCACAAATAGCCTGAAGATTTGGATCCCCATATCCTCCCTGATGCCTCCCAATACCCTTAGACCTGTTTCCCCATATTTTCTCTGGTACCCACCTACAGCCTGAAGATTGGGGTCCCCATATCCTCCGTGGTACCCAGCTCCAAGCTGTATTCTGCCTGAATCACCTGAAATGACATATTCATCACAGACAGGTGTGAGTTTTAATCTCACTAAAGTGAAACCTATTCTGTCTGTTTAATAGAGCTAACAGGATGTTTGCAATAGTATTGATATTTGTCAAAATGTTACAGTTTATGTTAAAGACATGAGACCGGAATAGTGAGTGAGTGAGTCAAGTTTTATGCCACACTCAGCAATATTCCAGCTATATGGCAGCATTTACATATGTAAATAATCGCGTCTGGACCAGACAATCCAGTGATCAACGCCATAAGCATTGATCTACGTAATTGGGATATGATGACATGTGTCAACCAAGTCAGAGAGCCTGACCACCCGATCCCATTAGTCACCTCTTACGACAAGCATGGGTTGCTGAAGACCAATCCCAACCCAGATCTTCACAGGTGGCCAGAATAGAGAACAAACATGCACAATATAGGGACTCAAACTAGTGAACTATACACAAAATGGAGTTTGATGTTGCCAGGGTGTAGCATACCTTCACAATCTCCTGCATCCCAGTCACACTCTGAGTTGTTACACGCCTTGTCACAGTAGCCATCTTTAATCCATGTGGAAGGACACCCCTCATTACAGTTGGGCACTGGCCATGTCAGATACACCTGTACATTACAATAACATACTTCTGTAGTTTCTATAGCAACTCACATAGAGGATAAAGATCTTGAATAAACACTGCTGAAGTCACTTGTGATTTTCTACAATTGCCAATTCCTCGGATTGATTTTTATTACCATATATAACTGTAGATAAGCCGAATTTTAAAACATAGCATTCTGTAGAAAGGGGTTGCTGTATCTAAAAGTAACACTTTCATCACACTTTTTCTAGTGGTAAGACAATGATGACATCGTATCACTTTGTGTGAGAATTTGGGTGCCATATCAGCACAAAGTTGACTGACAAATTTCTAATACATTTCTCAGTAACTACTGTCAAAAATTTGACTTGATACCCAAATGATTCCACTGAAACTGCAACACTTAAAGTCAGGCATAAATCCTGGCTTCATTTAACAGTGCTTCTGGAGATTACCAAACCAGCCTTCATAAAATAGGCCAATATAATTTCTAATATTTTGAGCAACTTCTAACATAGTTCACTGGATGTGGTAATAAAATGAAACCTAAACAGTCAGAGTGAGAGAATCTTATGAACACCAACAATCTCCAAAAACAGAATCTGAAATATAGCTTTTTATTTAGCATTTAATGATAAAATGTTGTATTTAGCTGTTCATTTGTCACTAGATTTTTAATCATGCGAAATATCACTTCCTGATGGAACTACCTTAAGTCTGCATCGTTGACAATATGGTTTCAAGAGCAACACAATCATGATCAGTAAGAAATGCATAATAAACAAAAGAATTCTTGTTACTAAAAGTGTTAATTTCCTCTTGTGACCAGAAAAAGTTGACACTTTCACTCATGACAATATGAGTGACTGAGTGAGTGTGAGTGAGTTTAGTTTTACGCCGCACTCAGCAATATTCCAGCTATATGGTGGTGGTTTTGTAAATAATCGAGTCTGGACCAGACAATCCAGTGTTCAACAGCATGAGCATTGATCTACACAATTGGGATACGATGACATGTCAGCGAGTCTGACCACCCGATCCTGTTAGTCGCCTCTTATGACAAGCATGAACAGCTGATGACCAATTCTAATTTGGATCTTCACGGGTCATGAAAACATGACCTCTGTCAGGTGACTTGATGGGATAAACATTAATTTATTGAGAAAATATAACATCCTCTGTACCTTCTGTCCTGTAGCATAGGAGAAAAAATCATCGGGCCACACTTCTGATCCGAACATGACATCATCATTGAGGTAGATGAACTTGTCGGACAGCCCCGGGATGCGATGCAGGTGACTCTCAATGGCTGGGGAGCTGTAGGTTGGCAGGTGGCTCTTGTTGGGGAAAATCTCCTACAAGGGAAACATGAATATTCAGCCAGACCAGACAGTCGAGGGACCAAATACAGGAATCCCAGATATACTCTACCAGTAACTCTAATATCTAATAGACTAAATATGGTAAAGTCTCGTTCGTTCGTTCGTTCGTTCGTTCGTTCGTGAGTTTAGTTTTACGCTGCACTCAGCAATATTCCAGCTATATAGCGGCGGTCTGTAAATAATCGAGTCTGGACCAGACAATCCACAGGGATAGGAAAATACATGTTTCAAGTGATTCAAGGGGGAGATGTAAAGAATTTAAGTATGCCCACCAGCAATATTCATGCTTTGATTCATGATCACACCTGCTGGATGTTTTTCAACATAGGCTAGATAACCATGATAATAGGTGGTTGTTTTTCTAGACTTAAGCCATTTTCCTTTCAATTGCCGATAATGTTAATGTTGTGAATCACCTGGTTTATGCCATCACTTACACTGTGCATTTAGCATGTTTGTTTGTTTATCTCAAAATGTTTGCAAAGATCACTGGCGCTTGTGATCATTAAATCTGGACTGTATAATATATCAGACCTCAGATAAAGTTGCATGTTTGCTTGTTATTTAAGGTCCCAGTCAGAAATTTTCCAAATGTAAATAATTTAGTCTGACTTAGACAATCCAGTGATCGACAGCATGAGCAACAATCTACGCAATTGGGATATGATGACATGTGTCAACCAAGTCAGTGAGCTTGACCACCTGATCCCGTTACGACAAGCATGGGTTACTGAAGATCAATTCTACGAAAGAGTTCCTTCCGTTCCCCCAACCCTAAACCTAACCCTAACCCTAACTTAAATTTTGGACTTTTAGTCATTTTTATGAGTTCTCTAGTAATTGTTGTGTTACGTTTTCTTAATAATTTTAGTATATATGAATTTATAAATATTATATTGGATTGGGGAACGGGAGGAACTCTTACCCAATTCTAACCCGGCTCATGACGGGTTTGTTCGGTCAGAGTGCATTACCTCATGAGTGACAATGGTGACGCGGGAGCTCTCCAGATCCAGCCAGTACGGGAGTTGACCATTGGTTACGATGTAGATGTGGCGCACCCAGGGGGCAAACTTCTCCACTGACCTGAGGGAGTATCGCAGCTCCTGAAACAAAGTGAGTGAGGATGGCTTCAGAAAGAGTTGATCAATATTGGAGAAATATGACTTGGGGGCACCAGAATTGTGCTTGAGACACCGTACAGCTTCATCCACAGCAAAATCACTTCACTAATTAGGTACTATATTCATCCTGTTTTACTTACACTGTACATGTTAAGTGAACCCTCAGACAAATCACTTCATGCCTTACTTATTAGGTGCCCCGTTTTTCAAACTCCTGGCCTTGCACCAATTTACCGAGCACCATACATGGCATAAATCCTCCACTATCCTGTCATACTCTGTCTATGTATGTTCCAGTCTGTTTCTCAACACAGCATAGGACAAAACCTCACCTCATTGTCCTCAAAGCGGCTGGCTGCAACATCTTCATCTCGAGAAAACTGCAAAAATATTACCCCATGAGCTGACTTGAAACAAATACTAAATAGCCAATGATATTTATAATAAGAAATGACCATCCCACAGGCTTTTTCTCCTTGAAATAGTGAGTTAGAGAATGGAAGTGAATACATTGGAAAGTTAAACACCTATAATGTGGCATTCATGCTTGACCATCCAGTAAATTATCTGCATGTACAGTTTATCTTGATAAATACCTAGTCCAATTTGCTACCAATATCTTTAACACTATGTCTGTCAGAATTGGAGACAAATTGAAGCCATGGTTGAGGATCGGTCCAAGGCATTTACAATAAGAGAACTGAAATACACTGGATAACCATGGATGGATGAAGAGCTAAGGGGACTCGATCTGTGCCAGAATCCTCCCCATAGTATGCCTCCTATACTTACATCCCGGAGATCCCAAACCAGCTTGGCAGCATGCAGGATGGGTTCCTTGCCCTCCAGGGAGAAGTTCTTTAACTACAGGAGATGATAATATCACATGAGAGACACAACATTATGAAAGAAAGATTCAACACAATGAAGGATGATTCACCATGGAGAAAGACTGAATCAACATGGTGAAAGAAAGATTCAACACGATGAATGATGATTCACAATGGAGAAAGAATGATTTAACATGGTGAAGGAAAGATTCAGCACAGTGAAAGAAAGATTCATCACAGTGAAAGAATGATTCATCACAGTGAAGAATGATTCAGTGAGAAAATGATTCATCACAGTGAAAGAATGATTCATCACAGTGAAAGAATGATTCATCACAGTGAAAGAAAGATTCATCACAGTGAAAGAATGATTCATCACAGTGAAAGAAAGATTCATGAAAGAAAGATTCATCACAGTGAAAGAGTGATTCATCACAGTGAAAGAATGATTCATCACAGTGAAAGAAAGATTCATCACAATGAAAGAAAGATTCATCACAGTGAAAGAGTGATTCATCACAGTGAAAGAATGATTCATCACAGTGAAAGAGTGATTCATCACAGTCATCACAATGAAAGAAAGATTCATCACAGTGAAAGAGTGATTCATCACAGTGAAAGAATGATTCATCACAGTGAAAGAAAGATTCATCACAGTGAAAGAAAGATTCATCACAGTGAAAGAATGATTCATCACAGTGAAAGAAAGATTCATCACAGTGAAAGAAAGATTCATCACAGTGAAAGAGTGATTCATCACAGTGAAAGAGTGATTCATCACAGTGAAAGAAAGATTCATCACAATGAAAGAAAGATTCATCACAGTGAAAGAGTGATTCATCACAGTGAAAGAATGATTCATCACAGTGAAAAAAAGATTCATCACAGTGAAAGAATGATTCATCACAGTGAAAGAATGATTCATCACAGTGAAAGAAAGATTCATGAAAGATAGATTCATCACAGTGAAAGAGTGATTCATCACAGTGAAAGAAAGATTCATCACTGTGAAAGACTGACTGACTGAGTTTGGTTTTACGCTGCTTTTAGCAATATTCCAGCAACATCACGGCGGGTCACTGTGAAAGAAAGATTCATCACATGAAAGAATAATTCAACACAATGAAAGAATGATTCAGGGATTTACATGACGCAAATTCCTGCATCCTATACCCATAAAAATTGACAATGGACGCAACAAAATTTATTACCGCATCCACAGGGACGCAGAAAAAGTCCAAATACTTTTTGTAAAAATTCCAATCCAGTAACAAGTTACCAAAGAGTTTGCTACCACTTGCAATTCAATTACTGTAACAAATAATGTGATGGTCATAATACACAACACAATAACACTATTACTAATAATATTTAAGTGTCTGGGACCCCCATTTTGTTGTCCAGGACCCCTGAAATTTAAGAGTATGAGTCCCAGGGACCCTCAAAAGCAAGACTCAAGGTCAATCCCTGATGATTCAACACAAGGAAGGATGATTTACTATGAAGAAAGAATGATTTAACATAGGGAAAGAAAGATTCATCACTGTGAAAGAATGATTCATCACTGTGAAAGAAAGATTCAATACAATGAGAGTTATTCAACACAAGGAAGGATGATTTACTATGAAGAAAGAATGACTTAACATGGTGAAAAAAGGTTCATCACAGTGAAAGAAAGATTCATCACTGTGAAAGAAAGTCAACACAATGAAAGAATGATTCAACACAAGGAAGGATGATTTACTATGAAGAAAGAATGATTTAACATGGTGAAAGAAAGAATCATGACTGTGAAAGAATGATTCATCACAGTGAAAGAAAGATTAATCACAGTGAAAGAATGATTCATCACAGTGAAAGAAACATTCATTACAGTGAAAGAATGATTCATTACAGTGAAAGAATGATTCATCACAGTGAAAGAATGATTCATTACAGTGAAAGAATGATTCATTACAGTGAAAGAATGATTCATCACAGTGAAAGAATGATTCATCACAGTGAAAGAATGATTCATTACAGTGAAAGAATGATTCATCACAGTGAAAGAAAGATTAATCACAGTGAAAGAATGATACAAAATGGTTTAATTTCTATCAACACAGTGATCCAGTAAGTACATCACATACCACTATTATGAATATGGATAATACGATCACACAGGTTAGGAGACATCCTCACTGACACAGAGCTTTTTGTATTCTGCTCTTAGGACAGAAATATAGGACAGACATATAGGACATAATTACAAATATGATTCCAATCATGTACAGTTTGTTTTGTTTTTTTGTTCTTATTATTCCAGCATAGTAGACAGTAGGTACATTCACATGGGCATGAACAGTTATACAGGCTAATTTGAAAAACAAAGTTCTAGATATGGACAATGAGAGCAAAGGGAAGTAACTATATGGCTGTACCAAGGCTCGCCAATATACACAATTGGATGTAATGTATCTGATTAAAGTTGTGCAAGTTTGTTTGAAATACAAAGTTCCAGGCACAATGTTTGCAAAGGGAAGTAGCGGTGGCAGTGTGCCAATACTATTTAAAATCAGATGTAATTTATCTGATTGGAGTTTACAAGCTTGTTTGAACAACAAAGTTCAAGAATTGCACAATGTTTGCCAAAGAAAGTAGACTCTATGGCTATATGACGATAACATACATGCTCAGATATAATCATGTACAGTTGATTATGAGTTACTCACATTCACAAGACTGTCAAAGTCCTCTTTCTTTGGCACATGCAGCACAGCAATGCCTTTGTCAGAATACAAATCAATCTGAAATGAAATACAAACCCCTGATCAATAAACAATTGCCAAATCGAATTGCTGAATGAAGCTAAGTGAATATTGGGGACTGTTAACAGGAACTGGTTCTGGGAACGGAGAATTCTAGTTGGGATGTTGTCTGCGATGAGATCCTTGAGATAAGCTGGTGCAAGATTGTGTAGACACTTGTAGACAATGCAGAGGAGCTTAAAGTCAATACGACTCGTATCAAGGACACACCGTCCACAACATATCAGAGGAAATATTTATGTCTGCAACTATAGCATATTCTCTTTGACTTTCTGAGAGATAGGTCATAGAACATCAATTGTTGTATTGTTAGAACAGTTGACTTGCCTTCTGGACAGGGTGTGGAAGCTTGGCGGTGAGCTGCTCCTGAGTGTACTGGTGGGGGAAGCCTGACATGAGGATGGTGTTCTTCAACTGTATCCCTCCCGAGACGGAGGAGTCCGATGTCTGCACAGATGGAAATGGAGAGAGAAGATAGTTAAGTTCTAAAGAGACAGTGCAGGTGTTAGTAATATTTCAGCTGTGGGAATCAATCTTGATTATCCAGTGTAAGGCATCTCCTCCATTCTACTGTAATATATACCCTAGCTCCATCCATCATCATTTCGTGTTTGAGTGAGTGAGTGTTTGAGTATCTGATCTTTGAGTGAGTGAGTGTTTGAGTGAGTGAGCGAGCGAACATTGTTTTCTGCCACTTTTAGCAATATTCCTACAATATCACGGCAAGGGGACACCAGAAATGGGCTTCACACATTGTACCCATGTGGGGAATCAAACCCGGGTCTTTGGCATGACGAACGAACGCTTTAACCACTAGGTTACCCCACCGCCTCTTAACGAGGTGGAAGTGAGGTTACCGAAGGTTGCCAATTGCATTAGGAATGGTATGTAATAAGCTCTGAGTGATATCATTTTAACAATGCTTGTTTCAATCAACAAAGAACTCAAAATGTGAAAAGTGACAGTTTAAATGTGTCCCCAGACAGTGACCAAGTTACTCACATAAAAGCCCTTAGACACAGTCACATTCATCCCATAGATCACAAGATGCAAGTCAACAACTGGATTTACTGTAAAAAGAAGAGGATAAAAATTCATTTGATATTTTAGTCTTCATTCCATGCAATAAAAAGCATACATGTGAGGCAATAGACAACTGTTCCATCCATCTGTATACTAACTGATGGATGAGATCATACACAATATGAATGTTAAATGGGCACTTGAAAAATTGAAAAAAAAAAGGAGTGTCCCTTTAAAAGCATACACAACAAGGTAAATGTCTTGTCAATCATCACTGGGCAAACTTTGATAAAATTCTTTTTTTTAAATAATTACTGGTGTATGTCCAATACTATGTATAAAAGGTACGTTTAGAAATAATAGATCAAGCAGAGAAAGGAGGTACTGGAAGACAATAAAAGATGCTTGGTATTCAGGTCGGTGTGGATGAGTGACTTGGGTTTCATGCCACTATTAGCAGTGGTCACTACAAATGGTCATGACACATTGTACCCAAGTATGGAAGCGAACCCAGTACTTTGGTGCGACAAGCATACGCTTTAACCACTACTCTATCCCATTGAATGCCTGGTAGTTAGATGGGTAGTGTAAGATAAGTTTCAATTTTAAGCAAGCTTCTCAGCTCAGGTTTAATTTTTTTGTGGTCCGTCCTGATTGATCCGGGTTTCAAAAGTGTGTAGACTGGGCTCTGCCGCATAAGTGTAGTGTAGTGTAGCGCAGCGCAACTAAGCGGGGGAACTAGAAGAGTAAATGACAAGTCGGAAAGCATGGTCAACTTCAGCTCCGGCGTTGGCGTTGACAAATTATGTAGTGAAAAAAGCCCCCCACAATTTTGTAAGTAAAATTCTCCCTTCAAAATAGCTTAAGAACAGTTCCGAATTACTTTCGTAAGATTAAAACATCTTTTATGACAATTATTGTGTGTTTTCTTGTGAAGCACATGTCACTACGGAAAACTTGTTAAATTCCAGAATAGTCCTATCTATTTATTTGGTAATTCAAACTTGTTGGGTATTTCTGTGTAATATCTTGCAATTATTATATTCTTATGAGTGTAAACATAAGTATAAATGTTCTGAAAGTATTTAGTGTAAGTGTTTTGGTAAACAATGTTGTACATTTTTTTAAATGTGTAATTTTGAAGATGATTTACATCAAGCTTTTTTTTTATGCAGCTTGTACCTGTCAAATCAATAAGAACTGTCATATCAACAAGAACTGTCAAAACAAGAATTGTCACTGTTTAAGCAAGTCAAGTGTCACAAGTGTATTGCTTATGTCAACAAGAAAGTAAAATGACTGAGTACAGAACCATGCATACTTTTTTCTGCTACAGGTAGGGCTGAAAATTTATTACTTGTTGTGGCCTTACGTATATTAGTAACTAATCAAAGGTCATAGAGCAGAGAGTGTGGTACATCTGATCATTTGGTGATCAGTGCCTTGAAACTGTAGGTCTCTGATTAATCAATCTCATTACAATCAGTATATTATACCCTACTACTGGGTCGCTGCTCAACATACCATGGGTTTCATTGCCAAATGTCACAACTGTAACATTGAGCTTATCCTCTCCCTCAGACTCAAGGTTGAACAAAGAGGTCGCATCTGAGAATACTGGGTAGAGTTTAACCAGCTGGGCCAAGGTCAAGGACATTGGTATCATGGGGTCAAGGATGGCCATTGCAGCTGGTATGCAGTTGCTGAAGGAACATTTCTCCTCCCTGAAAATATAAATGGTAACATTTATACACACAATTCCTGTTATATTTTACACAACTTCAGTAATTTATTATTCCTACAATTTTCCACACAATCGGTGTAAGAAATGTATTTTCTACTGACTTGGTTTGTCTCCAATTCAGAAAATGGCTGTCACTAACAAGAAACTGAAAAAAACATCACGATATATTTATAGCTACCTATAAGTTGAAGAGGTATAAGTTTATTATTGATAGGGTACCCTATGCCCCTGAAAATATTGCTGTTCAGAAAATTCTCTTTGTATCATGTTGTTGTAGTATGATATTATCATAACCAAACTGATTTAAAAATATTCCTAATTACATGGTGAATATGAAAGCCCATGATTCATTTGCAACAACACATATGAGTATACACTTACATGTCATTGTGTGTGAGTTTTGTTAAACACCACTATGAACAATTTTTTGTTTTTTTGTTTAAAGCGGGTACTCAGAAATATTCCAGCTAAATGACTCTGTAAATATTCCTGTCTGGACAAGACAATACAGTGACTGACATCATGAGCATAGTACTACACATGTCAATCAAGTCTGTGAGCCTAACCACCTGATCCTGTGCATCCTCTCTTATGACAAACACAGGTTGCTGAAGATCAGTTCTAGCCTGGATCAGTTTGTCCATTATATTACATCATGCCAGCTAGATGTTATATGTTATCAGGTCTTTGAATTCTCATACATTAATAGGTCTCTAAATCTTTGGTGAAACCAACAAATAAAGGCAAAGCTGACATAGCAAAAATCTTAATGAATGCGAATCTGGGATTGAACCCATGATCCTAGGATCCTGGGATGCCCAAGGGACATAACTCTGCAAATGTTTATGTGAACAGAAGCAACAAATAACATATAATCAAATACACAGTAGAGAGCACTTAGATGTGACTGAAATTCAGCTGAGGCAAGTGATTAGTGAGTAAGTTAGTTTAATGAGCATCGATCTACGTGATTGGGATATAATGACGTGTGTCAATCAAGTAGGTGAGTCTGACCTACTGATCCTGTTAGTCCGCTCATAAGACAAGCATGGGCTACTGAATATCAATTCTTAACCAAATCTTCATGGGACTGCAAGTGATGAGACACTGATTATATTCAGAAATGATATCGCAAGGAATATCATCTCCAAACTGCTTCAACACCAACTCCAACATGGAAACACACAACAACACATTGAAAGCATCCGTATACTGTAAGGGACTTGGAGAATAACATGTTCTGTGACATCTGAATCCATCACCATGACTGAAAGTTGACTGTTTTAACAAATGTTTAAACTTTGATAGAAACTCGCTGACTATTGTCATAATTATTAACACAACTATAAATGTGATGAATAACAGCATTTTATAAATAAATAGATGCAGTATCTGTTGAAGAATGTGAATATATGAATTATCTGTTGAAGAATGTGAATATATGAATTGAAATAAGACAACATTGCAGTATTTGCTCAACAAAAATCAATTTATCATATTTGTTTATCAAGGCATGTTTATCACATTAACCTGCAAGATTGTCAGAGACTGAGTGGAAATTGTTATTTATCCTGTGATCACTGTATCCACCTAAATCATGACCATCTTCCCATCCATACCGCAAAATGGAAGCCATATTGATGTTTCAAGTGTGAAGAAAATCTAACAATAATGGAGAGCACCTGAGTCTATTGTCATAAAGAATGTGAGTGAGTTTAGTTTTACACCACACTCAGTAATATTCCAGGCATATGGCAGTGGTCTGTAAATAAACGACACCAGACAATTCAGTGATCAACAGCATGTGCATGTGCATCGATCTAGGCAACTAGGATGTGATGACGTGTCAGCTAAGTCAGCAAGCCTGACCACCCGATCCCGTTATTCGCCTCTTACAACAAGCATGGGTTACTGAAGATCAATTCTAACCTGGATCTTCACGGGTCCATACAGAAAGTAATGACTTTTTATCCCAGCTATCAGACACAATGGCGACATGATCACCTATTACGCCTGGTACCTCGCCTGGTACCTCAAGGACTATGTCCATCAAACAAGTGAGCCATGTATTTAAGCCGTGATGTTGACTGCACAGGAAAATACAATTAACACGATACATACAGAAGATACGTGAATGATTTACTTACCATTTTCTACATGTTCTGCATATGAAACAAGTGACTTTCATTTCTATATTTTAGTATAAAGTGCAGTGAAACTTGAACAATCAAGATGGTATTCTTTGTAATGAAATCATCTGAACTGGTATATTTTCAGATTGACGAATTATGGGTGCAGGGTTACACTGCCATCAAAATATAAACATTCCTAGCAGGAGTATCCAAAGGTGCATTCTCTTCCCACAGAGGTTACTTGTCATATCTTCCCATGAACCTCTGTTCTAATACAGCCCTTTCATGGTACGAGTGTTCAGGATTCGTGATTGGTTGCAATCAGATTTAGTAGTGCAATCAGCAACGTTGTTTCAAAAGTGATCATTCGCAAGGCCTCGGTAATTTCTGTATGCTTCGTGAAAACTAAAACCTCTTCCCCTGCGCGATGCGCTAAAGTTTCTTAAAGACAGAACTCAGTCATGTAAATGGTGGATCAATGGCATCCCCACTGCCCTCGTTGACAACGGACAAGCTAGCCATTAAATGTCTTGTGTCACATCAACACAAGTCCCGGCTGAGGAGGGATATTTGTGGCCCCACATTTGCTTGTATTAGTCAAGATGGATCTACGTTGATGTAACACGTGTTCTGATTGGATAGGAAGAAGGGAGATAATTTGTGTTGCGATTTTTTGCTGCTAGGGGGATTTTACGAGAACCGGGAAATATGGCTGTATTAGAATAGAGGTTCGTAGGAAGATATGACAAGTAACCTCTGTGGGAAGAGAATGCCAAAGGTGAGGTTTCTGCACTAACCAGGGACGGACAAATGAGGTTTCCGCAGGGAATCTTTATTGATGAGACTTAACTTTATAAAAGGTTATCATAACCAAGTTAAGAAAGAATGCATCTGATGAGAAACATCCTGGAGTACATACAGATTGATTTTCTTTGTTTATTGTTTAATGCTGCACTCAGCAATATTCCAGTTATATGGCTGTCGTCGGTAAATAATTGAGTCTGCCAAAACAATCCAGTGATCAACAGCATGAGCATCGAATTATGCAACTGGGATTCAACGATGTGTCAACTAAGTCTGTGAGTATTCTGACTGAATTAGAATAACATATTGGGAATAACTAGAGAAGAGGAATTATGGTGTCATCTACTATCCTTTGATGAGAGAGCAACAGCAAGCATTCACAAAGTCCAGACAATCCATCAGGCTGTGATTAGGTTATTCTAAATACTAAGACAGAAAATGGAAGTAAAACATATAATTTGTCAACCTTGAACAGAAATATCCTGAAACATTCCTATAGCTTAATTTGTGATGTTAGAAACAGTCGATTGTTCTCAGCAACAAAGCAGTGAGAAATTGCACCAATGGATCAATCAGCAGGGAGAATCACTCACATGTGCATATCTGACTGTTACTGCAACTGACACTTCTATCCTTGTCAGTAACTTTTACTATTACTGCTGTTTATAATGAATAAATGAGTGCGGTTTTACGCTGCTTTAATATTCCAGCAATGTCATGGCACTGGACACCAAAAATGGGCTTGACACATTGTACCCATGTGGGGAGTTGAACCTGAGCATACAGCATGTCGTGGGACCGCTTTAACCACTAGGCTACCCTACTGCCAAATTGTTTCGAATCAAAAAACTTGGAACATTATACAATCAACAAAATAAGTTGTGAATTCTCATAAATACCATGGAAGTATGCCTTTGTTTCTGTTCCTAGCCTCACACAGCCTACGATACTATCAATGATCATGATAGTGGATGGATTAAATGTTGCCGTTAGTGAAATCATGTGCCTAAAGCCAGAAGAGATCCTTCACATGATGTATGAATAACAGGTAACACTCCTGAATGTGCATTGTTTTAAATATCTTTTATTAATATTCCAGCCAAATCGTAACGGGGACACCAGAATGGACAACACATGCACCAACACGAGGAACTGTGCCTGGATGTTTCATGTGACGACTGAACGCTTTAAGTATTCGGCCCCCGACCACAATGTATTGAGGTATAAGAGTGCCATCATTTTGAAAATATAGCCATGTCTTATTTTAACATACATAAATAAATCTTCCAAACTGACCGTGAATAACCAAGTAAGTGTCAATTATTGTTGATCCTGCTTATTGCAACAGTGAGTGAGTTTAGCACTCAGCAATATTCCAGCTATATGGTGGCGGTCTGTAAATAATCGAGTCTGGACCAGACAATCCAGTGATCAACAGCATGAGCATCGGTCTGCTCAATCGGGAACCGATGTCATGACATGTGTCAACCAAGTCAGTAAGCCTGACCACCCGTTTCCGTTAGTCGCTTCTTACGACAAGCATGGGTTACTGAACGCACATTCTAACCCGGACCTTCACGGGTCTTGCAACTTATGACGATATATTACTATATATTAGTTGTGTATAGACAACAATATTTACAAATACACTGAATAAAATCTGACAGCCTGGAAGTTATTCTCACCTTGTTATGTTCAGCTCTTTCTCCATGTCCCTCTTAATTTTGCGTAGTTCCAACACCAGACTTTCATCTGTACCATTGACCCATGTATACACAACGTCAATGGGCACTGGTAGGCATAGTCTGGAAGAACAACATTTGTCTGCTGTTTCAGAAATGTGAAGATTTTAAGGCATGAAGTAAAACAGATTGATAGGATTTTAGATATATCACAGTTTCTAAGCCAAACACAGTTAAGGGTGAAAGAAAGAGAATTTGATGAAACCAATAAGCATTGCTATGGTGCTGACAAACCATGGATCATAATCAGCACAAATCTGGTTGTTTTTAACTGGTTCATTCGCGTTAAGGTGACTTTGTTTAGCGAATTTCGTTTTCGTTTCTTCGCGAATGCTGTCGCCTTTCCAATTAACATAAACGATGGGCGAGCGAATGTTTGTTCAAGTCCCTTCCATGCATGAACAAACGATGTCGACAACAAAACAACAAGTTCATTTAGATATTTTATTAAATGTAACATGACAAATTGTGCCTTTTTTCTGGCAAACAATAACAAATTTATTCACATGTTGTGATGCATCTTCACATATGAAACAGTCGTTAAGCAAGTTTCAGAGCGTACGATGCCCTTACTTATAAACCTAAACATGCAAAAGTTCATTTTTCGACAAAAACATTGATGATTTAAAATGATGCGCGATAATCCCTATAACAATAGGGGATTAACTTATAGTCTGTTTCTAACAGACAGTCTAACACATTGTAAATAGCCTGAGCAGGTCTGGAATCACACCGGGCTTTGGTCTTCAATGTGGCAAGAAACTTGCAATGAACTCGTCCCCTTTTTGTGCTCTTAACCCTAAACTTGTGACCAAGATAGATTAAGTGTCTACCTCCTCTTGAATTCGGAATGAACTCAATGTTAACTTGTGTGTTTGCCATTTTGCAATGAGGGAAATCATGTCTACATTCTTTATATACAGGAAGAAATAATCCTTTGAATAAGCTTCACTCAGTTTAGCTAATATAATTTGAGTCCACTCAAATTACTTACTAGAAATCAAGTTCACTCAAAACAAATTGGTGCTTTGTAATAATGAGTTCGAACTCAGCTGCCAAACGCTCATGTCCCCCAAATGAAACTACGGGTGACAGCTACTCATTGAAAACAGACTATAGCCGGCAAGCTACCGGACTGTTACTTTTAATCCGTTATCATCACATCAGCTGTCTGGCAAAGTGGGGTATGACCTTTGAAATGTGTTCACCACTGCAATTTCCACTAGGTAAGTCAATAAATCCTTATGTTAACATGGTTAATCTCTTAAACAAACATTACTAAAACAACACCAAACATCAAAGACTACCGCTAGTTGCCTTAACGCGAATACCTGAAACTAAAAAGTCGCCTTAACGCAAATTCCCCTTTTAACTCAATTGCATTGAATCATTATACAACAAAGGGGCACAACTCCACACAGCAATTTCCGGGCCATTGTGTTGTTCCCATATGTAATTAATGTAATAAGGCATGGATAAGAGAGTATGATCATACATGATGATAGGGGTGCTCATGCCATGAAATGGTTGAATATCTGAGTAGTAATCCAAAGAATATATTTACTCTATTCAAAAACCTCTTATTAGCCAATGTGCCTCTATCAGTTTAAGTCAACTGGTTCAGCTGCAATCCAAAAATCTGAATGACAATATGCTATTAAAAGTCACTATACATCCAACTGTTTCACTGTCCAGCTTTTTAAATACAGATATAAATGTTTCTGTAAACCTTTTGGCAATATCCATCCTTCTACTTAGGGGTTGGAAATAACTAGATTTTGAAAGATGAATCTGTTTTATTATGTGCTCTCAAATTTACTGCCATCATGGTTATAACCCTACCAAATGGCCCAAGTGCTGAAGACATTGGTTGGCTCACCTCTGTCTGAAGGACCTTCCAGCAACATTGTCACTGAAGGAGTTGAAAACAGCTGCATATTTCTCCCTGCTCCAGTCAACAACAGCCTATAAAATATTAGAGAAGTTACCATCTTTATTTGATGAACATGAGACAACTGTAAAATCACCTAATCAGTCAGAAGCAATATAAACGATAAATGTAGCATACTAAAAGTTTGACGGAGTGTGACGAACTCCCTCAGAGATAAATATGCAAAAGAAGTGGATTGATATATGTACAACCAGAAACGTACGGATATATTATTTTAAGTCATTTGCAACAAGTGCTTATTCAACAGCAACAGGGAGGGTTGAAAATGAATCAAATCTGTTTTGATTCTATCATAAACACACCTGGTTGTGATCTGTCACTCAAAAATAATGGCAATGTCATGTCCTTTGGTTAAGAAATGGAAAGTTAACCCATTGTCATATACCTATTGTTGTGATATTATAACCACCAGACTTGTCCGGCTGACAGGAAATATGACAAATTTCCACATGACTTGAAAATGCTTATCCAGGTTACAGTAAAAGTAGTACTCATCACTTTCAGGTTAAGTTGCAAACCATAGTTTCTTGATGCTTGGCAACGATGTCACTGCTTATACACGTTAATCTCTACAAAGGCCCTTGAAAGGATATGAACGTGGTCGATGCTACTATCAATATTATTATTGTTTGATCCACATAGAATCTAGCTGCTATCCTGCTTCCAAACATTAGAAACAAGCTGCAATAAATGAGGCATAGTACGCATTCAGAATACTGATTGAAGAGTGCTTGATTCAACTGATAAAACTGAACAATGTGACCAGTCTTTTTCAAACTAGAAGTCCGATCATTATGACTGTTTTTCGTCCTTTATGCTTTTATAAGTTTACCTCCCCGAAATGAAACGCTGATATCCCAAGAGCAAATACGCCGATAATCACTAGGATGAGGCCGTATTTGTGAGATAAGACATCATAAATCTTCTTCTGAACGACTTTTCGGAATGACGAATCCATTTTAGTGACAAAAACATAGCTAAACAATGGCCAGCTTATCAAAGCGTTGTTCTCTTCGTGGGCGCTGCCATCTTGGAACAGAGTGCACTATGGGATAGGGCACGTGGCAATGTTTATGTTTCAGGGGGCGTGGCGCGGTCACATGTGCACAAATCCCAGGTGTTGCGAAAATTATACTAATTCGATTTCCACCAGTACATTGTTCTTTTCGTTGGTCACATACAATCACGAATATCCAATAGCCTGCATCCTTTATGATTATAAATCTCCGTAAGCTTTTTCAATATATATAAGCAACGTAACTTTGAGCTTTCGACCAAACCATTTTAAACATTTTCGTCAACCAATGTTACGTACATAAAGTAGGCATGACATGGTTTGAAATGTCATGGAGGACAGCGAGCAATTATAGGAATATACCGAATTCCTGTATATGAGTTTGGTTATACGTTCATTTCGACCTGATCGACTGCTTGCACGTAATTAATAGATGTTTGTGCGTCGAACAGAGAAAATACGGTACATGCACATTACAGGAATTTCGTAAACGTTCGTTGGACTGAAAGATTCGCAAACCAGGTTGATTCAAAGACACATCTTGTCAGGGTTTGAGTTAAGTTAAGTTTAGGTTCATTCCAGCATGTCTTTGCATTTGATGGCAGATTCATACTTCATTATTTCAGGGATACTCTACAACAGAGTCTCCCTGATTATTTAAACCACTAAAGTATCAGTTCATTCCAGCACTGGTATATCCGGTTCAGGTACTACACTACTTTCAGTTTCTCACAAGTTGTGTGTTGTGAATGTTGTGTGTTGGCAAGCAGGTTATATACCATATTGTCAATTGAGGTGAGTTCATTAGTATGTATGTCACGATACATACGTTTCAATAACCGATACGTTTCACGATACCCATGTCACAATTCGATACGTATCATTTTATTATGTGATTTATTAAATTTTATTTTTCGGCCCTTTTTCGGCCTTTTTGACTTTTGATTTCGGTCCTTTTGACTTTTGGCTTCGGCCCATTTGACTTTCTTTCGGCCCTTTTGTCCTTCGGCCCATTTGACTACAACTTCATTTATATTACTGTAACAAAATTGTTTGATTTTCCTCTTTCTCGCCATTTTGAAAATGCAATGCGAATGATATTGAGTATTGAGCTGTATTCTCTGTCTGTGTGGTCCTCCCTGGGAGTATTTATCCTTTGATAAACATTGTTTCGGTGTTCTCAAAGCACTGACAGGACGATGCCGATCCCACCGCTTCTAGCTATGGTGAAACAATGAATATGTCGGATTAAACATTATTACAACAGTGCCTACTTAACATCCATCCTCATCAAAATAGAATCGTCCAGTATGATGGTTGGTTGGTTTGTTGCTTAACGTCACACTAAGCAATATTCCAGCTATATGGAGGCGGTCTGTAAAGAATCGAGTCTGGACCAGACAATCCAGTGATCAACAGCACGAGCATCGATCTATGCAATTGGGATACGATGATCATCTGTCAACCAAATCAGCGAGCCTGACCACCCGATCCCGTTAGTTGCTTCTTACAACAAGCATGGGTTACTGAAGATCAATTTTAATCGGGATTTCCACGTGTCTCGCCCAGTATGAAAGGCGACGGATACACTATTCGTACATAGCCCATGTTAAGACGTGCATGGATGTACAAGAAAACCTGCGAAGAAGTATCATGTCTTCTTTAGAATGGCTAAGAAATGTAATGTACAATAACATAATGTCCCCATTATGTTTAATCAACACGGGCATGTTTGAAACAATATGAACAATACTGGTTTTAAGTCACTCCCTGTTTAAACATGCACACCCTGTTTCTGACGTCAACATATTTCAACCTTTCCATACCGAATTTGACTGATATGATACATCCACGGTAAATCATGTCATGTAGAGCCCCATGCAGCTTCCCACCTATAGTCTGTCTCAGTCCCTGAACCTCATTATTTTCCCTACTGCTAAGCCCTATCTGCAGTGCTAAAGCCCTAAATAAAGCGCGTTTAGATTTCCCCAGGTTCTGAATCTGTGGTCTCTCTGGGTCTCCATTTCAGTTTAAATGGGCTTTTTATTACTATCATACATATACAGGGAGTAAGCGTTAGTCTACTTCCCACCTACTGAGTTCATTTACACTGTTTACCGTTTTCCAACACATTGATGAACTTAGGTGTTTCGTTATAAAATATAAGGGAACAAATAACACTGCAGATTAATATGTGAAACATATACAACAAACACCAAGACTGAATTGTCGCAGGCAACTGTTGACAACATTAAAATTGTTTTAATTTCCTGAGGCAACCACTCCATTTAGGAAAAATAATAATGCGCAATGTTATTTGCAAGGTTTTAGTATACTTGGACATAAAACTCTCTGAATCTGGTGTTTCACTGGTGACTTTTACAATTCGTATTTCTAGTATCTTAAATTCTGAAACCTCAGTGTATCTCGGTTCATAATCACTGCTCCCAGTATCTCACAGTAATCCGATATTACTGATATGGATAAAGGTAACGGCACACTGTCCAGTGATCCGAGATACACTGAGGTTCAGATTGAGCATTGTCTTAAGTGACTGGGGGTGATGGGATAGCCCAGTGGTTAATGCGTTCAATTCCCCACATGGTTACAATGTGTGAAGCCCATTTCTGGTGTACCCGTCATAATATTACTGGAATATTGGTAAAGCGGAGTAAAACTATAGTCACTCTTCATCGACTGAAGGAATCAGGGGGTATATTATCAATCTTATCATTATTTAAACATTGAATCACAAAATATAGCTTATCACTACGATCTGTGAAGCTAACGCTTGGGCTGTCTCTATATTCAACAAAAAAAGTAATACCAATTAATTACTTCAGACTCGGGATATATTTTTTTCTCTGTTAAGTTCTAAAATCAAGAAACAGAAACTAAAATACGCGTTTGTTTTGCACCAACAGCAAAAACATCACATTTATACAAATAAGTGGAAGTGTATTTTCTTACTACCATTTATATTGCAGAAATATTAAAAAGTATAATCAGATATAAATAAATTTAACATGTCTTGGGTCTGAACTTAAAAATGTGATTTATCGTCCCTGGAGGAACTTTGGAAATATTATCAACGCTAACTGAGGAAATGTGAGGAAGTTTATATGTGAGCCAAGTTTCTATAGCATATTCATTCAAAACAAGGTAGTGATAGTTTGTATAATGAATCTACTTTAGTTACAGGATGTAAGGTGTCAAACACCACAGGATCGAACATCTTTATTTGGGGAGAACGAGACTAGCGACGTGATCACAAGAAATACTCCGAGATCAGCACCATCTCCATAGCGACGGTTGTCTATACAAACGACGCCATTTTGTTGTTTACTTGCACAAGCAAATTCCTGAACTCTGCTGTTTTTCGCTCTGAGATTCCCACACCTCCTTATTTCTGCATCATGTATGCAAGTACTGCCAGAGTTTGTCACCAAGGTATATTTCTGTGTTCTTTAATGTCTCAGTTTTGGCGTTCAGCGCTGTAAATTTCATTTCTGATCAAGCCTAAGGACAGTTTTAGTTTAGACCTTCTAGCGGTCCCTAATAGGAAATATTACATTTTATCATTCAGCTCATTTTGAAAACTGATGAAACTGTGTATTGAATTGCCACATATCTCTTTCCTGAAACTAATGCATCATTCTTTACTTACGTGTCTAACATTTGGACCCTTCCACGTTCGAAAACTGACAAAATGACTTTACGTTAGATCTGATTCTACTTCATGTAAACTGAAGGATGTTATTACCTTGCTGCACATGATCAAGTAGCATGCATGATCCATCCTGTGTGTACCTTAAGGTGCACCTGGTCCTTTCTGTTTTAGTCATTTCTGTCTAATGTTATTTGTGAGTCTTTTTGCAAGTTGAAGATGAATATAATATAGTCTCCTGTTGTTCTCCTTTGTCGCTATCTTTCTGATAACATAAAGGACTATAAAGTACTAAGTTATGAAGGTAGCTTTATCGTAAACACAAGCATTCAAGAATGTACAATGTTAGAGTGACGCAACATCCCTCGTTAAAGCCCCAGTAAGCACTTTGTCTTTAGTCCGAAAACCTATCATTCGACTATAGGTGCACACAAAGTGAAACCTGTACTGGATCTATTTGGTACTGATTAGTGTAATGTTCACGTCAGTGATGAAGTCTTTCTGAATCTCACCAAAGTGTTTGTTTTCTTCCTTCAGGTCAAGACAAGCGCCATGTGAAAGCATTTCCCAAGGCAGCCCCCCAAACGGTTCTCTCAGCCCCCCATCTAGTAGGTCACTTGTTGGGAACACAAACTGTTTGTGTTGCACTTTCATTGACAGAGGTCTATGACGTCCCTTATGACGAATGTATTGGGTTCATACTTGCACAGGCTATTTTACAACAATATATACCCTGGCCAATCATATAGATTCTATCTAAGTATCATGATTGTGTTCTGTAAGTCATCTGGACTTTAGTTCGGCCTTTCTCTCCTCTGTAAGTGCACCCATACTGAGTGAATGATCCACATGAACCCCCTATCAGTCACCTGTGCTTCAGTCTTTATTTGGTGATATCCAATAATAGATATTCTCTTTTTCTGTCTCTCCTCTGTAAGTGCCCCCATACTGAGTAAATGATCCACATGAACCCCCTATCAGTCACCTGTGCTTCAGTCTTTATTCGGTAAAATACAATAATAGATATTCTCTTTTTTCTCTCTCCTCTGTAAGTGCCCCCATACTGAGTGAATGATCCACATGAACCCCCTATCAGTCACCTGTGCTTCAGTCTTTATTTGGTGATATCCAATAATAGATATTCTCTTTTTTCTCTTTCCTCTGTAAGTGCCCCCATACTGAGTGGATGATCCACATCAACCCCCTGTCTGTCCTGCCCGACCCCTGACCCCTGTCCAAGCCCCTACCAGCACTGCCTATCTTGAGATTATTCTTGTGGAGGAAGACGCCTTGAGACAGCCTCGATCATGTGTGCCATCAGTATTTTCTTTCTTGAAGGGTCTCTTCACAGCCTGTTAGATGGACGCTGGATGTACTGTGTCAATTCCATTTTGGACCTTTCGGACATACCTTTTGGATGCATTCAGTTTTGGACATTTTCAACAGTTTCTCTGTACATATTAAAGAACTATTATCGTAACATTAACTATTATTTGTTAATTCTAATGTTGTTCATTGATACCTTCAGTTAATCTTGGAGTTTCTAGGCCATGTATTGCAGTTGTATCTGGAGAACATCATTGAACATAAACACGTTTCATATTCGGTGAGGGGCAGTGATGATGCCAGAAACTGTGACCATAGACGGATGCCGTAATATCTGACACAGAACCATGAGCACGAGTGGCAGTATGCCTGCGACACCTATATATTAATAAATGACTCGCTTATTTCAACCCTTTCATTTCAATAGACCATGTCATGGAAGTAGCGGTGTTGTATGCTTGGACAAGGTTATAATAAGCCCACGTATCTCACTTCTGTGTCAGAATGTTAAGACTTGATTGGTTCATGTGATCTTGATAAAATACTGACAGAGATGTAAGAAAGCTTAGTTTGAGATATATATTCCCACCTGGGCAGATGCTCAGTTGAAATGTTCACCCATTCCATACAAAGTTCCGAGGAGTTGGTTGTCCATAGTGAATGTTTTGAACTTTGGAGTCCCACTTTCAAACAGTAATTACACCATAGCAACCATAAAAAACAAAACGATGTTGTTATATTGTTTCAGAAAATAAATAAAACTTTCAAATAGTGTTTATTCAAAGAAACGTATCATGACATAGAATGCGATTTCAAATATATAACGAGGAACATTATATTCAGTAGCACAGATAGATATCTCAACACAAATATAATGTTACATTAACACGTGTGGTGTTACCACACCTGAAACACCTCTTTCAGTCTTTAGTTTCATAGAATGTGGTCCTCGAATCAGTGTTCCATTCTCAAAAAATGGTGTCAAGGGCTCCGTTTACGGCTACCGTAAGTCTGTGTTGACGTGTGGTTACTGTGGTGGTTACGAGAGCCATGTCCCTACGCAAAACGGGTCTCCGTCTCACAAAGCTTTCGTAGCGCTACGACTGTCGTACCTCCTATTCTGTAACACAGACTTACGAAAGTCGTAGGGCTACGATAGCTTTGTGAAACGGGGCCGGTGACCCAAGATTAGCCCTTCCACTGGTCCCCGCCAAGATCCGGATTTGAGTTAGTTTTGAACAACCTATGTTTTGGGGGTGGGGTGGGTGGTAAGACTCGTCCGTTTGGTCAATGCATGTCGTCTCATCAATTGCGTAATATATAGATGCTCATCAAAGGGCGATGAGTTAACCTAATGGTTAAAGCTTTCGCTCGTCACGCCAAAGACCCGAGTTCGCTTCTCCACGTGGGTACAGTGTGTCAAGCTCATTTCTGGCTGCCACGCCTTGATTTTGCTGGGACTTTACTAAAAGCGGCGTAAAACCCAACCAAGATGCTCACGAGGTCAATCTCTGGATTGTCTGATTTAGATTATTTACAGACCACCGCCGTATAAGTGGAACACTGCTCTGTGAAACTGGTTTAGGAAGAAGAAGATTATTTTGCTTAGATGTCTCGTGTGCTGTATATACAGATCAGGGATCAGGGACCCAGCCTAAAGGCCTATGAGACATCAAAAGACTAAGTAAAACATTTAAAATGTAAAATTACATAATACATACGTGTACATGAAGGCAAAAGATAAGATCACATACATAAAACATCACAACACCCACACTCAGATCCAAAAGAAATACTTTCATTTCGCCCGTACATACTCGTCTGTCGATTAATATTAGCCAACCACACAACCCTATCCGAGGCTGTACACGAGTGCCGGTATTTGACCAACGGTGACACTCGTACCGTTTTTACTTCTCTCCGAGTTCCGGAAGTCCAATACAACGCCATCAGGGCAATGGACCTGAATATTACCCCCGTAACCAGCTCTAGAGTCAGGTCCGAGAATCTTGACCACCAGGGTGTACCACACCCCGGCCTTGATAGCCACAGCAGCCTTGTACATCACGTCAAACACCTCCTCGTTGTCGTTCACGACGCAGGAGCAATCCAACACGGACGCGGGGAGGGATATGTCGTTGTTGCCGAGGATGTTCGTTATGACGTCATAGTTCGCCGAGCCTCTGAGAGGACCATACAACTGAAACCCATGGAGGCTGATTTTCTTATTGCACCGGAATAGAATAGCATCAGAAAACCCATAGTAGGTGTAGCAGTAACGGGTTGTTTTATACCGTCTATCTGACGTTTGATAACATGGCGTTAACACGTCTTCTGTCTTCTTAGGCGCTTTGTCGATCATCTGACTTTCAGAAGAGGTATTTTCTAGAATATTTAAACACTCGAACTGCGAGAACAGGTCAGCTTTGCTTCCATCAGATCTACATCTATACTGTTCGCCCTGAACGTGAGAAAGCATTCTCGCAGCCCTCAGTTCCTGAACTAAAGAAGAATCTAGGTTGAACGTCATTTTCTCTAAGGTCCGTCCGAGAACGGCTTTCTTTGATTTTTTAGTTATCTCCCTTCCCTGACGTTGACATTCGAACTCGGACCACCGATCTAGGGCGTGAAACACTACGTGATTGAAAGCGATGAGATCAGAGGAGAGGATTATCTGATCCACGAGTTCCTTGCTTAGCATCAGGAATCCTTGCGACTGGAGACATCTCTGACCTTGACCTTTAACAAACAGAAGAGCCGCCTCGAACAACTCTTTATATTCGTATCGATATGCTATGTCAAGTACACCACACGCATTGTCGACACTGAGGTTTCGTTGTAGAAACTGCAGGCACTTGCCCTCCAACAGAGTGACGGCGTATTTCCTGGCTGCATGCAGTAAGACGGTGGCGTTGTCAGAATCCAGTGACGTGTCATCTGTGTACAGGTATCTGTGAAAACATGGTAGTGATGTGTATTGAGAACAAATAACCAAACCTATTATAGTTGGTATAACTGATTGCATCAAGGGGTATGCTGACACAACCAGCAAGGACCCAATTTCAACAAAAGTAAAACGTTGTGATTGCGTGAACTCTTTTTTTCTATACATATGGCTACTGTGGTGTGTTTTTACCTGGAATACCTACGTGGTAATGATAATAAATAATAAGAGTACTTTTATAGCGCCTCATCCACATCACTGAGGGACATGCTCTAAGCGCATACAAGTCACAGTTCATTATTACCCCGGTTACCCAAGCTGCCTGTGAGGCGTTAGAAGGTTATAGTCACAAGATTTATCCCATCGGGAACCCATTTTCAGCTGAGTGAACACAGGCAGTTTTGAACAAACTCACTTGCCTAAGGTGAGACCACATGTATCACATGTGCTTTCATGTGGGGAGGACAGAAGTCGTAGAAAACCTCAGGGGTCAAGCTGCCAAACACAGCCACCCATCTAAGGACTCTGAAGCGGCCAAGGCTGCTTAGCTTCAACTGATTTTTGACCTGAGCTCTATGCACAGGACCACACACCACCACTTGTTAAACGGATCGTCATTTAAGATCAACATGATTCTTACTGTTTCGGCGACTGTTTTTGGCCTTGTAACTCAATTAATCTACGTGATCATAGTCCATATCTAAAGGTTACACTTTGTGATTGCGTGAACGCTATTCCATATACACGTGGTCGGCTATTACACTGATTCTTAGGGACTTTAGTTCTTAGTAGTACTTAGCAGTATTCGCTAAACAGATCGCCATGCACAGAAAAAAATCCCTTGTGATCTGTTATTATCTGGAATAGCTAGGTGGTACTTGTTCAACGGATCTTCATACAAGGTAAAAATGATTCTTGCATTATATTCTAACCTACGATCCCTAAGTTGTACTAGCTGAACAGAGCGTCATACACGATAACAATTGGTTCTTTCTGTCCGCAGTAACCCATACACCCGGAGTAGTACATGTTAAACAGATAGCAACGCAGGATAAATACTACTGGTCTACTTTAGTGAGTGAGTGAGTTTACGCCCTTATCAATATTCCAGCTATATGGCGGCGGTCTGTAAATAATCGAGTCTGGACCAGACACTCCAGTGAACAGCATGAACATCGATCTACGCAATTGGGATACGATGACATGTGTCAATCAAGTCGGCGAGTGTGACCATCCGATCCCGTTAGTCGCCTCTTACGACAAGCATTGGTTGCTGAAGATCAATTGTAACCCATGGCACGCATACTCCCCAAATGGTACGTGTTAAACAGATAGTCATACATTAAGAACTGCTGGAAGTGGTCTGGTGTCATGTCTGGAACACTGACGTCGGATGACGTCGCCGGATCATCAGACAACAAGGCATCGAATACGCAGCTTCTACTGATGAGCACGTAACGGTGGGCTTTGATCACGTGGTGCTCGCTTCCAACTAAGAAAGTGACGTCACATCCATCTTCGGTATTGAGCATGTGCATGTTACATTGAGAGAGACTCATCCTTGCTTGCCAGTTTACATTGGAAGAAGTCTTATGTTCTTCTGGTGTATTGGTCATTGGTATTTTCTCTGAAATAGATTTTGTCTTGATAATTAATATCAGATATGCAAATTGAATGAATATCGACAAGTATATAACTAGTTGCACCCCTTAGTTGTGACAGGATCCGTATATAGAAGTTTCGTTTGTTAGCACCATACCTATACCAGTTGGTTTTACGAAGAGGGCACATTTCCAAGAAACCAACGTAAGACTACTGTAGTCCAGGCTTTGTATGGTTTTATGACCATGGCCGAATGGACTATTTCTGGTATAACTTCATGTTCTGGTATAGACATATTACGTCAAAAGTATATGAATATAATTTATTCTTGATAAAATTGAAATTTTCAAGCGCTGCAAGCGATTTCTTGTTTTCTTAATACAGAGAAATTGCTTCGCAGCGCGTGAATATTTCAGTTACAAACAAGTATGATATTTCACCCAAGCAATATATCATATCATATTCTCAAATGGATAGAGTAAATATGTAATTCAATATACTAATGAAAACCAATTTAACATGTACCTGTATTAAAGAAGTCTAAACACATGTCTTCAAGTTTAGTGACAGAATACTTCCGGCTGAGGTAGAGAAGAGAACTGGCGTTGTCTGTGTCGATGACGGTGCTGTCGGTGTACAGATATCTGCAGTGTTCAACACAAACATCATGTCATCTCGATACAAAACAGCTTTCATAAAGTCATTCATATTTCATTGTAAAATACACCTGCTCACAAATCTCCAAAACGGGAAGATTTAGCATGAAAGGAATGAATTGACATTGTCAGAGATAGGTGTCTCTGTCTTTCCAGTATTACCACAGATGAGCAAAAGAAGGTGTACACTTGAAGATTCTTCTTTCACTCTGCTCATGATACCCGTGAAGGTCCAGGTTAGAATGAGCCTTCAGTAACCCATGCTTGTCGTAAGAGGCGACTAACAGGATCGGGTGGTCAGGCTCGCTGGCTTGGTTGACACGTGTCAATCGGTTCCCAATTGCTCAGATCGATGTTCATGCTGATGATCACTGGATTGTCTGGTCCAAACTCGATTATTTACAGACCGCCGCCATATAGCTGGAATATTGCAGAGTGCGGCGTAAAACTAAACTCACTCACTTACTGCTCATGACTGGGCATTCTGAAACTGAACACGTCCATGTTATATCTACTGCCAATATGGACGCCAACTGAAATACTGATTTTAATAATGTCTAGCTTACCCATATCAAAGCTACCCCCGTCAAATAACCGTCTCTTAATCACCGTCAAATCTTAGTGTATTCTGTTATTCCCACCAGTTTAGAATCAGAGAAGTTCCTCCTTTCAGTAACTGAGGTATCTCATATATTCTCTAAGCGTGTGTTCATTTCTAATAAACTGATCTGATACCACTATTGTTGTTCTGTTTTTCTTCTGTTACAAGAGCTGATTATCAGCCTTCAGGTGTTTACAGCAATGTTTCGTCAGGAGCATACACCTCAATATCAAAATATTCATGTTCATAATGAAAACCCGCTCCAAAAAAACTCAAACTGAGAACGGTAAATGAGAACAATAAGTCGTATATTTGTTAGAACATATACTCATGCCAATAATGAAACACGATGACATGTATCCACAAAGTCAGCGAGCCTGACCACCCGATCCCGTTAGCCGCCCCTTATGACAAGCATGGGTTGCTGAAGACCAATTCTAACCCGGATCTTCACGGGTCTCGTTGAAATAAGGACAGGTGTAGCAGTTATTAACAGGTTAAATTATTCCTAGCAAATGTTCACTTACACAAGAAACTGTTTGAAAGTAAAAGCATCACTGCTCTCTGCAGGTATTGTAACCTCTGATTTCACAGCCAGGTTGTCAGACAAAGTGGCGTGTAGCACACAACTCCTGCTGACGAGGATGTACCGGTGGGCGTGGATTAATATATCTGGATTTTCAGATCGGAAAATGACGTCACAGTATGCTTCCGTCTCAAGCATGTGTCGATTACATTGTGGAAGGGTCTTCCCGGCCTGCCAGTCATTGACAAATCCAGTTGAAGCAACTTCGCCGTTGTCGCTTGTGGTGGCCATTCGCTGACAAAAGACACAATCAAGTCAAAACCTGATATTTGTATTAAGATTATATTTTTAATTATTCTTAAAAAAACCCACCTGATATACGTTCAACTCGCCTCACGAACGTGTGAACGTATTCTTGTTAGCAATGTTCAAACCCAGGCGTGCTTATAGGTTCCGCCAAATAAGTAATTGTAGGACACACAGACTGACAGACACGCGAACGCACGCACGCACGGACACACCGCAATGATATTGCTGTCCTTGAACATATCACATAAACTATACCTTTAAGAACCTGATATACTGCTGACTCACTCACTCACTAGCTCACCAACAGGCTTGTATAATACAAATTGTATTCCTAAAATGTGATATTTACGGGTCAACACACACTTGAGGCTAAATAATCGTACTGGTTCACATGGATAGCACCCTGTACACATCGGATAGTGACGGCGAGCAGCACAACTGCGATACCCTGGGGATACAATACGGTCGTCTGCCATGCGTAATGGTACTTCCGGCTTTCACTCACCACTCATATCACTCACAATATGAAACAAGGTCATACATTTAATGTACCGTTACCGTGATGCTGTGTGTAGTTGATGCTGGGGTAGTATATATTGCCTTCTCGACGTCCAACCGCCTCCCTGTCACAGGGTAGCCATTTAAGAAAAATGCACTATGACCGTCGATCACGTGATGTACTTTCGATATCACTATAAAAATTGTATTGCGTGTGGCTGTTTATAATCACAGCAGGTCACGTCATGAAGACTGTTATCTCCATAGTCATATTAAGTTACCAAAAAAGCCACACACCCATAAAAAAAACCCAAAAGAACACCCTGCACTCGTTGATAATTTCGGTCTGCCACTTTGAATAAGTGTGGGATTTCCGGGATATTATACTGTAAATCCATCACAGGAATCTTTTACGAACTTAATGAACTCAAATTGTCAATCAACTATTCTAAATCTTGGGAAATATATACATGTACATTTTGCATTTTAACTTTATGGTACACAACATAAATAATTGTAACAGTAGTAAAAAGTTGTATTTATTAATATGCTTTGTACATATATATCAGTATGCATATCTATATTCTATTTTAGGACAAGTGTTTTTATGATGCTTTGGTAAAACATATGTTTGTATATTTTACAACTGTATTGTCCTATGGGCCTGTGGTCTCTTTGACAGAAATAAACTACGTGTATATATTAGTGGTGGTCCGATTAATTGAAATAATCGAAGACTGGTCGCAGTGACTAAACGACCAAGCAATCGATCATGTTTTCTCATAATCGAACACAAACAATTCTGGAACACTTGTTTTCATCAACAATATTTTTCACAAGGTTGGTTTTATCTATTACATTTCATAAGCACTACAAGCTTGTTCCAAGTCGTGATTGAATTCATCTTAAAGACACCAAGAAATTTATGTTCCTAACATACTAGTCATCCTTTAAAGATGTGAAATTTTGCCAAAAACACCCCAAAAATAACTACATGTTTTTTCCTTATTTTTTTGTGCATAAACAAATTTCATAAATGACGCTAACCAATTATTTTCGATGATTGATCGGTGGTAATGAACCAATCATCAATTATGAGATTTTAACCAATTCCCAACACTAGTATATATAATAAATAAGATACCACGAGGTGAAATTTGGTGTCTAAAATTATGAACGGTAGCACCAAACGCTAATCATATGTCCAGGTTTGTCGAAAACGTGGAGGCAGTTTTTTTCCGTTCTTGAGGGAAATGAGGAAGTTAAATTTTATGAACGAGATGAAAATGTGATTTAACACACACAAAAAACATGAAATTTTAGCCATTTTCTTCAGTGTTGTGACTATGCACATCGTATTATATCTCAGGCATACTGGAAGTGGTTTTGGTATAAATTGTTATTTCACTCTTTCTGAAACCTTGATTTTCATTGTCTGATAAATATTGCCATTCGTCACTAAATACATCGATATAAACATTCTGACGGTAGTTGAGTTATTTTGTTTATGAAACTGTAGTATACGAACACCATTTTCTGTAACTACTTTTCCTAATCATGGAGGGGCGATGGGGTAGCCTAGTGGTTAAAGCGTTCGCTCGTCACGCCGAAGACCCGGGTTCGATTCCCCACATGATCACTGGGGAAGCCCATTTCTGAAATATTGCTAAACGCGTCGTCAAACTAAACTCACCCACTCACCTATACATTGAGGTACGGGTCTGAGGAGACGTACTTGGCAGTGCAGAATGCCAGAAATCTATTACAGTGGGTTCGAGTCCCGGTTCGACCCGATCAAGTATCTTAGTCAGTCAGACTGACTGACTGAGTTTGGTTTTACGCCGCTTTTAGCAATATTCCAGCAACATCACGGCGGGGGACACCAGAAATGGGCTTCACACATTGTACCCATGTGGGGATTCGAACCCGGGTCTTCGGCGTGACGAGCCAACGCTTTAACCACTAAGCTACCCAACCGCCCCGAGTCAGTCAGAACCATACCCTCACTCGTGGCTTTAACCAAGTGGTGACTTTAGGCTTACATCCCACATTTAGGTAAGAGGCGACTAAAGGATCGGGTGGTCAGGCTCGCTGACTTGGTTGACACATGTCATTGTATCCCAATTGCAATTGCGTAGATCGCTGCTCATGCTGTTGATCACTTGATTGTTTGGTCCAAACTCGAATATTTACAGAACGCCGCCATATAGCCGGACTCGGCAATATTCCAGCAATATGGCGGCGGTCTGTAAATAATCGAGTCCGGATCAGACAATCCAGTGATCAACAGCACGAGCATCGATCTACGAAATTGGGATACGATGACGCGTGTCAACCAAGTCAGCGAGCCTGACCACCCGATCCCGTTAGTCGCCTCTTACGACAAGCATGGGTTGCTGAAGATCAATTCTAACCAGGATCGTCACGGGTCCAAAGGTTCTTATGAATATTTTCTGTTAATATATTTTGTGAGGGCGGCGGGGTAGCCTTGTGTTAAAGCGTTCGCTCTTCACGTCGAAGACCCGAGTTTGATTCCTCATATGGGTACAAAGTGTGAAGCCCATTTCTGGTGTCCCCCGCAGTGATATTGTTGGAATATTGCTAAATGTAGCATAAAACCACATTCACTCACTTTATATTGCAAATCATTTTATATTTTCTGATGCTACTATAATGCACTAGTGGTGTTCCCTGCTGTGATATTGCTGGAATATTGCTAAAAGCGGTGTAAAACTAAGCTCACTCACTCACTCACGCACAAGTTTGTTTTATGTTTTGTTTTGTTTTTGTCAGACGCTTCGAAATGTAGTTTACAAACCCGATTTCACAAGGCACTGTTTTTGGCGTTCAAATTCTCACAATATCAAACTAATGCCGCAGGTGTTTGAAGCAGAATGTCTAAATTTGCTGACGTTTGCAACCATTCCACTGTTGATACGGCTGTCGTGATACCCATTCACGTGATGCCGAACAAAGTCACGTGATACACGGAAGTGATACTGCAAGGTGTTGTTGTCGGTAAGTGGTGATTCATTCTGTCTCCGAGTGATTTGTTGTGATATCGATGTTTACTACAAAATAGTGAGACGCTAAATGAGCACGTAATAATGTAAATTACATGACGGTATCAGGTATGTGTAGCCACTGTCGTATATAAACACTGGTACATACTGCGCAGTGCTCATGTCGTTGGCTGTGTATGGGCAAGGGAACTAACTCATGTTGGTCTTGAATAGTGACCCTCTGCTGATGCCTTATACAGTCAATCAATGACGGTTCGAGGATCGATTCCAACGCTAGTGCATTAAACGTATAATATTACAATTTTTTACAGATACCATAATTGTTAATATTCTCTCCCAGTCTCTTTCCATATAACGTATAATTTACAATTTTTACAGATGCTATGAGTATTACTCTCTCTCTCTCTCTCTCTCTCTCTCTCTCTCTCTCTCTCTAATGCTGTCGCATGGAATCAAATACACAAGGTTGCAGTACAAGCTGAAACACTGCTGAAAGCATTTGTCACAATCTCCATGCTTTCATTCATATTCGTTGTTAACGATTTTTTGTATAGTCATCTTGCCGTGCGTCACATTATTGTTAAGGAACGTTTCTCCATTAATATATACATCAAGCGGCGAATTGCAGTGAAACTTCCGTGGAGAAATGACCTTGCGTTTTTATCCTCACCTATAGCAGAAAAAAATGTTTTTATATAAAACGTTAGTAAAACCAACATTAGGCACTTTAGATAATTACTTTCTTCGTTTCGGGAAGGGCATTCTCTTATCACAAGTTTCACTCTCGTGTGGTCCGGATGAGACCTAGCTACTGAGATGTTTTGTTTGTTTTTTGTATGAAGCCGCCGTCAGCAATATTCCACTTGCATGTAACTGATGGATAATCCAGTGATCAAAATCATGAGCATCGATCTACGCAACTGGGATACTATGATATGTCTCAGCAAAGTCAGCGAGCCCGACCACCCGATCTCGTTAGTCACCTCTTGCGACTAGCATGGGTTACTGAGGTCCGGGGGCGGCGGGGTAGCCTAGTGGTTAAAGCGTTCGCTCGTCGCGGCGAAGACCCAGGTTCGAAGACCCAGTCAAAACACATCTTATCATTCACGGCCATGACTGTCGAACATTGTATATGATGCGCTTTATTAGTCATGTTGTGGACAAACCTCCAATCATAAGGGGCGGTGGGGTAGCCTAGTGGGTAAAGCGTTCACTCGTCACGCCGAGGACGTTTGATTCCCCCACATGGGTACAATGTGTGAAGCCCATGTGTGGTGTCCCCCGCCGTGATATTGCTGGCATATTGCTGAAAGCGGTGTAAAACTAAGACCAATTCAATAGAGAAATCAGAGTGTCAGACTCACTGGCTTGGTTGATTGCGTCTCAATGCTACCCTGACTGCCATGGGTATTGTTCATAATATCGACCACTGGTTTGTCTCCTCCAGATTCGAATTCGACAGGCAGTCAATTTGTAACTGGATTATTGTGGAGTTAGACAACAAACAGAAAATAAGAGGACTCCTTAAAATCGACTTACTTTTTCGATAACCCTGGTGCTGAAGTAAGCTGGCTGCAGCACTGGTTTTGCGCAGCAAATAAAACGCTTTTGGGTGGACAGGAGCCAAGTCAGTGTGTTTCTAAGTGCATCATGGTTGTAAAGAAGACTAATATGGGGATCGGATGGCCAGGCGCTGTGGTTGTCCTCGTTGTGTGTCATCCTTGCGTACACATTCAGCTGGTTGTGTTGGCACAGACACTGTTTATATTCATTCACTGGCACAAGTTCTGGCACTTCAATGTATCACGCATGCTGTCGTATATAAAAGGTAATGCGACAATAGCAAGGTACTTGACTATTTGTGGGAAAAGGCTGTCACAATATGTATCCAGATAAGGTTTGCTTCCCAGAAACGTTGACTAATGTTCAGGACCCCGATCCACAAAGCTTTCGTAACGTTACGACTTGTCGTAGCTGGACAGTTTAGCATAGGGTTACCAATGTCGTAGCGCTACGAACTCTTTGTGGATTGGGACAAAGAACATATTTTGGTTCGAATTGCTCAACCGACTAAATTTGAGGGAACTGACGATTTTCATGAAACGTTGCTATTCTTCTTTATATTCTCTGTATGTACCTGTGAGTTTGTAAAATAATTTTTTTAAAATCAGTGTTGAAACGTTAGGCGTCTGGCAGATTCATTTAGGTTTAAAGCCATTTACAGATATGATACTCCTGTCCGTGTAATCTCTGATGTACCAAACATTCCATTCAGTTGACCTACTGTGTGGTGCAGTGGACATAGAGTGTTGCCGGGAGAGCGGATGTTTGCGTGATACCAACGTGCGTTACCAAGATGGTACTTCTGGTTGCCATGCATGGCGCTGGGCGTGAAGTGCCCGCACGTCGTTATATATAAGTGCAATGTTATTTTTAATGCGATCCCCAGTTCAGCTCACCTCACTCTTCAATGACATTAATATGTTTGAATAATTGTGTTTCTCCAGATTTGGCCATGTCGGAAGTGAAATTGTCGTCGTCGCCCCAGAGCCCCGACTCTGGATACGCAGACGACTGGCAATCCGGTAAAACGTTGACCGAAACCAATCTGCACATGCTCACAACTCAAAACTGTTGTGACGTCACCTTCCGGGTCGGACCTAATGAAAAGGTTATCCAGGGTCATAGCTATGTCCTGATCAGTCGGAGTGCTGTGTTCCACGCCATGTTGTCGGGCCCTCTGGCAGAGAAGGATGTCATCACCGTCCCAGATATTGAAGATGAAATATTTTATGAAATGTTGAAGTAGGTATCATGATCACAATCTTAAAAAAGGGATTTTTTGGTTTACTGCTGAAGTCTGCGTGAAATTCACTACCCCGTCATATAAATGAATTCGGTTTAAAGAAAATGTTTTCATTGTTTCACACACTCATCGGTAGCAAGCATTAAAATAGGGACAGTTATTGTCACTTTTCTATCATAGTCTAAATGCAAATCTTTAACGGACGGGCTAGTGGCCTGGGATTTGTAAGAACATGGACCCGTGAAGAGCCGGGTTAGAATTGATCTTCAGTAACCCATGCTTGTGAGAGGCTCACTGACTTGGTTGGCACATGTCATCGTATCCCAATTGCATAGATCGATGCTCATGTTGTTGATCACTGGATTGTCTGATCCAGATTCCACTATTTACAGACCGCCGCCATGTAGCTGGACTAAAACTAGACTCACTCTTTTTAGCTGCAGCTCCGAAACCAGATTGTAAAAAAGTACGTTGAGTCGAAATATTTTTTGAAGACAATACTGACAATGAAGGCATTTTCATTTTTCATGAAAGACACTATTAATTTTTTCAGCGCTTTGGAAGCATATTTTGTAAGCATTTTTCTGGACAATTACAGTGATTTTTCGATAAAGTGTTTGGTCTCTAATGTTATATTCAATTTCTTCTTTCAGATATTTATACACTAATGAGGGTAACGTAACTCCAGAGAACGTGACGGGTCTGCTCTATCTGGCCAAAAAATATTCCATCGGAGGTTTAGAACGTCAGTGTTTGGATTACTTGGAGAAGTCACTGAGTGCCGATAACGCCTGTGTGATCATGGAACAAGCCCATAGTTTTGACGAGATGGAGCTCCAGGACAAGGCGCTGCAGATCGTCATCAGTGAAGGTGACGTCAGTCTCAGAACATCCGGGTTCTCCCAGCTCTGTCACAGCTGTTTCCACAGGGTTGTCTCATCGGAGGATCTAGCCGTTAAACCGGAACACATGTTCAGCGCCGCGATGTCCTGGTCGGCGGCCGAGTGTGAGCGGAAGGGGTTGGAGGTGGTTGCAGTCAATCAGAGGACCGTTCTCGGCGAGTCCCTCTACAACATCCGCTTCTCAACTATGTGTCGCGAGTACTTCGTAAAGCAGGTTGTTCCCACCGGAGTTCTGGTAGCAGATGAAAGTAATAAGATCTTATGTAAATTTGTTTGCAGTGATGTAGATGTATCACCGTTCACTGCCGATCCGCGTCTAGGGGTGACGAATAAAACATTTACCGTCTCCAGGTTCCGCTCCATTAGCACGACGTCACTCTTATGTCAAGGTGACGTGGTGGATTCGGTGACCTTGACCTCTAGTCATGACCTTTACCTTCACGGTATACAGTTATACTGTCCTTTTAACGAGGTCGTCGCCATGTACAGTGTTTTCATCTCTGTGCGGATCAGCCCCGGAACCCTCCTCCCCGGATCCTGCTTGTCCACGACAATTCAGGCCAAACCGTTTGAGAAGGCGGTGTTTGACGTCTACCTCAACGCACCTGTCATCATTCGGAAGAACGTACAACACAAGGTCGCGGTGCTGATCAACGGGGGCTACACGTATCAAGGCACGACGGGCCTGTCACGTGTCATTCACGGATCAAACTGCTTCCAGTTTACAGTTTCAACAGGTGGCCGCTTTAGGAGTTCAATATCGGAAGGGCAGATTCCAGGGTTTATTTTCAGCGAACCATGACAGGATTGGTTTAAAAGTAAGATAAATATTTTATCTGATGCTTGTACAGGCCATGTGTAACTTAAGGTACTGATTCAACTTTGTTCCGCTATTGTACCGCCACATCAGTCGCCCGACTGCTAAAACAAACTTAAGAAAAGTCACGATCTCACAACTGAACCCGCGTTATTTGTTCGTACTCACTCATCCAGGGGCGGTGGGGTAGCCTAGTGGTAAAGCGTTCGCTCGTCACTCCGAAGACCCGGGTTCGATTCCCCACATTGGTTCAATGTGCGAAGCCCATTTCTGGTGTTCCCCACCGTGATATTGCTGGAACATTGCTAAAAGCAGCGTAAAACCATATTCACTCATTCGCGCATCCATGGTTCAAGAAGGGCGATGTAATGAAGAATTTTTATCAGGAAGCGTTTATCTCTCTGTGGTCTCAGTCTTAATGCGAATACCGCATTACTGAATCTTTTGGTGAATGTTATCAATTACTTGCCCAATCTTTGGCTTACAAACGCGGATCTTCCCCGAATGAACGATTTGAATTCATCTTGCATCCATCCTCCAACCCTCTGGAATGGGCGCTATCAATTTCTTGTCCATTCTTTGGCTTACAAACGCGCACTCTTCCCCGAATGAACGATTTAAATTCCGAGACAAATCAAATTGCGGGCGTGTCACGGAATGTGGCGATTAGTGACGAATTGGATCAGCCGAGTTAAAAGCTTTAACCGATACATATCGTGTTTCTTGATGGCCAAAGACCGATACCCGCTTTACGTTAGAGCAACCGTCTGACTATGTTGCATGCACATGGATAGACATTAGGCCTATTTACTCCAGGATTCTGTGATATTAACAAAGAGCGAGAGAGAGGAGAAATTAAGTGGGATTATCTTTTTGACCTAGGAACCTGAATTTGTTTGCCAAATGTTTTACATCTGTAACAATGGCTCTCTGTATTCTTTGTATTCCGTAGAATACGAGATATTATATATGTACTTTTGTATGCTTCATATCAGCGAGTTTCGTAAACGAGTTTTTGAACAAGTGTATATCACTTTATGATGGTTTCCTCAATGTATACTGTTTTCGAACACTGTATATTTAAGATGCGCATTCAATACTATGTGTTTTATAATTACAGGCATTGTACTATACAGACGAAAGTTTTAATATTTTTTCAGATATGTTTTCCACCAGTTGCTAGAGTTTTAACGTGGCCCTTACATGATACGGTTTTATGGCATCTTTTCATGAATCTGACGATTAATGGCTATGTTCCCTTTTTCATATTGTGATATTACATATATATGCTGAATTTGTCCTTACTGACGCTAGTCTTGTATCGTTCTGTGTTGTGTATCTAATGCATGTATTTTTATGTAGTGAACATCAAATAATTACATGTATGTTGATCCTACAAGTTTTTGTAACTAAGTCGATTTTTGTCTTAGTTTTCATCTTAGCCAGCGGACTTGCGATCTTAGCCAGGGCTTTGTTCCCCGAAACGATCTTAGCGTTGGGACTGTTGTAAGTCCCAGAACATTAATACGGTCGTAACGCTAATGTCGCTTTTTTAGGATGGAACCAGCTGTTATATATGTACGGTCAAACCATGTGAAAGGTCAGGAAGTGTTACCTGTATATTCGTCAGATCATATCGTGTGTCATGTCAATGATGTTTGATTTTATGAATTTTATTGGCACTTTTACGTGAGCTTCTAGAACTATTATTTTTCGGCCCGAACCTTTTGACGTACTAAGGAAAGCCTTTTGGTATGGTCTGTACCAAAAGCTATATGCATTGTATGTAGCATGTTTGCTGGCGTTATTCTGTCGAGATATATATCCATTATATGATAGATGCCATGACGCATACGTCACATTAGACAAAGGCCTCCATATGGTGCCTATATTATCTTTAGTTAAAAATTACAAAAATATATTTGAAATCAATTTAAAATAACAATATTAATTACATTATATATTTGAAACAAATGCCTAATCTCCACTGAAGACTGAAGGTAACGACCCCTGTCGCTTCAAAGTCACATGGCTGGTCACATGATTACACGCGTATGTCATGACGTGTGCTCTATAGCTTATATCATGACGTATATGATAGAACGGCTATACTATGACGTGATACTGTTTCTAGTTACTGACGAGTTCCTTTGTTGGTAAGCACATACCGACACACGTTACCACAGAGTTATCATCTATAAGTTATGTAGATTCAATAATGATAACGTTTTTCATTCATAAAAATGCATTTTCCTTTGGTTGTCTATTTTGCACTTAACGCATCACTTATCGTCCGTCCTCCTAAAGCAGATACATCCAGCACACGTCCCCCTGAAACTGCCGTTGCTGTTTATGGTTTTTTTGTACGGTGTTCACCGTTCTCGAATACATGACACGGTTTTTTTTAACAACTTCTTTTTATTCTGTATACGGGGTAATTCTTGCTCTGAAACGTCGTGTAAAGAATAAAAAGAAGTGGTTATAAAAAAAGGGTCATGTATTCATGTTCGTCCAACTTCTAAATACCTCTCAAGAACTCCGTTCTTGTGTTACGCGTCCATGTATTTCTATGTTGTCACGATTTACATGGTGTTTACTTTTTGAAATAGTGAGTGGTATAGAATCCTTTAACTTCATGTACACCAATATACTCGCTTGGTAAATCATTTCAAAGCTTCACTCGGACAGTGCAGGTCAGAGATACGAAACCAAAATGTCTAGCAGTCATGAATATTTCTATTTATAAACTTGTGTACTCATAGAAACGTGCGATTGTTTGATATTTCAAAGTTTCGTTCGTTTCACGAAACTAGTGATTGTAGAAGGTGTTCATCATTTTAATCTGATCTGTACATACCATTACAAAAATTACACACAGTTCAAACTCCGTCACTGAAACAAAACATAATTCCACCGTAAGGTAATACCGTGGTTGAGCAAAGAAGGCCGTTCCAACTTATCACATCGATGCCACGACAAAGCTTATGGACCATTATTGAGGCTGTCCTAGTTTCTAGGAACATGTACTGTTTTGTTCAGATAGACACGATCTTTGTCCATTTGTATATTATTGGTTAATTTTATTATCAAATATGGATTTATATGAATGTATCTCTCCCAGGGGTGATAAATAAATTGTAAGCTTGCTGTGATGATGATGTTGATGACGTTCCTGATGCCCACAGTTGGACATGCATTGTTGAAAGTTTGTTCCCTGCTTTTTGACCATTTCCGAATATCGCCATCTTATATTTCTATTTTGTACTTTGCATGTATAGGTAATAAATTATGACAACTTAAATAAAAGGAAAGAAAAAACTGTTACGTTGTTTTTTCCGATGTTTGTGAGACAAACGATTGCTTCGATTTAGAGTGGTTCATACCCTTTGTATAAGCGCCTATAGAGCACGGGCGGTGGAGTAGCCTAGTGATTAAAGCGTTCGCTCGTCACGCCGAAGACCCGGGTCCGAATCCCCACATGGGTACAATGTGTAAAGCCCATTTCTGGTGTCCCCCGCCGTGATATTGCTGGAATATTGCTGAAAAGCGGCGTAAAACGTCACTCATTCTCTCGCCTAGAGCAAGCTGGCTGGATCTGTATACTAAAGCACATTTATTCGCGGTACAAAATGGCCTTACAGCCTTGATTGGTGGTTTCAGCCAAACAAACAAGCCCTGGTCATAAGGTAACGGAACGTATATCGGTTGACATGCTGGATATTGTTTTAAGTTCCAGCTTACGACATTTACTCGGACGGTATTGATCCCAGTGAAACGATCCGGTCACTGATGCCAAACAGAAACGGTCGGACAAACGCTCAACCTCAGCATGGTCATCTTCATCAAATTATTCTTTCGTGAGATGATCTTTGGCACAGAGACCATGAGCATGAACGACAGTATACCTGTGACACTTATTCATAAATAAGTATCTGAGTCTGTCATATTTCAACGACCCGTGAAGATCCGGGTTAGAATATTGATCTTCAGTAACCCATGCTTGTCGTAAGAGGCGACTAACGGGATCGGGTGGTCAGGCTCGCTGACTTGGTTGACACACATCATCGCATTCCAAATGCGTGGATCGATAGTCATTCTGTTCATCACTGCATTGTCTGGTCCAGATTCGATAATTACAGACCGCCGCCATATAGCTAAAATACTGTTGAGTGCGGCCTAAAGCTAAACCCACTCACTCATATTTCAACTCTTCCACAAGAGACCAAGTCGCTTGGTTGTATAATAGGAAAAGGGCGTTGAACCCGCTTATCTTACTTCCATGTTAAGAATTGATTCGTTCACGTGACCTTGAAGAAATAATGTGTATTCCACCTGGGAGGGTAATTGATATTCTGATAAATCCCGTATACCCCGGACGAGAAACAGATTGCACGCGGAATTCTGAGCTCTCATAAATTTATAAGCTTACAGTGTCCACGCTGCTTTCGAGTCAACGAAAGTCACGTGACACAGCACATTTAATAGTCCGCAGCTCAACAGATATTTGACCCGTCAAGTTCCGAGTTAGAACTGATCTTCAGTAGCCCATGCTTGTCGTAAGAGGCGACTAACGGGATCGGGTTGTCAGGCTCGCTGACCTGGTTGACACATGTCATCGTACCCCAATTGCGTAGATCGATGCTCATGCTGTTGATCACTGGATTGTCTGGTCCAGCCTCGATTATTTACACTCAGCAATATTGCAGCTTTATGGCGGCGGTCTGAAAATATTTGAGCCTGTACCAGGCAATCCAGTGATTAACAGCATGAACATCAATCTACGCAAAAGAGATACAAAGACTTGTGTCAACCAAGTCTGTGAGTCTGACCACCTGATCCCGTTAGTCGCCTCTTACGACAAGCATGGGTTGCTGAAGATCAATTCTAACCCGGATCTTCACAGGTATCCAACCAACAGTCCTAGTAGACAGCAAGATCTTCACGGATTGACTGCGGATTGATACACGATACACAGAATAGTTTGGCAAATGTAAATAGTTTATTTATTTATATTATGTATAAAGTTGTACAGTTGTTTTATCAAATGGTGAGAAATTTTAAGCACTCTAATTTGAAAAATGATTACAGAAAAATCTCAGAACATGAAGAATATTACTCTCCCCTGCCCAAACTATATAAGAAATATAAATATCATATGGTTAACCCGAGTGAAGAATATTACTCTCCCCTGCCCAAACTATATAAGAAATATAAATATCATATGTTTAACCCGTGTGTACCGCAAGCGCAGCATACCAAGGGAACCAGGCAAAATTTCCGGACTGACTGGATTTCAGTCTATGATGAACTCTGCATGTGTGCCCCATTGTACTTTCCTACAACACTTGGCTTTGTTGGTCATTGTCTGTTTAGATATACATGCTTGTACTTCTGAACACTGCCACAGACACGGTACCGTGTAGTGTTTATTTACTTTAAATAGTGCGTATCTTTTACGTGTTTGCAAACCTCCTGCAATAAGTGTATGCCAAGGTCCTATACATTTTGTAGGTAAACACACCCAAGTCAGGCGTAAAAGGAAAAATCGTCTGATGCACATATATTGATATCTGGTATTGATAGAACATATCATATTTTCAAATTAATTCCACTATTTATGTTCAAAAGAATAAGACATTTCTACCGGCGTTGCAGGTGTTAACTCCAACTATGAAACAACCCGAGCACTGACCTAATTCTGAAACAATACTTTCCTTCAGACTAATTCCATTAATCCGCAAAATCCGGAAACAAACAGTGCCATACTGATTCCGGCTGCGCGATCGATTTACCTTTCTTGGAATATTGGTAATCCAATATTGGCACCAAAGACTCTACATTGTCTGTCGTCGATAATCACGTGCAGCTCTGTCATATTAAAATGGACATAAACAGCCGAGCATATGTTTGTGTGTTTAACGTTGCACTCAGCAATATTTCAGCTATATGGCAGGGGTCTGTCAATGATCAAGTCTTGACCAGACAATACAATGATCCACAGCATGAACATCGAACATACCAAAGTATACACTTGCAAATGGGATTTGTCTAAAACATCTCAAACATTATTACAACATTACTAGGCAGAAGAAAGTCTCTGAAAAAGTGGAAACTAACGCCCTAAACATCGAAAAAAATGGTCTTGTTTTGTATATTTTAGGCATCATCATAGGTGGGTGTATGCTTTCAGTTAAAACGGAAAGGAGAACGGCGAGATGGGAGAATCATGGGATTCTGAACACGTGGAGCCAAGACTTGCTTCAAGGACTATGCTGGTCTGGGAGGAAAATGTTATTGTTCAGGAGCAAACTATTTTGCTTGTGAAAAGCAGAAATTTGTCCGTTTAATATGTAGAACATTGATATCAAATTGTCAACAGCATACAGCAGTATTCAAGCGTCGGTCAAGGCAGTGGTCTGGCTAAATGTTCATAACATAAAACATAACGGTAAGACGTAGAGCGAGCGCTATAACTTGTTGTCCAGTAGGAATAAGAGGGTTTCTGGCTTGCGGACTGTGTGTGGGTGTTTGTAGAGACCTTTGTGCAGGGTGGGGTTCCTCGTGGCTGCGTTCTCCCTCATCAGATGGAAGGTCCCGGGACGAAGCTGCACGATACGGGGTCTGCTGATGGTGTCCTTATCTCTGAACGCTCGGTATGTATCCGACACCTGTTGTAGTTGGGAGTCGATCTAGAATACATTCAAGGGATGGATATGAATGAATCATATTTACTGGTGAGTCGAGAGTGGCATCAAATTCCCACTACGCGAAAGATCAGATATACTATTCACACTTTGCTAAGGATCAAATCATGGATTCAACAGAAAACTATGATGTGGGGTCAAATTTGGTTTAAATATCTAGGTTTCAGTATGTCATTGCATCTTGTGGATCCCATACCTCCTATTGACAGGTGTTGTTTGTTTGTCAATGACTCGTTCCATGATGTGCAAAATGGTTGATTGGTGCCATGAACCTGAGGAAATCTAGACTTGCTTTATTTAGGGCCTTAGCAATGAAGACAGGGCTTGGCATTAGGGAAAATAATGTGGTTCGGGGACTGTGGGACAGACTATATTATTATTTATCCAGTTATATATGGATACAATTTCATATTATAAATCTACGTTTAAGTAAAGTTGTGAATTTTTGTGATCCTTATCAAAGTGTGAGTAGTGTATTACTGGATACTCTTAGTTTGTGGACTATGTAAAGTGCTCAGAGTATAAGATAGATGTGTGTGTTTGTGTGTGTGTGTGTGTGTGTGTAATGTAGAGGTTGAAAACCAAGAAAGCTAATAGACACTACTCTCTCTACATTGTATCTAGACTGGTAATACGATTCTACATTTTGTCCTTAAGAGTGAGTGAGTATGGTTTAACGCTACTTTTAGCAATATTCCAGAATATCACGGCGGGGGACACCAGAAATGGGCTTAACACACTGTACCCATGTGGGGAATAGAACCGGGTCTTCGGCTTGACGAGCGAACGCTTTAACCACTAGGCTACCCCACCGCCCCTTTTTGTCCTCAGGAAACAGACAGGTGTTCATTATTTGTATTTAAGTACCAAGACGTGGTTTGAGGGTCTGGAACTCTGCTTCATTGAACCTATCCCCTGGATTTGCGTGCTGTAGGCGTAAGTACCAGGCAGATCACACATCCTCGGTCGTCATGAGTCTCAATGAACTTGTGGTGGGAAAAACAAAATAAATATATTTTTTTACACACACACACACACACACACACACACACACACACACACACACACACACACACACACACACACACACACACACACACGAAGAAAAAATAGACTTAAGTCGAGGGTAAAACAATCCACCCTGCAATCATAATAGCCCAGGGAAAGTGTCTTTATATGTTGAGAGCACAAACATGTAGACATGTACGGCTGTCATGGCGATCTAGTGGTCAGACTTGGTGACCTCGCTGATAGCGTGTCACGTCGTGGTGACCAGAGGCTTACCTGTCCTTGACTCGATATAGACACGCCGGACCATTGTGGACAACACATGGCCGTCCATGAGAAAATCTTGGATGGGCGTGCGTCGACTTTTAAACAAACACTTCCAGCAGAAATACTGCGACATGTACTAGTTTGTCTTTAGATAGAGGAATATAAAAAGCCTCAACCGACCAAAACATATGTCCGTAAACAATATTAGAAAGCAAACCACGCCCTCTAATGGGACAGTCATTTACTTCGAGGTTGGGTGTATCAATGTGAGTGAGTCAGTCAGTCAGTTTGGTTTTACGCAGCTTTTAGCAATATTCCAGCAACATCACGGCGGGGGACATCAGAAATGGGCTTCACACATTGTATCCATGTGAGGGAATCAAACTCTTGTGTTCGGCGTGACGAGTGAACGCTTTACCCACTAGGCTACCCCATCGCCCTTATCGTTGGAGGTTTGTCCACAGCATGACTAACAAGCATTGCCACTAAGGTGACATAATCCCCCGCCGCAAATTATCAAATCAAACTTATAAAGTAATGAAAGTTTAAGATGAAGTTAAATGTCAACAAAAACATGACCAGTCAACCTCTCTTGATATCTTGCTCTTTAGGTGTTCAAACACACACGTTTTCAAGACTGACTTTGACCTTGACATGAATGTCATAGTGTATGAAATATGCACAAATAGTACTAAAGAAATTGCTTATTGAAAAACATTCAAGGGAAGTCTTGAAAGTCTATGAAGAAAATACAGTGAACCGTTTTTGAAATATCTGCTGACAATTCAGGTTAACAAGCTGAAATCTCCAAAGAGTCATCGTGACCCTGAAAATTAAGTGCAGGTCACCAAAACTGACTGGGCCCTGGGCCTTCCCTAGATGAAGCTTGGTGTCAAATATGAAGAAAATCCAGTGAATATAATTTGCGATATCTTGATGACTATCTTAACATGCAATTTAACATGCTGAAATCTTCAAATTGTCTCTGTGACCTTGAAAATTAAGTGAAGGTCACCGAAATCGACTGGGCCCTGCGCCATCCCTCGATATTGAATCCCTCGTGGTATTGAATATGAATAAAATCCAGTGAACGGTTCTTGAGATGGCTTAACATGCCGGTAAAACGTTAAAGTCCCCTCGTGACCTTGAAATGAAGGTCAAGGTCACCAAACCTGATTTGGACCTTTCTTATACTGTGATGTGAACCTAGGTACCAAATATGAAAAGAATTTAGTGAAATGTTCTTAAGATATTCCAATTCGTACGTACGTACGGACGGACGGACGGAGCCTAATACTATATCCCCCGCTTCGCGCTAAACGCGCGGCGGGGGATAATAAAGCGCATCATTATACAATGTTCGACAGTCATGGCCGTGAATGATAAGATGTGTTTTGACTGGCGACCTGCTGACGATGCAAATGCGATTTAACACGGCCAAGGCCATCTGATGTGATATGTTGTAACTTGTTTATGTATGGTAGCAGACTCGTGTCAACGAGTTGTTACTCTATACAAAATCTGCATCATGTCGGGTTAAAGGCTTCACTCCCACTGGAACCGATAAACTAATGATCCATAGTGTGAGCACCGACGGACGCAGTTTCAGTATGTCAACGAGTTGTTACTCTATACAAAATCTGCATCATGTCGGGTTAAAGGCTTCACTCCCACTGGAACCGATAAACTAATGATCCATAGTGTGAGCACCGACGGACGCAGTTTCAGTATGTCAACGAGTTGTTAGTCTATACAAAATCTGCATCATGTCGGGTTAAAGGCTTCACTCCCACTGGAACCGATAAACTAATGATCCATAGTGTGAGCACCGACGGACGCAGTTTCAGTATGTCAACGAGTTGTTAGTCTATACAAAATCTGCATCATGTCGGGTTAAAGGCTTCACTCCCACTGGAACCGATAAACTAATGATCCATAGTGTGAGCACCGACGGACGCAGTTTCAGTTTTACCCCTGAAAATCTCGGTAACGACAGAGTTGAATTGAGCACATCATACATTCAAGAGCTTCATTCAAGAAATCCACAGTTAGTGAGTATGATCTTACACTAATACAATCAATATGTCATGACGCGTAGAGTGAGAGTGAGTGAGAGTAGTTTTACGCCGCTAATAGCAATATTCCTGCAATATCCCGACCAGGGACGCCAGAAATGGGCTTCACACATTGTGCCCATGTGGGGAATCGAACCCGGGTCTTCGGCGTGACGAGCGAACGCCTTAACCACTAGGCTACCCCACCGCCCTCATGACGCGTAGAAGTAACCACAGACAGAGCTGATCTTACTTACCGACGATTCCTCTTTTGCCAACAATGGTTTTCCAGGATCCGTCTCCACGAAGATGACGTAATACAGCGCGTCACTCCTCGTGCCTAAAGCAAATTATACAGCTGTTTTTACATAGTTTATAGTTTAGTTTTCGCCTTAATCACACATTTCACACAAAGCTGAAGTGCGAGAGACGTCATTTATTTTTTCTTACCACGTTGGTGCCACTGTTTTCGATGCAATCCCCTTACTGTATGGTGTCAGCGGGTGGGTTTCAACGACGACAGGTTGGAAAGACCATATTGTTGACATACCCTGATGGTGGTAAGGTCGCCATATAATATACATGATACGTTAAATATTTGAGAGTAAGGTCGCCATACGATAAACACGATGTGCTACACTTCCCCATTGGTAAGGTCGCTATACACGATAGTGACGATACCCCACACATTTGATAGTGAGGTCACCATACGATATACACGCTATACAAGATACCCCACACATTTGATAGTGAGGTCACCATACGATATACACGCTATACAAGATACCCCACACATTTGATAGTGAAGTCACCATACGATATACACGCTATACACGATAGTGACGATACCCCACACATTTGATAGTGAGGTCACCATACGATATACACGATAGTGACGATACCCCACACATTTGATAGTGAGGTCACCATACGATATACACGCTATACACGATAGTGACGATACCCCACACATTTGATAGTGAGGTCGCCATACGATATACACGCTATACACGATAGTGACGATACCCAACACATTTGATAGTGAGGTCACCATACGATATACACGCTATACACGATAGTGACGATACCCCACACATTTGATAGTGAGGTCACCATACGATATACACGCTATACACGATAGTGACGATAATTCCAATACATTTGATAGTGACGATATACCCCACATTACACGCTATACACGATAGTGAGGTCCCCACATTTGATAGTGAGGTAGCCATACGATATACACGCTATACACGATACCCCACACATTTGATAGTGAGGTCACCATACGATACACGCTATACACGATAGTGACGATACCCCAAACATTTGATAGTGAGGTCGACATACGATATACACGCTATACAAGATACCCCACACATTTGATAGTGAGGTCACCATACGATATACACGCTATACACGATAGTGACGATACCCCACACATTTGATAGTGAGGTCACCATACGATATACACGCTATACACGATAGTGACGATACCCCACACATTTGATAGTGAGTGACGATATACACACCATACGATATACACGCTATACACGATAGTGACGATACCCCACACATTTGATAGTGAGGTCGCCATACGATATACACGCTATACACGATACCCCACACATTTGATAGTGAGGTCACCATACGATATACCCGCTATACACGATAGTGACGATACCCCACACATTTGATAGTGAGGTCACCATACGATATACACGCTATACACGATAGTGACGATACCCCAACACATTTGATAGTGAGGTCGCCATACGATATACCCGCTATACACGATAGTGACGATACCCCACACATTTGATAGTGAGGTCACCATACGATATACACGCTATACACGATAGTGACGATACCCACATTTGATAGTGAGGTCGCCATACGATATACACGCTATACACGATAGTGACGATACCCCACACATTTGATAGTGAGGTCGCCATACGATATACACGCTACACGATAGTGACGATACCCAACACATTTGATTTGATAGTACGATATACACGCTACCACATCTTGATACGATATACACGCTATACACGATAGTGACGATACCCCACACATTTGATAGTGAGGTCACCATACGATATACACGCTATACACGATAGTGACGATACCCCACACATTTGATAGTGAGGTCACCATACGATATACACGCTATACACGATAGTGACGATACCCCACACATTTGATAGTGAGGTCACCATACGATATACACCATATGTATCATGTGATAAAAACACTTCGGACAAAGTAAGGAAACACTTTCATCATTAAAGGGAATGAATCGTATTCTAACTAAAACACCCTTAAGGGACTAATTTAGAAGGGTTTTATATCCATTACATATGCACACAGTATCTTGTATGACAATCCTATATATCATATTACCGTTGTAATATCGATATGCACTGGACGTTTGAAAAACAATACACCCCAAGTTCCAAATTTAAATAAATACACTTGGCAGTTAAACGATGAACTGTTGAATGAGCTCTTTGGCCAACGTGTTTAACAATCAGTGTTTTTGACATGCATGTTGACAAATGAGAAATGTCTGTTTATATTATTCTGAACATTGACCTATTTCTCTATGACGATGTACGACACTCTGCAAGTGATGTTGAAAGCAGGGGTCTTCTAAAGCTTCCCCTGGCGATGATCCTCATAATTCGGATTGACTCGGGTTGTAACAAATATTTCCCTCACGTCTCCATCTCGGATTTTAGAGAACAAATTAACTCGTTAAGCTCTCATCAGTTACCAGTGAGTGAGTGAGTGAGTTTAGTTTTACGCCACACTCAGCAATATTCCAGCTATATGGTGGCGGTCTGTAAATAATCGAGTCTGGACCAGACAAATCCAGTGATCAACAGCATGAGCATCGATCTGCGCAATTGGGAACCGATGACATGTGTCAACCAAGTCAGCGAGCCCGACCACCCGATCTCGTTAGTCGCCTCTTACGACAAGCATAGTCGCCTTTTGTGGCAAGCATGGGTTGCTGAAGACCTATTCTACCCCGGATATTCACGGGTCCAGAGTTACCAATTGACCAATTGACAGATCTATTTCAGTTGACCATGTAGCTAACTTCATAAAATTTGTGACTAAATTAACAGTCCATGAGTTCGATCGAACATGGGCTTCATACATTGTACCCATGTGGGGATTCCAACTTATTCTCGGCGTGATGAGCGAACCATGTACTTGGCTACCCAACCGCACCTACACGGGTGATGGAGGACTGTAATGTATGCAGACCTGTGAGCATTAATTTTGTTTCATACATTACGTCTCCAGAGAGATAGTCTCCCATTTACAACTTTCCTACCGGAGGTGGAAGTCTACATGAAAAGCCAGTTTCTCCATACCTGTCGCTGTGTCCACATGAATATTCTCTGTAGACACAAAATTGACCAGTTTTCCGGAAGTCCACTGAGTGCTAGCTTCCGCTATCGCCTCGCGCACAACAAATTCGGGAACCTTTTCCAAGTAGACATTCAAGATATCTCCTCGCCTGAAAGTAACAATGCATAAAATACGTCTTTGATGACGCAACTCACGTGTCCCCATGTAGCCTGGCAAGTATTATTATTAGCTAACCGTCACAACATTTGAGTTTTGCGCCGCTCTCAGCAATATTTCAGCACGATCACCTGATCAGGGCGGGGGAGCCCAGAAATGAGCTTCACGCGTGGATTCATGTGGGGAATCGAAACAGGATCTTCGGCGTGACGAGCGGACGCTGTAACTCGTGTGTTACTCCACTATAACTCTTGTGTTACTCCACTATAACTCGTGTGTTACTCCATTATAACTCGTGTGTTCCCGGGTAGCCTGGCAGATATTGTCATTAGGTACCCGTCTAAACATCTAAGTGAGTGGGTGAGTGTGGTTTTACGCCGTCTTTAGCAATATTCCAGCAATATCACGGCACTGGACACCAGAAATGGGCTTCACAAATTGTACCCATGTGGGGAATCGAACCCCTGTCTTCGGCGTGACGAGCGAACGCTTTAACCGCTTGGCTTCCTCCACCGCCTTTCCCAACATCAGAGTCCCCCGCCGTGATGTTGCTGGAATATTGCTAAAAGCAGCGTAAAACCATACTCACTCACTCACTCAATCTCTCATCTCAATGGGGCTCCTTTTCAATTTAAAAAGGAATAATATTGTTTCTATAAAATTACATACATTCAAAGACTAGTCGTTAGTCTAATGACTATTGTGTGATTTGGTTCTTATTCAGTCCTCACCTTTGCAACATCTTGTATCTCGGTGTGTTGCCAGAGAAGCCACACACTCGTACCATGTCGCCAGATCTGAATCTGTACAAACCACGTGGTGTGGTTACAACCAACTCATAGTCCTTCCCTGACTCAACCTATTAACACATTAAAAAACACATAGAACATATCACACCATGATAGTTTCAAATGTGTGTTATGCTCATGTTGGCTACATGACATTTAGAAGTGATACCAGTGTTTGCCCTTAACCCTGAAAGACTGCAGACCCTGAGGACCCAGAGCCATAAAAAGTTGTGGGTCCTGATCAGACTGTGTAGGCCCTATATTTTATATGGAAATAATACTCTTATTATTTGGGATGAAAAAGATGTTGGCCATAAGGACCTGCACAAAACAACAGCTGAGGGTTCGAGTGGTTTTCTACCCGTAACGGTCCGGGTTAGAATATTGGCCTTCAGTAATCCATGCTTGTCGTAAGAGGCGACTAACGGGATCGGGTGGTCCGGCTCGCTGACTTGGTTGACACATGTCATTGGTTCCCAATTGCGTAGATCGATGCTCATGTTGTTAATCACTGAATTGTCTGGTCCAGACTCGATTATTTACAGACCGCCGCCATATACCTGGAATATTGCTGAGTGTGGCGTGAAACTAAACTACCTCACTCGACCGAGTGGTTTTCAGTCGGCTTCGGGCTTGAGGACCGACGTTTATTTCGAACGCTTAGTGATACACATAAAGAAGTGAGTTTTTATGGATATCAACTTCTTTATTATGAGGAACACGTTTCGCGGTATATCCTTACTCCTTCATCAGGACACATTGTGTTCCTCATAATAAAAAAGTTGACATCCATAAAACCTCTTGCTCATATACATGCGTGAGAGCCATTATGGTAAAACTCGAGAGTGGCGGCAAATACAGCGACCCACAGTGGGAGATCAGCCTGTCGGGCAATGAACATGTTTTCTTTTCAATAAAGCATACGGTCCTGGATGAGGTTTGAACATTGACTAGTAAATAAATTCCATATATGGAAGTGTTTAGGACGACTCGGAAGCAAAACGTCATTGAACAAATATATGGCTGGATTCTTTGGCCCACTGATATATCAGCCCTGAAGTGGACTAAATTGGAAGTGAAACCTGCTCCTTTACCAAGCACAATACCTCACACATTCCCCAAACACCAGTTTATCAGTCTCCAAGAACGGTTTATACTAATTCAGCCTTAAAACAGTTTGTAGCTATAAATAAATAATAATAACTAACATAATCATAATGCTTATTTAGCTATCCTTGAGCACAACAACGAAGCTGTATATTAAAAAATACATGAGGGACCGCGATAAACAATGCCGTCCGAAGACCTATTATGTCGGAAATGATTAATCCAAAGATATTAAACCTTGTCTGTTATTATGTAAAATTATGTAAATATTCCACTTGATATAATTTGAATATTACCATTGAAATATACCAATATTGTCTGTTGTGATTGCCATAACGTTTTGTTTTTTTATCCAAAGTATAATCTGTCAGAGGTTTTTCTCTTGTGTCATCTGGAAATTCTTTATTGTGATTACTGTGGATTTTGTCATTTAATTACATAAACAGTTTGCCCCTAAATATATTCTGAATGATATTTGGAGCAAACTAATAACAGGTAAAGCTTATAACCTTTAAACCATAGAATTCTGTTGTTATTTTTCTCTGCACAACTACAATACTACACATATTTGTTTGAGGGTCTTCATGACCGACTAGGGGCGAATGACTAAACGCTTTATTGTATAAAAATATGGGACACTTCCATTACCCGACTATATTTCCTCACACTATGGGTCGATTTGCTTACCGCGACGCTCGAGTCTTTCCATAATGTCCCGCCCTCTTTGTGACGTAGTCATTAGCATAACACCGGGCTCATGAATATTCAAAACCCCGTTTTCATGGCAACGAATAAGCACATCTGATACAGTAACGATTGTTCAATATATGTCACCCCTTCAATTTTTTTTTCATTGGAGAGGGTGTGGGGTGGGGTTTGGGTGGGGAATGGGGGGTGACAACCATTATTGGCATGAGTATAGTTTTAGGCCCCCAGAGCCTTAACGTATTTCACTTTCAGAACTTTTAGCCAACTTCCGCGTCTACAAAACGACATCAGCACAACGACCTTCTGAAGGTATTACAAACATACAAGTTACAACAGTCGCGGCCTGAAGGTCGCTTTCTGAAAAAAGTCACTTGAGTCAGGATTTCATTCTTGCTTTTTGATTAACCCTATCCCTAGGACAAAACGAAAGTTCAACTTTCCTTCATATACATTAAGGTATATATCCAAGTTAAGTTTCAATGTCATAATGCAACTGAAATACTGCTAGCAGCGACGTTAAATTACAGTGAGTGAGTACGGTTTTACGCCCGTTTAGCAATATTCAAGCAATATCTCAGCTGAGGACACCAGAAATGGGCTTCACACATTGTACTCATGTGGGGAATCGAACCCGGGTCTTGGGCGTGACGAGATAACGCTTTAACCACTAGGCTACCCCACCGCCCGTTAAAATAAAACCCACTGATGTTGCACGTTTGGCTTGCCTCACAGACGCTGAACCACATCTTTGTCCCTTTTCACGTACCCTTTCTGCAATGCAGATCCTAAATAAAGCAGCTCAAGACTTTCCTCAGGTCTGAATCACAGACCTCGTTGGGGCTTCTTTTCAATTTAAATGGAGTACATCGGTTGTTTCAACGTGTTATACATTTTCAAGACTAAGTGCAGCTCCCTGCATACCTGGTGAGCTAAGAGTGTGTCTGGCTGTTCGTCCTCGGTGTGTTCAGCAGGTATGAACTCATAAAAGTTCATGCCTGGCAGGATGACGTAATCGTCCCTCTCCGCGCAGGTGTCCGGATCACAGAGACTTCCGGTATACACAATCGTCCCGTACATGCATTCAGTAGACATATGGCAGAATGAGTAGAGAGGAATGGTATCACCTAGATATCGTTCCCTTGTTAGCTTCGCCTAAAAAATCCAAATGGAAAATAAATACAATTGTTTGAGTCAGAATGTCTGACGTGTACGTTTAGTTTGAACAAGAAAGTGTGCCTAACGTCAACTGAATTAATGTCTGTATAACGTCAAAAACGTTTGTTTACGTGAACAACAATAGTCTGTCTTACGTTAACAACGGTGCCTTTTGTTACATCAAAAACACCGAATGACACTTAAGAAGATTACCATACAATATACTATGATTGTCCATTTAGATTGACCGCCTCCGTGGTGTAGTGGTTAGAGCGTCCGCCCGGAGAGCGGAAGGTCGTGGGTTCGATCCCCGACCGCGCCATACCAAAAGACGTTAAAATATGGTACTTGTTGGTCCCTGCCTGGCGCTCGGCATCAATGGGTACAACAAGGACTGGTCGGTTCGGAGTCGGTATAATGTGTCTGAGTGGGGTATTCATGCTTCCCAGCGGCATGGTATCTCAGTGGGCTAGCGCTATAAAACCAGCTTCAGTCTGGGCTAGTACAAGCAGCCGCACATACACATACACACGCATGCACGTCGTCATATGAGCGAAATATTCTCAAGTACGACGTAAAACCCAATTTCACCTCACCTCACCTCATTTAGATTGATTTAAGTGAACTCGGTTGTCTTGAGCCAAACAATACCAAATAGAATAACCTACTCACAAAAGCTGATGATCAGTCTTTGTTCGTTTCAGGTTTTTGCGATACAGGGGAAATGAATTAAATAAATACTCACTTCTACCTCAGCAATTACCATTGCTAGAGTCGAATAAGTTCTATGGAACTTCACGTAACGTCAAATCCCCTTCAGCCTACCTTCGGCCATGAAGATCAACTTCAACGTCAGTTTGACCCAAAGCCTCTCGAGTTGTAAATTTCGATTTGAACAAAAGAAAACCTACACATAATACAACTATTTCTTCGATTGTACTCCACCTTGAATGCCATGGCGCTCAGTTTTAAAGATCTACATCAATGTAATGGCACGATTGTTGTTATGTACATTTGGAACTAGCCGTGTAAAATCGGAATCCAGATAGCATCTCCAGGTCTAAGAATTTAAGGGTCGACGCTGAACGGGTGATTAGAAACTTCCCCTGGCGCGACTTCAAACGGAGGGGATGTTTACATAGACAGGTCAGTTTCTACGAGGAAAAAACTTACTTGCAGAGCAAACGTTCCCGTGCAGATTGAGGAGATCCCACCTAAATGAGGCCAGATTCTCGGCACCATGTCCTTACATCCAGACCTGAAGATTTCCTCCAGTTTATCAGCCCTCTCCGGCAGAGGAGTCAGGTGGCTGTTGAGAGACTCTCTTACATCCTGAGCGATTTCCAGATCTTCATCCAGCTCTCCTCTACGAATATCCCGTACGAGTCTTCTCCAGTTCTGTTCCACGAGGGTCAACACTTGTAAGACAGCCGTTGACGTCATTGCATACATAGCCCCCAGATCTCGTTCGCGCAGTGCAAACACCATGTGCACGTACTGACTTTCATGCTCGCTGTATATGTCGTTGGCGACCTTAGGTGTGCAATAATACGTTTCGTGTCTCAGAAACGTCATAGAAACGGACCCTTTGCTGACTCCTATCTCCGTTTTCATTTTCTTCGCAGGTATCATCATGTATTCCGACAGTCTCAGCTTCCGGAGTTTAGGCGCTGCAGAGAGGGCTGTAGACAGCGGTATAACGAAATATGGACCATATAATGAACTGTTTGCTTTTACATTTATAGGATATAACTTGCTGCGACCGGAAGTAGTACCGGATGTAGCAGCGAAGAAATCCACTTCTTGCTTGAAAAATATATTTTCTTCGCCAGCCAAACACCTCTCTATATAAGGTTTGTAATCGTTATACTCAGTCAGGCGCATGCGCGACCGGAACTCGGCGACGGATGTAATGGCTGCTAAATTGAAGTCTCGACCATACACAGAGTCCTGGCCTAATTTGAGCAATTTAAATAGGGTCTTTGTTTGAGCGGAATTCACGTCGCGACAAAGTGAATTAAATCTCCATAAAATGAAATTGCCTACTGTTGATATGATCCTTTGTTGAAAGTACATTTTGAGGACTACGAAAAAGGGGAGGTTATGAGCTGGTTGTAGGCTCCAGATGTGAAGAAACACGCCTGACCATGCCAGCAACACCAGTGAAGTGGTATAACCTGTACAAAGAAGGTTTATTAAACGCGATAATACATCAGATAAGACGTGTATTTTCATGTATATTATGCCAGATGAATCGGAAGTTCTTCAAACAAACCGTGAGCGAGTGAGTTTAGCTTTAGGACGCTTTTAGCAATATTCCAGCAATATCACGGCGGGGGACACCAGAAATGGGCTTCACACATTGTACCCATGCGGGGAATCGAACCCGCGTCTTCGGCGTGACGAGCGAACGCTTTAACCACTAGGCTACCCTACCGCCTATGCTCTAGGCACCTATACAAAGGACATGATCCAGTCAAAGTCGAAACAATCGTTTGTCTCACATACATTGGAAAACAACGAAACAGTTTTTTCTTTCCTTTTATTTAAGGCGAATCGGGCATTCAAACCCAAGAGTGTAGGATTCTGGCAGTGAATTACGCCGTACATTATTTTGGCCGGCGACCAAATCTATCGTCTCTTAAGCCGAACTATGATGTCAGTTGTCCATAAAGACCAGCTCCAATATTTTATCGAGCAAAGACCTATTTTAAATATATGTAATTCAAATCAGTAGACCTTAAACTCCCTTTGGACAACTCCCTTATCTGACAAACCCTCTTCTGGTCAGGGGCAGTGGGATAGCCTAGTGGTTATAGCGTCCGATCGTCACGCCGGACCCGGGTTCGATTCCCATAGGTACAATGTGTGGAGCCCATTTCTGGTGCCACCCACCGTGATATTGCTGAATTTTTTTTAAAAGCGCCGTAAAACGAAACTCACTCCCTCTTCTGGCCAAAGTTCTGGTTTTAAGGAGATTGATTCTTAATTAGCAATGTGGTAAGTAAAACGAGCACTGACCTGTCAGTGTTGATGTATCCATGGCAACTTTTATACCTACGGCAGCACATGACCCCGCCAGAAGGAGGAAGATAGACTCCCACTTCATGGTTCTTCAATGCAAGGAACCACTCTGCAGAGAAATGTTACTAGTTTGACAGTCCCAGACCATTATTGATGAATATTAAGATAATTCAAACATGTTAAGGAACCGTTCATAATGTATGGCTAGGGGTGGGGTGGGTGGTAGGGCCACATGATGCTTTTATGGAGAACCATGTACAGTGTGAATGCCCCCATAATTTATGGGCAAAGAAAGTGACCCCCATGTCATGTACAAAATTGCTGCCCCCTCCCTCCCTTTCTCAAGTTTATGTGTACAAAATTGATGACACCCCCCGCCACCAAAATGGGTGGCCCCCCTTTAAAATCACACACACACTCGTGTGACCAGCAATCTCGAATGCTGAAAGAATTCGAGCAAAGGTATCAGCATTGCCATTCAGGATGACGTCCCTTACTTTCGTCCTTGCACAACAGGGCGTTCGCAAAAGGACCATTCTGAGGTGAGGTGAAATTGGGTTTAACGTCGATCGTGCTTGAGAATATTTCGCTCATATGACGACGTGCATGCGTCTGTATGTGGATGTGCGGCTGCTTTTACTAACCATAAGACTTAAGCTGGTTTTTATAGTGCTTGCCCACTGAGATACCATGCCGCAGGGAAGCATGAATACCCCACTCAGACACATTATACTGACTCCGAGCCGACCAGTCCTTGTTGTACCCATTAATGCCGAGCGCCAGGCAGGGACCAACAACTACCATATTTTAACGTCTTTTGGCATGACGCGGTCGGGGATCGAACCCACGACCTTCCGCTCTCCGGGCGGACGCTCTAACCACTACACCATGGAGGCGGTCAGAAGATCATTCTGAAGAGAAACTAGTGTATCTTTCATCACTATGTTCTAATCCTAACAAATGTAGTGTGGGAAGACTGCACTATTTTCAACAAAAAGATGATTTTACATGACACTTGCGCAAGTATTAGTTTATTAGAGTACGTGTGAAACTCGTAATCCAAATAGCTGATGTGTCTAACGGGATAGTGTAGTAGTCGATGTGGCTATATTTCTTCTCAGGTGGGTAGAATACTCTTAGTCTGAACTCCAATTTCCCTCTGCATGTAATTCTAAAAAGCACCACCTTATCCCTGAGCTGTCGATGAACGAGAAATATTCACTCCCTGTCTTGAGCTCTTTCTAAAGAATGATGACGTAAACGCAAAAAAAAACAGAGAGAGAGAGAGAGAGAGAGAGAGAGAGAGAGAGAGAGTCTCTCTCACACACACACGCGCGCGCGCGCACACACACACACACACACTGTCACACAAACAGTCTCACACACAGTCTCACATACTCTCTCCCCCTCTCTCACACAATCACATTCTCTCACACACGAGCGTCATGTGCATGTGCATTTCACATTTTCCATAGGCGGGCAGACCTACATATCTATACAACCATATGTTGTGTTCCTACTGACTACAAATAGAAGGATTAATTGTATCTTGTGAAAACTATAAATATGGTAACCCGGGGCTCCGTTAGTCCCACCCGTTGCGGGCCCCCGGACAAACGTGTCTCAAGTAGATAACTTTATGACTTTATGCAACTATAATCAAGAGATAATGTTTACATACCTGACTCGGGCTGGGTGTGTACGGGTCTCAGCTCGTACCTGGAGATCACACTCCACGTATGTCCAGTATACTCTGCTACTGTATGCCCCGCCCCGTGCATTCACATATTCATATCTAAAATGCATTCAGGCATAGGAAAGGGGTCACGTCTATATATAGATCTATTTGGAAACCGCGTTATGATGAGGTCACACACGTCTATGACTGGTTGTAGATGTATACACACGCACGTTAACAGCGGACAGAGACTGTCATGAGGCAGCGTTATAGAGAGGATTGATATGTGTTTGAGAACTTGTTTTACAAGTTTTTATTCTTTTACAATTTCAATATGTACGTCAGTTTGCGACATGAAAACAGTGCACATATAATTAATGTATTTTTACAAAATAACATAAAGGTGCAAATACGTAATGTCACCGCGCCTGTACATATAAATAATAGAGAAGACTGCTCATTAACAGTGTAAACACAATACATACCGTGGGCTTCCAAAAAACAGTCAGTGTGGTTGTTCATATTTAGTAGACATTATGACCACCCAATACCCTCAGACTGTCCTGTGGACAACCATGCATGTATCAAGCATAACTTCTTTGAGAGGCATTTAGAAGTTGGTGCGATGAACAATGGGGATAGTTCTATGGATGTACAATAGACATAGGCAGTTGCAATGAAGGATAACGTAGCGTCTTAGACGCTTAGAAGTTGTATACCCTTAGAACTATTCCCATTGTCAATGCAGAAATATACAAGAATACTTTTCAGAATAACGATGAGTGAGTGAGTTAAGTTTTACGCCGCACTCGGCAATATTCCAGCTATATGGCGGCGGTCTGTAAATAATCGAGTCTGGACCAGACAACCCAGTGATCAACAGCATGAGCATCATTCTACGCTATTGGGAGACGGTGACATGTGTCAACCAAGCTGGCGAGCCTGACCACCCGATCCCGTTAGTCGCCTCTTACGACAAGCATGGGTTACTGAAGATCAATTCTAACTCGGACCTTCACAGGTGGGCCTGAGTGGACACAGAAGCATGGTGCTGCAAGGAGTGAGTGTTGTTTTCCCATGCATCCAGCTACTGCACGTCGGCCTGATAGTATTCGAGTCTTGGTCGGACAGGCCAGTGATTGATACTATGAGCAAAGATCCCTTGTAAGTGAACGAACAGGTCACCTAGATTATACCACCAAATCCCTGTAGAGTCTACTCATATACGACCATTAAGTAGAAGGAAATATTCTTACCCAGAAACACCCCCCCACACCCACCCTCAAAGGTATCCGTAAGAAGTCGTATATAGTTTTTGTAAGTGAAATGAGCTAATATCCATGAACACTCAAGCAGCACTTACAACGCTCAAGGCAGGCGAGCACTTGCATAACAAGTTTATGGCGTTTGTGCTTCAAATATATAATCATTCTCATATGTCTTCGTCAGACATACGCAATTTCTCTCGGACTTGAGATAGTCCGACAGTTTTTGTCACGGGGAATCAAATCAATTCATGTCCATTTCAAAACGAATGTACCTTTCAAGACACCATTTCCCTTATTTGGTACAGCATTGTCTGCTTGATATCTGGATAGTAAACTTAAAAAGCATTTAATTCTGATATTATAGTTGTGTTTGGGAGCTTGAGTTTGCTGCGTCTCGTCGACTGCTTTCAGTCTTGCTAACGTTTGTAATCGTTAGATTAAAGCCCGTTTTCAAGCCTATACTTTTTTTGACAGGCAGTGTACTTTTACTCTTCCGGTCATGTCATATTACTCCAAGTGTATTCATGATCACGTGTGCAGCGACACGATTAACTAATACATGACATACTTCACATGAATTGATTCTCATCCGCTTGAATAATCACATGAGTAGTGAGTTCGTGAGTGAGTAAGGTGGGCTTTTATTGCGATAGCGATAGTCTATTGCAACATACTATTGCGTTTTTTTCTCTCCTTGAATTGTCTCACTTGAAGTCATTTCCCAAATGAATGTATAGTTTATATGAAAGAAAACAAGCTAAAATAGTCTCAGTCTCTTTAAATAACTGACAAGAAACTTGAAACCAGATCAAATTTGTTTAAGAGGTACAAAGGCGGATAAATCAAAGTGAACGAATCTGGTACTTCGCGTATTTTGCGCTGCGCATTTATCAAAGGAATTACTAAACTATCGATAGTCACACATACTATCGATGCATCGATAGTTTTTCGTTTCTATCATCGATTAATTGCTCAACAATTGAAATCCATCGATAGTTCGATGCATCGTTACAACACTAGTTTTTAGTAACCACTACCCCAACCCAAACACGGGAATTATTGACGCAATACACGCTTGTATTTCCTTCGAAGTGCCTTACAGCAGCGGCACACGCGTCCATAGTCTGTTCTTCAGACCCTGAAACAAATATACTCATATGCAGCCCATACAAGTAGTATGTGTGGTAAGTCTAGATAACCACAGCTTCTGAAATGCTGAAAGTTTGGGCTCCTTTTCAAAATATTTTATGAATATTTAGAATTATAATTAAGATGTAGATATTGGATAAACTACTTGTCAAGTTAAATGCGTGGTTGACTGCATTCTTGTTTCACGCAGGTGCTCACCACTATTTGTCGAATTTGAAATATTGGAAATCTCACCTTTGAACTCCTATCGATGTACGGTGTGCCGTTGTCCTTCCTAAAAATTCAGCGAGGAAGAAGACGAGGCGATCCAAACAGATCAGCTGTTTTGTTATGACAATCTCCAGGTTAAGCGTTATCTTCAAATGTGCGTTCAGCACATTTTTTCAAGATGTCAAGGTAAACGAATCATTCCATCAGTAAACAACGCACCTATAAGGGCAACCGCGTGACCTCATTTGTTTACCACACGGGCTGAGGAAAAAGCTCACGTGCTTTTAAATGCTGCACAGGAAACATTTGGTATCAGTAAAACTCATTTCGTGGGGGAAATCAACAGATATTATGATAAGCATAGATACCCACGGATAGCATTCAATAAAGCAGTTATACTTTCAAACCAAAATGTTCGCAAAACAGGAAAGCATTACGCCAAATATCGACAGATTAAGAAAGATGTATGAATTAAAATATATCTGTCTTCAGAAATCAGTTAGCTAAAGAATTTAAAGAGATACATAATTATTTCAACTAATGAATAATTAAAGAAGATCAATTCTAACGTGGATCTTCACGGGTCTGTTGACTATGAAACGAAGATGTTACTTTTGAAGAAATTAAATGTACCTGAAAAAAAAAAGATAAAGCTGCGGGACCTGACATGACTCAGACTGATTACATAATAGGTAGTATTGAACTATTAGACCCTCTTCACGTTGACCTTTTTGGGCTTCACACTATGTAAACATATTCTCCCCATATCTCTCAGGAGTAAGACAAGGAGGTACTTTGTCACCACTTTTATTCAGTATTTCTAAATTTATTAGTATACATGCCTTGCTCCAAGGCTGTACTGAATACTAATGTATGTATAGTAATTCTATCTTTAAAGAGGCAAGTCTGTTAGAGGCACCGTGTTCATTTTATTCATCATTTAAACTATTATCTTATTACCTTAGAGACTTATGTCGCTGAAGGGACCTGATGAAATATAATTTATCTTGAGCGCACGAGTTAGTATGTTGAGTGCACAAGTTACTATATATTGAGCTCACAATTTAGTATCTTGAGCGGACAAGTCAGAATCTTGAGCGCACTTTCCCTTCAGCACTTCCGTACTTATGCAAGCCTACATTACATGCATTCGAATTATGTTTGAAGGGATGAATCGAGAATGGTTAATAGTGAAGACGGCATGTCATAATGCTAATCATAACTTGTTTTACTATACGCTGTATAATTCAATATGGAAGCTAAATGTCTCCAAAACGAAAATTCTGAAGGATTTACTCTTTCCTAATGTCATACCTTGGTCATTGCTGACATTCCGAACTATTTACCACGATCGGGTGGACAGAGTCGCTTACTTGGTTGACACATGTCATCGTATCCCAATTCCAGTAGATCGATGCTCATGATGTTGATCACTGGATTGTCTGGTCCAGACTCGATTATTTACAGACTGCCGCCATATAGCTGGGATAGTCATATATTATAATACTAGAAACTACATATTATGTTACCTTAAACTGATATCCCCAACAATTTTAGAATTTCGTAATTATTTCCGTGTGTGACTTGCTATTTTTATATTTTAATAATATCAGTACGTTTTATATATACTCCTAGATGGAAGTTTAGGTGGTATGGAATGCTGACCTTGTTCGGATATGTGTTTTCTTACATCTACAGTAAATGCTAGGTAAATCCGGTCAATGCCAGTTTTTTGTAATAGGGGGCGTATCACAAATGTGTTTTTGAGAGTAACGACATTTCATCATAACCTTTGTTCACATTTATGATGCAGAACAAGATGTGAATATACTCACAACTTGGAAAAAGAATCTAACAAGAAACAGAAGCGTCAATGAGATTATGTTAGAAGATGAAAATGGACGGGGAAAAGGTTTGAGACTGGCCCCATTAAGCACAAAAAATAAATGCTATGTGATTGGTCAATAACTGTGTCATCGAGATTCGTTTTCAGTAGCTACCGATGTGGTCTGAATGTAAATAGCGGATATACACGATGCTAACCAAATGCAAAATACACTTTCCGTAACAACTGCTTATTTTAGTCCTTTATTTAAATCCCAACATGCAATATGTCAAGTGAATATAAGATTTTATATACAATATTTCATCATTACTATTTGACTGTGTACGTGTTATTAGTAATAGTACGAATCGTTTTTTTGTTTACCAAAGAATAGGTTGTAAGACGCATTATATATGCAAAGTTGTACTACTAGTACCACATCGATGGATAGGTCACATGACATCTGTCATCAACTATTTTGTCAGGCGCTGAGCTTTATCGGTAAGACATTCAGTTTTCATTGTTCCATGTAACGTGACAGCTCACATACCTTGCAGATAGTTATGCATAGTCAAACACTTAACAAAATTCTACAACAACACAGTTTTGTCCACGGGCAACATCACATAAATGACAGTCATTTTGCAACCGGGAAATTTCCTCTGAATGAGGTCAAACCGTTCAAACAGCTGATTTGACCAGAAATCAGAGAACGATAATAGCCTGATGTTACGAAGTTCGATTAATTGTTTGTGTATACTTATTTACTGTTGATACATGGTGACAAACTGCACTATTGTTAAAGAGTCAAACCACTGCTGAATAATGTCTGAATTATACTCCTTCAGTGCGCTAGACCAACCTTTTGAGGCTAGTCAATATAAGTTGTTAGTGCTTGGTGGATCAACAGACAATGGAATGGGATCGTTCCAAGGGCAGTCCCAATTATACGAATTAGACGTCAGTACATTGTCATTTGACTGTTGATTGTATAAACAGTGATACTTCGGTACATCCGAAGTTGACTGAATATTCCTGTTTGGCTTGTTATCCAGATACAAGCGTGCATGATCATACATGGTGTATCCCTAGCTTCACTAAGCATTTGGCTACATTTCCTAATGATGTTTTTATGCACGTTTCGGAAAATAAAATAAGTTATATGCAACTACATGTGTATGCATCACAACATTGTCCACACTTTTACAGAGATCAAACTGGTTAACAGTTGAATCATGGTTGAGGCTTGTTGACATCAATTTCTTGTTCGCTTGTTAATTTTGACCGTGCCAATAATTTGCTTATTTTACTTTTGTTTTGTTATGAATGTTGTGTTCATTTAGAAGTTGGACTGTACATGACAGGGGGTACTATGGATATGGACATCTTATGTTTTTTACCGTCACAATATTTTATGGCATCAGGGCTGTTCCTGTTTAGGGATAACTGCATAATTTGTGTCAGTCAAAGTACTATACCGGGTACCCCTAACAGTATAAGGTGCGTTGCTAGCAGTGAATCACTTGGAGATAGCAAATTAATTGCTTATCCTGAGCTTGCAACAACTCGAGGCGTTTGCCCACTCTTCCAGAATGGCGGAGTGATTACTGCTTGCTCCACTTGCCCAAATAAAGAACGTAATAGAAAGGTCTTGATGACAAACTGATGCATTTGTGACTGCTGGTGACTTCATTGAAGATGTGGGACAAACTGAGGATGCTCGCTGCCTTTGCCCATTTCCCTGCTGATACAAGTCAAACATTTCATGTTTAGCTGTCACATTAAAATTTCCTTCATCCGCCATTTTGGTTTGAGAATGAAGCAACTGCAACTAGAGTTTTGTGTGATTGCAAGTGGTTGAAAGTTAATGCTCCTCTGTAAGGTGAATCACTGTAAATTGCTTGCAAGCAATTGGCTGTTTACAAGGCACCCAAATATTGATACCCAGCCAGGTAAACGTTTGGTGATTTTATTAGTACTCAACTATTCATTTCTGAAATATTGAAATTCTCTCTGTAATGCTTGGTAGAATTGTACAATCCTGCCTCCATTGGTGTAAGCTGTTTTCCCTGATCTGCTGACAACCATGACTACTGTTACAAATGTTACATTTCGGATTTACACTTTCTCAGTAAAGTACAGATTCTTGTACTTTTGTTGGGTTGAGTCCCATCCTGGATTCGAACCCACACCCACAGAGTCAGGCACCTAATCGCTAGTGCACAGAGTCAGATGCCTTTTTAAATGGCATTGTGGAATGGAAGCCGCTCAGCCACCACGGCTTCCACAAAAATGGAAGTCAGACAACTGGTAGTAGTACTAGTAGTGTAACGTTTCATCGATAGTATCGATGTTTACATCATCAACTACGCGATACGAGTGCATCGATACAAAACATATTTAGGCAATATATCAGGATATTTATATTGTGAGTGTCCATGATCCATCGATGTATCTCCAAAAGAGACGATATATCCCAATACAACTTAAATACTACTTAAAGTTGTAAGGAGTATTGATTGCATTAGGAATAGGAAAGGAGTCTCTTTGAAATTCTGAATTTTAAAAACAAATTGAACTTTAAAGGAATTTGTTTGTGTCTATTATCTCTTTTACATGAACAAAGGAGTTGGTGTATAAGTCACAGAGTGTGAACACAATTTATTTACAACTATGAACGATGTCTTAGCGTTGTTAAGAAAGAGAACTAAGAGAAGATAAAATTTAGAAAGCAGACTTAAGTGATTCTGAATGCTGATATAAATTAAACTAAGTTGTTTGTGAAAGCATTGCTGTAGAAACACAACTTCCCAAGGGAAACTTCACTTTCAGATTTATATATATATATTAGATCAAGGTATACTGAATATGTATGACTTTCTTAAGCACTGAATGCTGAAATTTATTAGATGAACAGCTTTTTAAGTGTGTGTGAATGGAACACAAGTTCTGCTATTAACAAATAAAGTTTCAGTCATTTTATCTATCATATCTGCTCTGTTATTAGAAATTGTAAAGTATCGGGATACGTATCGTATCGCCCCAATTGTATTGTGATGATAATCGTCTCACGCAGGTTCCTTGCCAATACTTTCATGATATATCATCTCGCCTCATTAAACAGGTATCGGGATATATCGTCTCGCCACTTAGGCCACGATACACAGCTCTAACTGGTAGTCTAGACCACGGACTTTGTGTACCCCTCTGATAAGTGCAAATTGATACATCTCCCATGGCCAAAAGCTATGAATACACAGAGCCATTTAGAAAGTTGTCATATGTAACATAGGTTATACAATGTATGTGGGATTACACTTTCTTTGTAGAGTGCAGATTCTACTACTTTTGTTGGGTTGAGTCCCATCCGGGATCATCCACAGAGTCAGATACCTTTTTAAATGGCATTGTGTATTCATGACTGCTGTTGAAACACATCCTGTACCTATTTTGTTTCCATGTATTCATATTATTACCTGCAGCCTCATTCGGTGCAAGAAAACATGGCATGACAGATTCATCAAAGAATAGGTGGTTCTTAACCTGTTTTGAGTAGTATTTGTGTTTTGTAGACACAGATGCATTGATATAAAGATCATCTTCTGTTTACAGTGATTGTGTATGCTATATATCTTTGAAATACATGAATTAGAACCATTTTGATAATGATATCCACATCTCTATTTTTTAAAAAACAATAGCATGATTAGAAATTAAGGCAGACAAAGGCAAATCAGTGATCACCAATTTGTACCAAATCTTTCATGCTTCCTTTATCAGGTTTACAGCTAACAGTATGTCAGTATACGCTTGTGGCTGCTTGAATGTTAAAATCCATACAAGGGACATCCACCCAGTTGACAGTAAGTGAACTTTAGCATTACATCATGTTCATGCTTGGCTTTCTGTGCTCCAGCATTTTATATTATCTCATGAAGATTAACAAGGCAAAAAGATATTGAGGAAATCTCTTTATCTCACATTTAGCTAGAATGGCTAGATTTACAAACCACTTTTAACTCAGCTTTTGAATTAAGTGTTCAATATTAGAGATGTTGCTGTGATTTCTTCATGAAAGCAAGTGGAACTAAATCTCGTTACTGAGCATCTGCTGATTTAACTACATGCTGAGGATCAAGTAATACCAAACAGCATGAGCACATCATCATAGACGTTTTGTTATGATAAGCATGAGCAGTATGGAATGATTCAGAGTCATAAATGAGTGTCCTAATTATTTTGTAACCATGGTAACTTAGTGTCATGTGTAACTGTTTCAGATATTGGTGATGATGGTTCACAACCATTCCTTGGTCGGAAAGTTGCAGAGGCAATGTTGGATGACAAAGGCATTGTCATAGTAAGGATCTAATGGGCAAATCTTGTGATATATTTTTTACATATTTAATAGACTTCAGTATATTTTGCATATATTTAGGGCATATGTACATGAAGTCTGTTGTGTGCAATGTGTAAATGAACATATTTGATATACAAAAAGTATGCATGCTAGCCTAATATTTATATACATTGTTACCCGTGAAGATCCGGGTTAGAATTGATCTTCAGTAACCCATGCTTGTCGTAAGAGGTGACTAATGGGATCAGACAGTGAGGCTCGCTGACTTGGTGGACACGTATCATAGTATCCCAATTACGTAGATCGATGCTCGTGCTGTTGATCACTGGATTGTATGGTCCAGACTCGATTATTTACGGACTGCCGCCATATAGCTGGAATACTGCTGAGAGCGATGTAAAACTAAACTAACTCACTCACTCATTCATTCATAAGTTTATAGGACCTAGAAGAGATTAACCAGCATGACAGTTGGATCACAGCATCACTGTCATGCTATACATAGTTATAGTACCACCCTTGTGCACAGTGCTTCATTTAATTATACACTATACAATATGTAGGTGATCTGTTCATTCCTCCAATTGTTTAATGGTCCTTTACTACCATGATGCCTTATCCCTGTAAACTAACTGGTTGTCCTTGTTATCTAGGAGCAGTCTTACCTGCTGCACCGACAGAGCACCAGCTCAGGATGGGTGCAGTACCAGTGTGTCAACTGCAACTGGCGCACACATGCACTTCGTACATCGGACTCTCGTTCTGTGCTCATCAACCTCCAGCTGGAGTCCGACCCGTCGGTCCTCCTCCGTCTCACCCGGTCCCCGGACTTCTCCCTAGTCTACCACATCGTCATGCAGAATGACAACTTCCACGATGTTCCCATGCCAGGTAATGAGGGAGAGGGGAAATTTATCCTCGTTTACTTACCAAGGTTTCGAATTTGCGCTGAGGACAAGGACATCAGTGATGGTAGTCCTATACAGTAGATGATTATAGTTTCGAAGAAATTCTCAATGCTTTTATTTTTCTATAAACTGGAATAAAAGTGACTGAAAATGTTAACATGGTAAACAGTCATGTCTTGTTCAAGCAGGACTAGCTACATACTGTAAGGACTATGGAAATAAGGGTTACGTAAGTTCTTTTTAAAAATATTGAATTTCTTTGCAAACTGTGAAACATGCATCAAAGAAAACATATGACCTTACTTCATATACTTAGCAAGCTGTTGGTCAAGTTTTTTGAAACAGTGTTTCCTGTTACCATGGCTATTGTATTTTCATGCTAATACGGAATGGACACATCTTTCCTTCATTTGAAAATGTTTGAAGGCATGTAACTGTTTTGTGTATCAAAATACAATAGCACCTTGGTTAGTAATGGACACAACAAGCAATAGCATCATGATGACGTACAGATCAATACAATAGTTGTTTGTAACACTGCAGCTATAGCATCATGATGCCATACGGATCAATACAATAGTTGTTGTAACACTGCAGCTATAGCATCATGATGCCATACAAATCAATACAATAGTTGTTGTAACACTGCAGCTATAGCATCATGATGCCATACGGATCAATACATTAGTTGTTGTAAGTAACACTGCAGCAATAGCATCATGATGCCATACGGATCAATACAATAGTTGTAACACTGCAGCTATAGCATCATGATGCCATACGGATCAATACAATAGTTGTTGTAACACTGCAGCTATAGCATCATGATGCCATACAGATCAATACAACAGTTGTTGTAACACTGCAGCTATAGGATCATGATGCCATACGGATCAATACAATAGTTGTTGTAACACTGCAGCTATAGCATCATAATGCCATACAGATCAATACAATAGTTGTTGTAACACTGAAGCTATAGCATCATGATACCATACAGATCAATACAATAGTTGTTGTAACACTGCAGCTATAGCGTAAATGTTGCCTTGGTTACAGATGGGTCTGTGTACGAGTCTCTGGCATCAGGGGTCTCCACTGTGGAAGATCAGGCTGACAATCTTGTTGAGCAAGAACAGGCTGCTATGGAAGAACGCATCAGGTAAGGGCGCCATCATCAATTACTTCAGTGATATTGCTTGAATATTTCTAGTGGTGTAGAACCTTGCTGAATCTGAACCCTCCTGTACCTGTCCTTACTCCTGGTTTCAGGAACTTTGAGCACGAACAGAGGACAGTGTTTGGGCAGCTTCAGGCAAGGTGCGACAAGGAGAAGGCCCAGATGCTGCGGTGAGTACAGGAAGGTGACTGTGTTTGAAAAAAGAATGAAAGTACGGGAGGCCTTGTCAGAACCTCTTGTAAAGTTAAATGTTTTAAGGTCTCTTTCATATAAATTCAAAAGCAGAATGTGCAGCTAGAATAACATGTCAGGACCCCCTGTAGATGGAACACTGCACCATTCCGATGTAAACTTTATGTCATCTTAAATCATATACCAGTTTATTATGAAAACTGTGAACTACTGTAGTAGAAGGCCATGTTGTCCTAGTGGCTGTTACTTATAAGTGTAAGCCGTTCCATGTGTATCAATGCTAAGACAGCCAGACCTGGTTAAATGTATGTCTTCGTGTCTAGGCCTCATTTCACAAATTTATCGTAGCTCTATGTCTCTTAACTCCTATACTGTAACATAGACTTACGGTAGTCGTTGCGCTACGATAGCTTTGTTAAACTGGGCCCAGATCCTTGATTGCTACAAAGCCGAGATCTATGTTTATTGAGAAATGAAAAATATACACTAATTACTGTGGACAGGGGAATGATTAGAATTGTCTGTTAGATTGTTTTTCAATGATGATTTAGCATGAAGACTTGATAGTTGTAAAAATACAAGCAGTATTATAACAGCCAATATCATCATGATTATTAGTGAATTTGGAGATGGGAAGTGAAAACCAGTTGTATGCTTACCGTTGGTAGTCTTGTTAACCTTGAAATTAACCACAAGTAGGAATAATGTGTGAAGCCAATTAATGCACAGTATTTGTATTGCTCTCTTTTGTGCCACAGGATTACTAAACATATCGTGTTCAGTAAATAACTACATATGGTAATGTTATAGAACAGGGGGAACCATTTCTGTGTCTTAAGAACAGGACAAAAGTTTGATATCGGATAGAAAACTAAAAGGTTAGGGAAATAAACACTCAACATGCCCAATCACAGTCCCACTGCATAAGGGACCGTTCATAATTTATGGCTAGGGAGTGATGGTGATTATTATTGAGAAGCATGTACAATGTGAATGGACCCCCTAAAATGTATGTACAAAGTAAGTGACCCCCCTGCATGTCATGTACAAAATCAATTAACCTCCCTTCCCCCACCCTCCAGATAATTTTTAAGCATAACTTTTTAATAATTTTTATCAAAATATTAAAATCATCATCACCATCGCCATAAATTATGAATGGTCCCTAACTGTTGATGCAATTAGAATTGGAATGGCTTCAACTCCAAACTCTTAAGATTTTATCCCTCATTAAACTGTAATAATGCTCCCATACTGAAAATATAAATCCCAACCAACATATTGGCAGGATAAGTAAAGCCTCACCTTTTTGAGCATATCTGTTCCGTGAAAAATGTTGGGTAAACGATTGTTTCCAATTTCAGCCTTTTGATGAAGGCTGTCAATGATGTGCCGCAGTTAGACAGGGGAGACAACTCTCAGGGAAAGACTTCTGGTAAGATAACAAGGCCAAAACAGTTTTGGCAACATACATGATATAGTTCTTTTTAGCCAAATGTTTTGTATGAGATAAGTGACTGCCTTTCTAGAAATGCATTCTTAATCATTGCTCAGTTGATCTGTTAGTCAATTTCAGATGTGCTGAATGATAACGTTATGGTTAGGTTAGATTAGATTAGATTCATTATCCCCCGCCGCGCGTTTAGCGCGAAGCGGGGGATATAGTATTAGGCTCCATACATCTGTACGTATGAATTGGAATATCTTAAGAACCGTTCACTAGATTCTTTTCATATTTGGTACCTAGGTTCATCACAGTATAAGAAAAGTCCAAGTCAGGTTTGGTGACCTTGACCTTCATTTCAAGGTCACAAGGGGACTTTAACGTTTTACCTGCATGTTAAGCTATCTGAAGAACTGTTCACTGGATTTTCTTCATATTCAATACCAAGCTTTATCCAGGGAAGGCGCAGGGCCCAGTCGATTTTGGTGACCTTCACTTAATTTTCAAGGTCACAGAGACACTTTGAAGATTTCAGCATATTAACCTGCATGTTATGCTTGTCAGTGAGATACCCCAAGAACCATTCACTGGAGTTTTTTCATATTTGACACCAAGCTTCATCCAGGGAAGGTGCAGGGCCCAGTCGATTTTGGTGACCTTAAATAAATTTTCAAGGTTGCGGAGACACTTTGAAGATTTCAGCATGTTAAATTGCATGTTAAGATAGTCAGCAAGATATCGCAAAAAATATTCTGGATTTTCTTTATATTTGACACCAAGCTTCATCTAGGGAAGGCCCAGGGCCCAGTCAATTTTGGTGACCTGCACATAATTTTCAGGGTCACGATGACACTTTAAAGATTTCAGCATGTTAACCTGAATTGTCAGCAGATATTTCAAGAACGGTTCACTGGATTTTCTTCAAAGACTTTCAAGACTTCCCTTGAATGTTTTTCAATAAGCAATTTTTTTAGTACTACTTTTGCATATTTCATACACTATGACATTCATGTCAAGGTCAAATATGTGCGTGTTTGAACACCTAAAGAGCAAGATATCAAGAGAGGTTGACTGGTCATGTTTTTGTTGACATTTAACTTAAACTTTCATTACTTTATCAGTTTGATTTGATAATTTGCAGCGGGGGATTATGTCACCTTAGTGCCAATGCTTGTCTGTTTAATGTTTACTCTGCCATGGATAAATTCTTTCTGTCATTGATTAAATCTAATTTAGATCTTATTTTCTATCAGTTTCAGAAACATCTAGATCTCCCAGGTCGATGACAAATAGTGCCAAAGTGAGTGGATAACATTGTTTAGCAAATCTGATATGGATACCTGGATGATAGACATGCGTTTGCAGGTTCATCCTTGATTATCATGTCTCCATTCTGTTACGACAAAGCTTCACTTTTGGAATTGACCATCTCCAGTTCCCTGGACAGAATTTCTCTTTCTAATAAGCTAGAAATCAAAAAGCCAATAAGACACCGCCCTTGAATATGATCCACATTAAAAACTGTGACATATGTTCAAGCCTTCAATGTGTCATCAAATCAGAAAACAATTTCAAAATTGTTTTTTTTTTTAAAGAAGAAGACCCAAACAGAAAATTTTTAAAGTCTATAGTAGTCCAGTCACATTTCTTTCTGTTGAATTACATCTTAAACTTACCTTACTTGACCAAACCAGTTTTTTTTTACATGTAGCCAGAAAGTGTATTTTAGCATATTAACAAAAATCCTCCTATCAGTCACCATAGCCTTGGGTTTTGTTTTTCATTTTGTTTTACCAAAATTCCATATTTTTCCTTATCCTGACTCATGCTTATTGCTTGTCTTCTTCTTCTTGCGAACATAGTGGAACACGTGTATCTCCCAATTGAAGTTCCCTTCAATTAAAAAATCACTAATTAGCACTCACCACGAGTTACCTCCCTTACATAAGCGCGGGAACGAGGGCGCCACCTCAACCCATGTGCCTCACTCTCTCCTTCTTCGCCCAGTGAGCTGGACGTGAGAGCACCTGTGTCTCCTGACACACTATATCCTTTATTTATATTTAGTTTAGTACGTCTTATATTCATTTATAGAGGTGTAACTAGTATCCTTATTCAACTTGCATTGATTATTAGTCGTGTTCTGCTGTTTTATTCACGGTTCGCCGTGTTTGTTCAGCAGTTTACGTTAATGAGAATCTGCACAGGTTGTAAACTACGTTATTCCGCTACCGATCCACATTTAAAATGCCCTAGTTGCATTACTCCATGTTCTATTGTTTCTCGTTGTAAATTATGTATTAATTTACCAATTTCTGCCTTTGATAAATATTTATGTTCCGTTTTGAGACGGAAGGCAGATAAATCTCGGAAACAATCTTCAGTCATGGCTAATAGATCAGAGTCAGATATATCCTGGGTTACCTTCGGGGGATAAGCGTGGGACGCAGTCCGCTATATCCTAGAAGCGACCTGCATCCCAGGACGTTCCTTCATCACAGTCTAAGACTAGAAGAGCTTCCACGTCGTCTCAACGTACGCTCCTAACCCCCAGGTCTACAGCTTCGTCAAAAAGGAAATCCACGAAGGCTACTAAAAAAACAACAACTTTGCTTCTGATATTCAGAATTATGTTTATATGATGATGACATTCTGATTATCATTCCAGATGTACGTCATAAGAAGTGACTAGTATCGGCTACCGTCACTTCAGCGCAGATCAACATGCAACCAGAGATGCCTACGCTGACGCCGGAGATTATAACTGAGGGTCCGTCACTATCACAGAGAGGACACCCTCAACGCCAGCGCAGACCATCTCAGACGACCTGGTCAACCAAATCATGAGACTGATGGAGGACCGTTACGGTTTACAGAGGCCCCAGAGCCACGGGCCCCAGAGCCCAACCCATATAAGTCATACAGGGCCCCAGAGCCCGCCTTGGCTTCGTGTAGGGCCCCAGAGCCCACAAACGCGCCTCCGCGAAGGGCAACCCAGCCCGTAGCGAACACTTCGCTAAGGAAGTCCCAGGCCGCCTCCGCGAAGGAGCTAGAGCCTCACTAGTTGCGAGGGACATCGCGGAGAAGGAGCGCTTTGCCGAGCCCACACCCTGTAGAACACAGAGGTCGTTCGCGAAGCAAGCGCTCATATATTGAGGGACATCGCGGAGAAGGAGCGCTTCGCCGAGCCCACACCCTGTAGAACACAGAGGTCGTTCGCGAAGCAAGCGCTCATATATTGATCGGACTCTGACTCGATACTTTCGCGAAAGGTCGCGCGAAGGCTAAGTGGCTCCAAGTCTACTTCACCCAGAAGATCTAGAAGGGATACTTCGAGATCTTCCGCGAAGTCCAGTTAGCCGAGGAAGTCTCCTCCAAGGTCTCCATATACTAGCCACTCGTCATATATAGCCACTCGTCAGTCCGTTCAAGACATCGCATGAGTTGTCTATCAACTGTATGCCATATGCCGTCTACAAGCCTACGAGAAGACAATTGCACAGGCTATTTACAACACAGAACGTCGCTGTATTATTTTATCAACAGCCTAATTAAGGATCTTCAAGCCGACTACCTACATCAAGGGCATCAACGACGTTTCGTAGACCTTCACAGGAATCAACATTTCCGTATAGATTGCTAGGTATGCAATCCCGGACTACGATACAATTATCTACATGCGTGACCATTACGCAGATCTGCAGACAATTCAATAACGAAATTGAACAGCAGCCTTGTTACAGCGAGTAAAACTCATAATCGTCAACGATTTCCTGAGAAGAAATATGTACAACAAGTTCAGCTTTAACAGTCTACAAGCTGACAACTTGAAAGTTTATTAAACCTTATATAAGGAAGTCGGAATTATCTTCAAGACTGAAGTTACTTTCACGACAGCCTGGAAAATAACCTACCCAGCATTAATATTACAGAGCGAGGTATTTCGCGCCCCGGAGGTTTCGCGCGTTTACCATTAACCCTCGAAACACGTGGTCACTCGGGTAACTTCGGGAAGCTACAGGGAAGACCGACGATTTTTTTAATATCAACGTCGGCACTATATTATACAAGGTTCCTTTTCCTGCTACACCGGTGACATCACAGCGCGGGTACTCTACAGAATCAAAATGCCTTGTTCTGATTAGACCGAGATGGACAACGCCCTACGCAGAGGTCGATCATATATCACAGTTCAAGACATAGGTTGCAAGTAACAACAATATATCAGTGAACGAGCAAGCCTCCTGACAGTCCAGCTAATCTGAACCTTCACGATTGGACTGCCTTCTTGAGGTTAGAGACCTCCCCTGTCAAGTAAGGACGAGGGCACGGCAGTCAGGCGGGTTTTTTTTTACATAAAGTTCAACGATGGCAGTCACCCTTGGTTGTGCACCTACATCGTAAAGGACTTCACAGCGAATTTACCTCGACGAAGGGATACAAGTGGCTCCAAATCCATAACGTCTCAGACTACAGTTGAATTCATCATCAAGCTACTAACACAACTAGATGGTTAGTAAACCTACTTAAGTTGGACCTAGAACCTTCGCAAGATCTGCTAATTCTAGGTGTTTGATCGTATAATTGTACCGGAGGACCATGGATCAAGATCCAACAGTCATTTCCACAAGCCTTACTATCTCCGCTACCACTACGACAGTGGCAGAGCCTGTTGGGGTTACGCACTTCAGCTCAAGACATGACAGGCAGAAGCAGACTACAATTACATCCGTTACAAGTCATCATCAATTCGCATCTAGACGAATTTCTACCGTTCAATTTACCCGGTTCAGGTCAAACCTCATCTACTATGGTGGACCAAGAGATCGTATGTTTGAATAGGTGTCTCGTTAATAGAGCTGGAATCGATAACACTTCTCTACGTAGATGTGTCACTACAAGGTTGGGGAGCCCATCTTGCCAACAGGACGGCATCAGGGCTATTAGCAATCAAGAGAGCAAATTACACATAAATCTGCTAGAGATGCAAGCAGTAATAAACGCCTTAATGCACTGGAGCAACTTACTACAGTATACCCAGTGGATGATTCACACAGTCAATTCGACAGTGGCGTTTTATGTGAACAAACTAAGCTCAACCAGGTCCCCGAACCTATCGACTCTATTTTCAATTGTTCGATTTAATCGACAATCTCAACATACATGTCAGAGCATATCACATTCCAGGAGCAAAGAATGTGATAGCAGACGCCTCTCTCTCGGCCACACATACCATCGCCCGACAGAATGAATGCTCCATACAGAGATATTCACTCAAATTATCAAGGAAATAGGAACTACACTAATAGACCTATTTGCCACTCGATTCAACAAACAACTGACAACATTAAGTATATCGCCAGTTCCAGACCTACTAGCATTGGCAACAGGCGCTAAGCATATCGTGGGAAGGACTCAGCAGCGTGCGCTTTTCCGCCACCAGCGTTAATCTCACAAGTTTACTCAAAATCAGTCAAACGCAGAGCCTCCATCTGAATTTGGTCGCGGCCTACTGACCAGCGAGAACGTGGTTTCCAACTCTTATTCAAGAAATCGGACAACCAATACTACATCTTACAGAGTGCTAGAATCTGTTAATACATCCGCACACCAAACAAGCGCACGGAAAGCCAGAAATATTCCAACTTCATGTATGGATTGTATCAAGGCGTGTCTGAATAACAAGTTATTCAGCCAGAGCGGCAAAGCAGTCTAGCTTGCCCTGTGTAACTCAACTTGCAACTTATACGATGACAAATGACACAGTTTTGTCAATTATGCTGCAAAGGAAGGATTTACAGCTAGATATGCTACTCATCCTCAAGTGGCTGACTACTTATGTTATCTACGTCAGACTAAGATTTTAAAAGGCTCAACTTGTCCACCTATCTTGCAGCAATAGCTCTGTCATAACTGAGAACGGGCGTCAAGTTAACCTAAACCCAGTTACTCGCCTTGCTACGAGCTTTCCGATTGAAAGGATTAAAACGGAAGTTTCACGCTCCAACTTGGGATCTGATTATAGTGCTCCAACACCTCACAAGTGAGGTTTATGAACAAGCTTTGATGATATACTTGGACCCCATGATACAATGAATCTATCACGATGGCCAGTAAGAGCACTGAAAATATATCTCCACCGAGCCAAACAGGAGGGAAAAATTCAAGAGATTTATTTCCTCTATCAACAAGCTACGCAGACTGAAGTCTCACGTACTACTATCTCCTTTTGGATCAGAACTGTCATACTACGTGCCTACAAGACTGCAGGACTCGACCCTCCAAGAGCTTCTAATCCTCAGGATATTAGAGCGCTAACATCTACACTTGCTCTACTCGACAAGTGCTATTGAAATACCATAATGGAGGGTTAATTCTGGAGATCCGATATGGTGTTTGCCAACCACTATCTGAGAGATATCACCACCGAGGACGTCTCAGGTATCCACCAATTCGGTCCCATGGTCCTCGCACAACAGTTGACAGTTCCTCGGAGAAGATAAGTCAATCTTACAGATTTATACTTATCTTATAACAGTACTAAATAGCTACATGCTATATATATTTTGCTTAAGTTCTTTTATTATCTTAAGCTCAGTACTATGGTTATTATATCATACAATATATAAGCTAACAACTCTACGGAGTTTGTTATTATATATTTAGCTTAAGTTAATCATATCTTAAGCTCAGTACTATGGTTACATTATAAATGTATTAGCTAACAAACTCTACAGAGTTTTTGCTATTATATATGTAGCTTAAGTTTATTCATATCTTAAGCTCAGTACTATGTTTATATCATATAAGTATATTAGCTAACAAACTCTAAAGAGTTTTTTGCTATTATATATTTAGCTTAAGTTTCATCATATCTTAAGCATTATGGTTACATTATAAAATGTATTAGCTAACAAACTCTACAGAGTTTTTGCTATTATATATGTAGCTTAAGTTTATTCATATCTTAAGCTCAGTACTATGTTTATATCATATAAGTATATTAGCTAACAAACTCTAAAGAGTTTTTTGCTATTATATATTTAGCTTAAGTTTCATCATATCTTAAGCATTATGGTTACATTATAAAATGTAATAGCTAACAAACTCTACGGAGTTTTTTGGCTATTTAGGTAGCTTAAGTTAATTATATCTTAAGCACAGTACTATACTCATATCATAAAATATATTAGCTAACAAACTCTCACGAGTTTTGCTATTATATATATAGCTTAAGTTTTATTCATATCTTAAGCTTAGTACTATGTTTACTTCATAAAAGTATATTAGCTAATAAACTCTAAGGAGTTTTTGCTATTATATATTTAGCTTAAGTTTAATCATATCTTAAGCTCAGTACTATGTTTATATCATAAAAGTATTTTAGCTAACAAACTCTAAGGAGTTTATGCTATCATATTAACAAGCTTAGGTCTATTAGTCTTAAGCATTGTATTAATGTTATATATACTTTTATCATAATAAGTAAATTGTAATAACCTTTATATTGCAGCTGATAAGTTAGCAGCAGGAATTCATCAGTTCAGTGCCTTTATGAAGTTCCCATAGGGTTATTACAATCATCACAGTTCAAATCACTAATTATTAAAATCCAAAGTATTATATATTCCCACCTCCTTTTCCATTCAGTTCTACAAGCAATAAGCATGAGTCAGGATAAGGAAAAATATGTAATTTTTAGAGTAAAATTGATATTTTATACTTATCCTGACTCATGAGGTAAGCCCTCCCATCCTCCCCACATAACACTTTGGATTTCCCTGTAAATTCAAGTGTTGGGCTCAGTATATGAGGAGAGAGTGAGGCACATGGGTTGAGGTGGCGCCCTCGTTCCCGCGCTTATGTAAGGGAGGTAACTCGTGGTGAGTGCTAATTAGTGATTTTTTAATTGAAGGGAACTTCAATTGGGAGATACACGTGTTCCACTATGTTCACAAGAAGAAGAAGACAAGCAATAAGCATGAGTCAGGATAAGTATAAAATCTCAATTTTACTCTAAAAATTACATAATTATAAAACAAAGAATTGAAATTGTCTAGATTAAGCATGCTACATTTGATTTAAGAAAAGTATAATAAGAAAAGTATGCATGATAAAGTAACGGTCTTGAAACAACTAGAATGTTGTAGTCATGGCTTGGTTCTTCTCTTCCAGCCTTCTGTGGGAGGGCGCAGTGGTAGTACCAAGACACGATCTTACAGTGAATATGATCAGAACCCTGACTCTGAAGGTAGGAGGAAGTTGCCATGGTTAAGTTTTTGGACTTTCAGCTTCATTAATTCCTAGACTATATATAAGCTGTTTTAAATATGCCTTTAATCATGTGTAATTCTGTATTTATAAGTGGTAGCATATTTCACTTGCTGAAAATCGAATGTGGATTTATGTGTCTCTTTTCCTGTGAAATGCTCCAAATTGTCATCACTGAACACAACCGGTGCATGAAATTTTCGTTGCCATTTGATTTGTCAGAACTGGAATGGTGAGGGTTAACACCAAAGCCAATAAGTTAGGGACATATTTGCTCATTGTGTGGTACTATGTACTCTGAAATTTGTTCAGTGAGTTGGTAGTATGTACTGGTAATTCCTGTAATTTCCCCCCAGCTCTGTTCTATCTTGATGAGTTGGAGCCCGAGCTTGAGGAGCCTTTCTATGAGTCGGATGATGATGTGCCTGGTAAGTGGGGTGTGTGCTACAAAACCCTCCAAAATTGTGAATATTACTGACATTTGCCACAGACTTGGGACCAAATTATGGCAGGTCTTGATAATCCCCAATTAATTGCCATTCCATTGATACCAGTTCATCCTATAAAGGTGACTAGAGTGGTGTCCCTTTGCTACAGTGCAAAACAACTTTGAATCAATGGATCAACAAGGAAATCTGATATGCCCTGATCCAATGAGTGAATGAAACATTTGATTATATACACTTAAATACATTGTTCCCCAGTATATGTTTAGATGATACATCATTAACTATTCAACTGATTATCACCCTTTGTGTTGCTATTTTATTTGTTAATACCTGACCTGTGTGACATGTTAATGATTTTCGATATTTTTGAAAAATAACACCAACAAAATATCTTAGGAAATAATTCATCTAAAGATTATTCATGATCTGATGTGAATGGAGGGTTCACTTTCACTAGTCATTATGTTTATTGTTTCTGATTACACAATGCTATTTAGAAAGTGGTCAGATGGGACGTGTGTTGTATTTGGGATTTCACTTTCTTAGTAAGGTTACAGATTCTAGTACTTTTCGGGTTGAGTCCCATCCTGGAATCGAACCCACACCCTCAGAGTCAGGCACGTAATCGCCAGCGCACAAAGTGAATGTGGAAGTCACGGTGGCTGAGCGGGTTAGGTGGCTGACTTTGTGTGCTGGCGATTAGGTGCCTGACTCTGAGGGTGTGGGTTCGATTCCCAGATGGGACTCAACCCAAAAAGTACTAGAATCTGTAACTTTACTAAGAAAGTGTAATCTCCAATATAGCATATGTTTATTGTATCTGCCACCAGGAAAACTCTCTGAGAGTAGCTTGTCCCACAACCGGACTCAATCTGGCAGCGGAAAGACTGATCTCTACTCCACATCAGTACCAATCTCTGTCCCCATGTGGCGAGGTCGAAGGTCATCCAGCACAGAGGAAGAGGAGGAGGAAGAGGTGAGGATGATGGGATAAAAGCAATGTTACCATGGATACTGGTATAGCCAGATAAGTCTGAAAGCACTGAAAGTATAACCATGATAACTGAATGCGATGCTTTGCAGTGGTTGTTTGTTTGTTTGTTTGTTGTTTAGCGCTGCACTCAGCAAATATTCCAGATATATGGTGACGGTCTGTAAATAGTCGAGTCTGCTGTGAATTAGAATTGTATTACAACTTTAGATAATTCTGTGTCTGATGATGGCATCTGCTGCACTAATTTCTGGTTTGCTTTGTCCGGACTTCCTTATGGACAAGCCGTTGTGAAACATCCATTATCCTACCTTGTTACCATGGAAACCATCTTTGCTCAGGTGACCCCAGCTGACCCAGACCAGATGGCAGCCAACATGCAAGCACTGGCCCAGAGCATCACCGACACTGGGCGCTACATCTTTGGTGAACGTCCACGTCCTCGTCTAAACACCGGTGATGCCATGACCCGCTATGCTGAACGGCCCCGACAGAGGCTCAACACAACTGACTCTGTCTATTGCAGGAAGTGAATCTTGAATGACTGTGCGTTTCTACTTAAGGATTGTCATTGACATTATCACTAGTGTTGTGGTATCATAAAGATGTTCTACTCTACCGGGTTGCGCCAGGAACAAGTGTCAGTATGCTTCTTTCCTAGATCTCTGAGACTCTTCAAGAACAAGTAGGGAAACAGCATCTGTTGACTCATTCCATCTGATCTCTTCTCATACTCAGATGACATTGTCTCTCTAGGTTTTCACAAAATATCAAGGCTCAGGATTTGGTAGTGAGTGATCTCCCCTTCCAGTGTCAACTAATTAAAACATATTTCAAGAATCTTTTTGAACGGGTTGGTAGTAAAGATATTGGTACAAAGCGTTAGGACTGGTAATATCATAAAGTTATCATTTGTGAGGGTTACCAAATGTGATTTAAATACATTTTGTAGGGTTTTTATGTAGGGGGTTGACTCATGGGATCACTTCAGCATTATTCCATCTCTTCTGTTGTTTCATATAAGATGATTATCTGAAGGATTACGTTAAGACAAATCTTGATCTGTTCGCAGATCAAGTGCTTAACATCATTTGCTGTAGCTAGTCATGATTTTGTACATAACTGGAATATGGAGTTTCCATAGAAACAGCCAGAGTACAAGTGGTTGCACCACAGACATTATGGCTACTACACAATCAAGTTAAGTACATCATAAACTATCAGTATCAGTCCATGATACAGGATAGGAGGGTTCTGTACATGTCAAGAGGTTTGTGTGCACGGTTTGAGAGAGGGCATGGTTGTTTGCCCAGTGTAGTCATGGCGAGAAGGATACTAGCAGTGAGCAGACGTCCTTTGGTTTGCTGTCAAATTCATTTTTGGAAAACCTTCATATGAGGAAAAAAATAATTTCATTACACATTGTCATCATGATTTTGTAAAAAATGTCATATGTTGACTCCTAGTTGTATGTAAATTTAGTTGAAGGTGTCTATATTTATCTTGTTTTTGTTTGCAAGGTTGAATTTGCCTTGTCCATTTCATCAAAAGCAAGTGGCTTTTATCTTCTGAAGCTGTTTGGACACAGACCTTGTTCAGTCTGGAAGATTTGGGGATGACACAAATGTTCACCAACTCATCATATTCACCAATCACAGGATGTGAGCAGTGTGAGACGTTGTATGATGCAGGTTACTGTATACCATTGAACCTAGTGTTGTAGTAAAGCATTATTAGAGTCAGCTGGAAATGATTTATTTCTGATTGCCATACTGATTTTTAGAACTCAAGTGCCAATGTTAAATTGTTCCTACTGTTTTTGTACCACTCAACGTTAACTAAGTGAAATAGACATCTTTACCCACAGATGTGATCCTTACAAAATGTTGAATAGTATACCATGTACATAGCTCTGAGGAGTGTGCTATTTGTTTTCACCTTTTAATCATCACCAACCTATGAATATGGGAGTCATCAGCATGTAAAGTTTGTGTACAAACATTGTGACTTTATCCAGGGTTTAAAGAGAGGTCATGTTTTTTTTCTTCAGAAATTTCAGACAAGGTTCTAAATTGTTTGATAAACATGCGATGTGTTCTGGACGAGACCCTGCATTTGTTCCAGCTAGTCCTGTACCAATTTCAGACTAGTCATTCCATAACACCACGCCTTGACAAATATGCAAGTCTGTTAGACCAGTGCCAGGATCCAGTTCCGCAGAGTGACTTAGCGACTGTTGAAAGTGACTGTATGGGAGCTAGTCATCTTAGCGTTATGACTGTTGAAAGTATCTTCGTGTTATGGTTTTTCGGACACTTTTGTTATCTTTTTAATCGCTTGAATAACTATAAAATGTCTCACAAACTTATAAAGATAACTTTATCCTAAACACAAGCCATCATTCAAGAATGTACTATGTTTGTGTGAATGAACACCCCTCGTTATGGCCTGAGTAAACACTTCCCATTTGAAAACACATATTGTCCGAAAACCTATGATGAAACGATAACTTTATTGCTCAACATTTGAGAAGTGCACTGAGCTATTTCATGCTGCTGCATAAGTAGAGGACCGCGACTGGGGTACTTGAGTTGTGTACTGACTTTCCATAACTGAATATGCTCCAGTCATATGGGATACTGTTTGTATGACAAACTTGTCCCATCACACATTCAGGTCCCACACTTGAATGTCTATCAAATGTTGTGTAGTATATATTGGAAGTAGTGCTATGACTGTGGAAAGTTAATATGTGAGTTAGAGCAATCTTGGTGCTTTGCTTTGTGGAACTGGTCCAAGAAAATTGAATCGAAGTTTTGATTAGTTTCACTTGCTAGCTACAAGTATGAAATTTCAGTGTAACTGCTTGCATTGCCTATATGAGGATGTGAATGAATAAGTGATGTTAGTGTTAAGTTTTTGAAAGCATTTCTATTTCTTAGCCATGAATATCAATGTGTAACCTAATTCTAGCTGGTTTTACGTTGTAATGACGTTTGCTGAAAGGCATATCATAGACAGACACGCACAATGTAAACATGATTTAGTTCCGAGTAGTAAATGTTCCGGTTCGGAATAAATGCCGTGGAATAAAGAATGGATGACACGAACATAAATTCCGCACATTCCATCGAACAGGAACAAATACCGTAGGCCTAACCTATTCCAGTCATTATTGAATGCAAAATGGACTCGCCCAACTTGTCCACATCCGGGATTTCTCTAGCCCGAAATACGTGTGAATCATGTTAGATCTAGGTGAAAATTAAATTAATAAGCGGCCATTTGCCACACACAGCAGGAAGGTGCAACAGACGATTATGGAGACGAATACACTGCTCATTGTACTATGTATCGGACGAGATCAAGGATAAGTCTGCTCCATTGAAGCTTGTATTAACTAGTGACCAGAAATTAACAACCATCAGAATGTGCCATATTGATCACTGTAAGTTTACCAAGACTGTAGATCAAATTGAAATACAACGATATTTGGACAATTCTTCAGTATTGTCAGAATTTCGATCAGGACCCTTATCACCCGACATGTAGATATTATATGTACATCCTTGAAATAATAATTTGAAATAGATGCACAGATTTTTAAAGAAAGGTGAACCATATCTAATGCCACTTTAGGCTGCCCTATTACACAACCACCGAGTTATATGATGTTAAACAAATTTAAGGTTTAGCTTGCTATTAGGTCGGGCCTAAATGGCACTAAGTGAATGCATATTATCAAATATTGTGATGGTGTTTATTTGGATTGGTACATATGCATTATACCAGATACCTGCCTGCCATATTTAATTCACGGTAGGTCACGTGATGCGAGTACGGAAAGGTGAAAAAATATAAAACTGAGATGAAAATAACCCTAACCCTAACCCTGCTAAGTATCCGGAATAATGCATTCTAGCCAAGACAAATGATGCCACTGACGAGAATACTGTTTTGAGTCCTATTATAAGGAACTTTCACACATGATAATTGCTTCTTGATAGTCACAGGATTTGTTCCATATGTAGGATGTGTGTGAAAGTTCCTATTTACCCGGAATAAATTCTGTGTGTGCGGAACAAAATAATTGTTCCGCATGCACTATTACAGGAACAAATATTGGAATGAAAAGTTCCCACGGAACTTTTACTATGGAGGAACCAAATCTTTTTTACAACAACTCATAATGCCTGTGAATTGCTGAAAATATGAGTCTAATACCTTAAACTTGCACAATTTTCAAATTGCCCTGGATAAACTTAAATATATCCATGTTGATATTGATTGTATAAATGCTACAGAACAATTTACGTAAATACCGAGTCTAGGCTTGTCTTTTTACCAGAGTTGGAAATAATTGATTTTGAATGGCTTTTATGAGTAAGTGTGTGATTATAAATGGTGACCTTGACCTTGATTTTATGAATTTTGATGTAAAGTCCCGACTAAAAAAATATATACTGTGCTGCTTTTTTTGTACCATGTACAGTGCTAGGCCATTGGCTGATATTTTCACAAAAGTTGCCAAAGGTATTCCATGTGGACATTAATGAATCAATAACTTGTTACCATGGTAACTTCATGTACATGACTCCATCTTCTTCTGTATCAAGGCTATGGAAATACATGTATTATGATGTGTATGCCATATACTTTCATCTCAACTCTTAATAACTGCAGAGATGCCAACCTCTACGATTATATTGTATACAAATTTTAGCCTCAAACTGCGCCAATACAATTGCATTAGAAATTCTACAAAACTTGAAGAAAGTTCGTCAAAATTTGGATATATAGACAAAAACATATTATTGTTGATCAAATACATTTTCTCCAAAAAGAGACAAGAAGATATGTAATGCTGATAATTTGGAAATCTGTTGTTGGAGGTATATGAAATTAAAGCTTCACTCTTGATTAGTGTCATATTATCTTTCAATCTCTCTCCATCATGATTTTAGGCATTTAGTTGACTACTAATTTAATGGCCAAACTACTAATTTTGATTCATTGAAACTACTATTTGCAACACTTTGGGGTCGGCATCTCTGTAATCGCAACAATTTATGTGATTATGGTGTGATCGAATCCATTTTTGAGCTTGATTGTAGTGCTGAATACCCTTGCCTGTAGTATCTTAAGAAAGTATCCTATAATCTTTGTTTATTAATATTGTTGTCATCGAGTACCCTGTAATCACATAAAGGTGCTTGTGACATACATTGCATATGGGCAAGGTGCCCTGTTGGTGAAGTGGTCTCATATTATATTTTGAATGAATGTTGATTTCTTTTTATGGTTTTCATTGCTTTCTGAAACTGATATATTTGTTCGCATGTGTATTTACAAACATACCTTGATATTAACATGACTGTCAATATAGAATGCTTGAACTATATTTTCAGACATTGCAAAATGACACCAGTGGTATGAGGCATTTCTTATTGTTTCTGGTCAGTAGTATGTGCGAGAGAATTATCAGCAACAGTTTGGGGACTCACTGTCCTACTATAGAAACAACACAGTGATGATATGTGATACCTTAAGATGAAGAGGTGAATATCAAATATACATGTAATAGTGAATACAAGTCGTCTGACTTACCATAGAAATTACCACTATCTGTCCTACTATAGAAACAGAACACAGATGACCAGTGATACAGATGATACCAATAGAGGTGAATATCAAATATATATGTAATAGTGAATACAAGTCGTCTGACTTACCAAAGAAGTTACCACTATCTGTCCTACTATAGAAACAGCACACAGATGACCAGTGATACAGATGATACCAATAGAGGTGAATATCAAATATACATTTAATAGTGAATACAAGTCGTCTTACTTACCATAGAAATTACCACTATCTGTCCTACTATAGAAACAGCACACAGATGACCAGTGATACAGATGATACCAATAGAGGTGAATATTAAATGTACATTTAATAGCGAATAGTCATAAGACTTTAGATAAATATGTAATATTTTATAGACCCACCTGTAAAGTCGTTGAATCACTTTGGAATATTCCACTCTTTCCCCGGTGGTCAGTCAACAATGCTCTTGTGCATTGACTGAATATTTTTTCAAGATGTAAAACATCCACTGTAAATTTTTCCTTTACTGTAGTGTACAAAATATTATTGATTGGGTGTGACTGACTGTCAGTGAGTATCTCATTCAAGCACCAGCAGTGAAGACAGTATGTTTATCATAGTGTTTGTGTAGCCTTTAAAGCGTTCCGCGTCACGCCAAAGACCCGGGTTCAATTCCCCACATGGGTACGTGTGAAGCCCACTTCTGGTGTCTCCCACCATGATGTTGCTGGTGTATTTCTGAAAGTGGCATGAAACCATCACTCACTCACTAAAGAGGGAGAATGATGTTGGATTGAATGTTTTTATACTGGGATCCATGTGTTTTATGACAACCATTCACCGATTTGCTCTCCTGTGTCATAATGGTTCTTCACCATTTGTCAATAGCATGTGTATCTGTACTTGCAGAATTATTTCATTGTGATCCATTTCATGTCCACCTGCCTACCACAAGAAGTGGTAACTGTCATTTGGCTAATGTGTGCAGTTGTGAAAACAGATACTATTTGGTGGTTTGTTTTGGTTCAAAATGGTTTCAAATTGTAACAACATATCGTAAAGTCCTGTTTTGTATGCTTCAAAGCTCAGTTGTGGCAATTACATTATCATTGCCAAACAATATTTTGTTTGTATTTGGAGAGGAGGATGGATGAACTGATGTTTTTCCCTTAGTGCAACTGGTGTCAGTTGTTGGAAGTTACTGGGATTGAAAGTCTGTTGCCATTGTATATATTGTTTTTATTTTCAATGAATGCTGCTATTATGATTATGATTATTATTATTATTAAAGTGTTTTGTGTCAGTGCATGAACAAATACTGTTGATTAATGACAATGGTCAAGGGCATTATGAGATCCAGTTGATTTTATACTTATAACACTCCAACCCTATAGGTACTTTCTGGACAAGATTGTCTAGCTCCATGACATGGCAACTATGATGTCATCAACAGCAACAAATCATTTACTTAGCACAAAAACATATACTCCTAGAAAATTCTAGGACTTTAAAAAATAAATTATGCTTCAAACTGTTTTTACAAAAACCTTGCCTGCCTGGTCTGAAATTTACCTTTACAAGAGGTTCTATATTGTTTTCAGACAGAGCATTAATTAGCAAGATTTGAGTGCGTAAATGTTGTATGAAGCTTATGACAAGTTGCATAATTATTATAGATGTTATATAATTTTTCCACACGTTCAAAAGCCTAATTTCCAGAATTCTATTGTTAGTATTAAAGCAGTGTTTCTTGTGCCCTGTGAAATATGGAGATACAGATGTAGACAAGATTGTCCAGTGAGTTCCTATACACGTGTGGCATTTTTTGTACTCCTCAGTATACTGGTCTGTATATATTTGTTTGACTTGTAACCAACCTGATTGTCGTGCCATAAACCCATGCTTCCATCCAAAGTCTGGCAATATCGTATATTGTCCAATATTATGTTATCATCTAGTTAACACTTCAAGGATTGTGCCTGTTACAACTGACCTTCCAAAGTTCAGGCTGTTATGTGGTATCGGGCTTCCATGCCAGATAAGCCTTGTACACACCCATCTTCCTCCTTGCTGCATGCTGTTTCTTCATAACTCAGTGGTCTATTGGGATTATGGTGCACTGGAATTTTCAATGATAAAGACAACAAACTGGTTTTGCAAGCCACTGACAGTATCTAGCTGACTGGGCATTAGGATTCCAATTTTGCCAATATTGACATTTTCTCATTCTAAGCTTGTTTACAGCATTGTTTGATCGACATTCTAGAAGTTGGTGAGTCAATAATGAAGCATACAACTTTATGGATGACAACTTCTTGTTTATTGCATGGAGCGATGTTTCAGTGTATATTCTTACACTTTTAGCTTGATAACGGTGTAAGAATCGACACTAAAACATTTCTCTATACAATAAACAAGACATCATCCATAAAGTTGTATGCTTCATTATTGTTTACAGCACTTTTCATTCATACTTCGAAAACAAAAATCATTTATATATGACTTTTCATCTTAAGCCAGGGCTGCTTCTTTCAAATGTATCAACTGTGCCAGTGGAAGTCTGAATGTTTATATCACCTTATATTGTGCAGGTGTGTTGTTATAATGTTGTTTATCGAATACATGTTGATGCACAGTGTGAAAAGGGAAGGCAATAATGACCAGGTCGGTCTGTGTTATACACTTCCCTTTTCTTTCATATTACTACAGTTAATGTCATGCCATGACAGTTTAACGTAGTAATGTCAAAGACTTGGGTGGTACTTCAATTTCTTTTTAGTGGTACACAAGATCACTATTATACTTTGGTTCAATCTCATTTAATCCATTGATACCTCACAGGAAGAGGTATCAGATCAGTATAATAGGTGAGATTGCTGTGTATTGACAAATTTGCACCTTATAAATACAAACTGCCAAATTGCTGGGTTTTTTTACACTTTTCCACATTTTCCTACAATACAACTCCTCTTGTTTACTTTTATGATAATCTATGGTCTTCAGGTAACATTCCGTAAAACTACAGTGATTAATATTTCAAAGGCTCTGTACTGATTTGCCAGCATGATTTTTTTACAAATACAGGTGACAAGGCAATCAGGTCGATGAAGGCTTTTTTTTATTACTTTCAATGTAAAATGTTTAATTCTACATTTCTTATGGCCTATTAAATCAACATGAACATAAATGTAATTTAGAATATTTTTTCTTTATTTCAAGTATGTAAGTGAAACATATTTTTATAAGTCATTTTATTTACAGATGTGCTAATTGCAATTACAGTTAATGAAATTAAGATAATATACCTATTAAAGCAATGCAATTGAGGACTGAGACTTCAGCTGATTCAACAATAAACATTCTTTTTAGAGTAAATGTTTCTACTGGATGTTGAGTTATCAAGATATAATTTGTATTGAACATTTTAGTGTCATCAGCCAAGACAAGCGTTAATCCTCCACCAACCATTTCTGTTCAGAAGCTAGGATGTCACATGTTAACGCTGCATCTTATATGATGATTTCGTAACAATTGTTGCTAGAACTGGTTGTGAGAGACTCCAGTCCTGACCTCCATAAGACCATGTTTTTGCCCTGTTTGGTACATCAAACTGCCATTATTTGTCAAACAGGCTACCAGTTTCAGGAGATCCTGTTCATTTTCACATTGTATCACACTTGGAATTTGGACAACACTGAATAAACATATGACTTTTATCTATTGATTTTAGTTATATTTTATTCAAATGCACATGTCATATCACAAAAGAATATCAATTACGAGAGGGACTATGAATAGATCACATTTCAAACTACACAACAAACCACAAATCTTATCAAGCCAGACGGGAAATGATGGATTGAAGCTTGTTTTCAAAACTTTTAAGAGTAGAGAAGTACACACCTCATACCCCACATACTGATTTGCACTAGAAATCGGCTTCACACATTGTGCCCATGTGGTGAATCGAACATGGGTCTTCCAGGTGATCAGCAAAGACTTTAACCACTTGGCTACCCCATCGCCCTCAATTAACATAATAAGTGCACTTATATTGCACTAAACTCATTCTGCTAACAATCAAAACACATCACATTATTACCTGGATATCCCAAGTTGCCCGTGAGGCGCCAGAAGGTTAATAGTCACATGACTATTCCACCAGGTACCCATTTCCTAGAAACCCTCGACCGCCTCCGTGGTGTAGTGGTTAGAGCGTCCGCCCGGAGAGTGGAAGGTCGCGGGTTCAATCCCGACCACGTCATACCAAAAGACGTTAAAATATGGTACTTGTTGGTCCCTGCCTGGCGCTCGGCATTAATGGGTACAACAAGGACTGGTCGGCTCGGAGTCAGTATAATGTGTCTGAGTGGGGTATTCATGCTTCACTGCAGCATGGTATCTCAGTGAGCTAGCACTATAAAACCAGCTTCAGTCTGGGCTAGTACAAGCAGCCGCAAATACACACGCATGCACGTCGTTATATGAGCGAAATATTCTCAAGCACGACGTAAAACCCAATTTCACCTCACCTCACCTAGAAACCCTCAGGAGTCAAGCTGCGAAACCTGGTCACCCATCCAAGGACTCTCAACATTACTTATCTTCCACTGATTCGTGATCTGAGCTCTATGCACAGGACCACACACCGCCACTGCCTTTGAGTGATGAAAACACCAAGATGGAGCTTGATTAATTCGGGGAAATCAAACCCTGCAAAGGAATTAGTTTAACATATTCACTGTCGCTCCTGCTTGCTTTTGCTGGGCTCTTCGATTTGAATATTGCTAAAAAGCCCGTAAAAACATTCAGCCCTCACACACTTACATACCTCGTTCACTGTAGAGGCAGCTGACACGGATATTTATAATGTAGTGGAGATATTCAGGTAATATATTATGTGCCCTTACCTGTCGGGTGTCTCTCACAAGCCGTATTAGCAATGGAAAGCCGTCAACTTGATTAGCGGCTACAATACAGTGTCGAACCGCTATTCATTTTACAATCACATTTCAACCAAGTATCAGACGGATACATTCAATATTTTCAACATGTTGATACCATATATTACCATATTAAAAAAGACACGAAAGATATGTGCAGTTAAATGCAACAGTTTTTCCATCGGCGTTGTACTGGAGTTGGTTGGTTGGTTGTTTAACGCCGCACTCAGCAATATTCCAGCTATATGGCGGCAGTCTGAAAATAATCGAGTCTGGACCAGACAATCCAGTGATCAACTGCATGAGCATCGTTCTACGATGACATGTGTCAACCAAGTCAGCCAGTCTGACCACCCGATCCCGTTAGTCGCCCCTTACGACAAACATGGGTTACTGAAGACCAATTCTAACTCGGATATTCAGGGGTCTGTACATAAGTACTCACGCGATGATTTGGAGCACACGTATCTTCAACATACAAGATTGATTTTGGCTCCGCGTTGATGCATATCAGTAACAATATATACTAGGCACATAAAGAAACTGTGCATACAAAAAGTTAAAATCTAAATTTATCAAACCTGTGTAGACACATAAGGATTTAAACTCAGAGATTAGTGACATGTATCCAACATGCATGCACATGCCACGTTCCGTGACGTCAGTGGGTTCGTCCTTGAAACGTGCAATACGTTGTTTCACGTGCATTCCGGGAAAGAGAAACAGAGCAAATGAATGCCACACAATACTGTCACTTTGGAAAGCTCAACCCCTGCCCTTGCGATCGTTCAAAAAATTAAACGGCTATTGAAACGCATAGCATGCCAAGGCTCACGTCTGCACAACGTCATGAGGCCATTGGGATGGTCCGTGGGGGAATGTCTCAACGACAAGTGGCTGCACATTTCCACTGCCATCGGAACACCATTTCTGCACTGGTGAGACGCTACCAGAACACAAATGACGTAATCGATCGGCCACGTTCTGGACGTCCACGTGTAACAACGCCAAGACAGGACAGATGGATAAGGTCGACCTATCTGCGCCACAGGTTGCAGACTGCAGTGATGACTGCCCGAACCATCCCAGGACTTCGCCGTATCCACGCCAACACAGTTCGACAACATTTACGTCAACACGGGATCAGACCACGACGTCCCGCCATACGGCCTATCCTGACACAACGTCATCGACAAGCTCGCCGAATGTGGTGCCGAAATCATGTCCGCAGACCCTTGTTTTGGTGGAGAAATGTTTTTACAGATGAGTCCAGGTTTAACATTTCCCATAGTGATGGACGTCAACGTGCCTATAGACGCGTGGGAGAACGTTATGCACAGGCTTGTGTCTTGGAGGGGAATCGCTTTGGTGGTGGTTCCGTGATGATTTGGGGTAGAAATAACAGCACGCCAAAGAACTCCATTTGTGATTGTTCATGGCAACTTAACTGGTGTGGGCTACAGGGGTCAGATTCTTCGACCTGTGGCAATTCCTTTTCTGCAACGTCATGGCCCTGGGTTAACATTTCAACAGGACAATGCCCGCCCTCATACGGCAAGGGTTGCTATAGATTTCTTGCAACACCACAACGTTGACTTACTGCCTTGGCCTGCAAATTCACCGGATCTCTCCCCGATAGAGCATGTTTGGGACGAGATGGATCGACGTCTACGCCGTTTTCCTCATCCGCCAGATAACGTCCTTGACCTTGCAACAGAACTTGAGAGAATCTGGCGTGACATCCCACAAGCCTTCCTTGCACGTTTGATAGGATCTATGCGTCGTGGATGCACTGCTGTTCTCAATGCCGATCGTGGACATACCCGTTATTGAGCTTGTGACATGGTCGTTTGATCCCTGTCCCGCAAGTGGACTCGTGACGTCATTGTGATTGACTTTTCAATTGAAATTCTCCCGACTTGTTATGGTCTCATGATCCCTCCATTAAAGTTTATATGTACCTTTGACATTGTTATCGTACTTATCAACTGGGACAATATTTTGACAATGCACAGTTTCTTTATGTGGCTTGTATATTAGACACAGATGTTACACTAAGAAAATGTTTATAGAGAATATATTAAATCTGACAAACATGGTAAACAAAAGGCAAGTCAATGTTGCATTTCAATTACTTTATTACACTAGAACACAAGGACATGCACGTACTTGTACCCGCCTTGTAGTCAAGTGGTTAGAGCGGAAGGTCGCGGGTTCGATCCCAGGTCGCGTCATACCAAAAGAAGTTTAAATATGGTACTTGTTGGTCCCGGCCTGGCGCTCGGCATTAATGGGTACAACAAGGACTGGCCGGCTCGGAGTCAGCATAATGTGTCGGAGTGGGGTATTCATGCTTAACTGTGGCATGGTATCTCATTGAGCTAGCACTATAAAACCAGCTTAAATCTGGACTAGTACAAGCAGCCACACATGCGTCGTCAAATGAGCGAAATATTAAGTATGACGTTAACCCCATTTCAACTCACCTCACGTACTAGTACGTGTTAAGGTCAACAGTGTTTGGATACTCGATACAAAATGAGTGAGTTGGATTATATTCCGCCTTTAGCAACTTGCCAGCAATATCACGGCGGGGGACAACATAAATGGGCTTCACACATTGTACCCATGTGGCGAATCAAACCCGGCCTTCGGCATGAAGAGCGTCTTTAACCACAAGTCTACCCATACTCTTTCGAAGATGTTTCTGTCGTGATTGTATGTTGTAAACTGTATTTATACACTATGACCCCGACCTTGGCCCCAAAAACTTTCAAGTTAGGTTACGGTGTAGTGGCTTGCCACCTGTGTGCCACTGGTTTGCCGCCGGTGACACCAGTGGGCCATCGAAGATCAGCTGGACACGCCATAAGTGGCCCACCGGTGGCAGCCACCAGTACATCTTACTGAATGACTGGGTTTGGTTTTACGCCGCTTTTAGCAATATTCCAGCAACATCACGGCGGGGGACACCAGAAATGGGCTTCACACATGGTACCCATATGGGGATTCGAACCCGGGTCTTCGGCGTAACGAGCCAACGCTTTAACCATTAGGCTACCTCACCGCCCGGTACAGCTTACGGTGGGTGGCCCACCACCGACGTGCTATCTGGGTTATTTGTACAGAAGATATATTTATATATTTAGCACCAGAACTGCCCTAGGGACCTTCCAGGATGGTGGGGGTGGTGGTGGGGTGATGATGATTTTAAGGGTGGTCACCCATTTTGTTCTGGGGAGCTGGGGGTGGGTGGGTGTTTCCAGCAATGTTGTACACGTGCACTTGGGGTGGGGGGGGGGTGGGGGTGGGGGTGGGTCCAGCAATTTTGTACATAAAAATATGTTTAAAATTATGCTTAGAAATTATGGGAAGGGGAGGGGCGTCATTGATTTTGTACATGCCATGCAGGGGGTCACTTATTTTGTACATATAATTTAGGGGGGTCATTCACATTGTACATGCTTCTCCATGAAAATAATAATAATCATCATCATCATCATCACACACACACACACACACACACACACACACACACACACACACACACACACACACACAGCCAGCCATAAATTATGAACGGCCCCTTAAGTAATACATGACGAGGAGGGTTTCTAATGGTTTTTCTTAACTATGCATAATCGTTCACAGAACATACGGGGTGTTCTGAGTGAGTGAGTGAGTGAGTGAGTTTAGTTTTACACCGCTTTTAGCAATATTCCAGCAATATCACGGAGGGGGACACCTGAAATGGGCTTCACACACTTTACCCA